AGAGTAATGTGCCCGATTGGCTCAAGGTACTTAAAAGCATATATTAATCATTTGTTCTCACTATCTCGTCTATATGTTGAATGATGATGATGAAATTATGCGAATCAACATACGCATGCAGTTGAAAAAAACTTCGTTTTCATGAATAACGGTGATGGTGATGGTAAAATGATAAGGATATATTGATATATTACACACACACAAATAAGGTACCTCGGCTATAAATAAATAATTAGTTTTTTGTGTTATCAGTTAGCGAATCATCCATCGCTTTCTATGATATGGACATAACACATGCAACAAAGGGAACAACACTCCAAAACTCTTCTTTTCTCCATGCAAAATGGAATAAAATCTTTTTCACTATATTAAATTCCCCAATAATACAACAAACACATTCTCCGTGTCATCTTGTTTTCGTTGTCTCTTATCCCGTCTTTTATTTCTTTGGGGTATTTAAAAGAGTAATACAATTTTTTGTTATCTTTAATTTTTCAGGACAGTAGTTTTTTCACAAAAGAAGGTATGCCGAGAAAGCCGTTTCCTAACGGCTGGAAAGGAGAGAATGGACTTTACACGGTGGGATTCACGAGAAGAGGACTCTTGGGAACGTCCTTTGACGCCGTTAAGATCGCGGAGGATATAACAGACCAATGGATGAAATCTAACGGCCCGTTGTGTAGTAGTAATATTTGTAGTTCCCATATTATCCACCTTCATTTCAATAAATCATAGTTATGTTTTTTTCTTTCTTTTCTTGTTCCCAGTTTTGACTTGTTTCTCTTTCCCTAATGAGGTTAGTTGTTTTCTTGTTCTTTCTAAGAAATATTTATTCGTTTTGTTTAATTTTTCAGCTACCGTGTGGTCAGGGTGTGTTGTAAATTTGGGTAAATTTTTAATCCTTTCGCATGTTAAATAATATTTCTTGTGTTGCTATTTAAGTTTTGGTGGAATTTATGAGAAATTGTTTCTGGAATATGTTTATGCTTATTACTATCATCTTCTGAATAGAATTAAAGAATTCGGACTATTAAATAACTCATTTGTAGTTTCGAATTCGATCACAGATTCTATGACATAGCGAATCACACAAATACATTTTACCAAGAACTTTAAATTTTCCCTACCTTGACAAGAAAAAAAATTATTCTTTTCTCTAACTTTCTGATTTCATTTTTTTTAAAACCAAAAGCTCTTGACATTGATAATATATATGTGCATCTACAATAGCTTACGACATGAGACACAGTTTGTGATTATTCATTGATATGTGCAGTAGCCACTCTGCTTTGTCCTTGAATATATATTGCATTGTATCCACAGAGATTTTCTCTGATGTACTATATCAATTTGACATCTTATCATCCTCTATCTAAATGATCAATCTAAAGATTCATTTAGGCTGTAATTCTGACACACTAAATTCTGATATGGCTCAACCGGACTAATGTCACAATTTGTTTTGTTTGAAGCTGCAGTTCATTTTTTCCCAAATATATTTAAAATGGTAAAAAATTGTTAAAATTTGAAATTTATCATGATAGCAACCGTGTCTAACGACGTATAACTTTTGTTTTACTTTTATCTTACTATCATTTGTTTTGTATTTTCCTTCTATTCCACACTGATCGATTTGGTCCATGTCCATTATGCCACGTTTGTTTCACTTTAACCATTATCCTTTTATTACATAAATTAACTGATATTTGAGCCAAGAAAAAAAAAACACCAATAGAGATGAGTAATTAAAAATTGAATACTAAATCCAATTGTCAGTTTTAATAGATTGGAAAGTATAGGTTTATGATTTGGTCATCATTTTGACATAAGGATAGACTGTGACTGAGTGATGATGATGACTTCAATCACTATTGTTTTCTTTCTTTTGCCAAGTTGTCTATGTTCAAGTGTAGGAAAATAAAAAGAGTGTATACGGAAGTTAGTGAAGTTGAAATTATTTAGAAATTGGTCAATATTATTCAGTTAATGTGAAAATTTACATGAACTATAAATAAATTTTAAATTCAATTTATCAGTTGTCCACGAGGACGACAATGATGGAGCTCTGACAGATTTTGGATCATCTCGTACGAGAACTATCAGACAAGATCTTCTCTCGCACTCTTTATATACTTACGTCATAAATATTCAGAAATATACACACATATATGTATAAGGTTATAAGCAAATTGTGTATCTGTGTATGTGACTGTGTGCATCGTATATCTATAGAGGCACCTTACGTCATATCACCAGATGGGTTAAATTTTAGTTAGAAGCCACATTTAATGAGAAAAGATTGACAGTCTTTTGGGGAAAGATTTTAAAACTTCTGATGATTATTAAATGATATAGGTTTAACAAAGTCAAGTATATACTGTAATATATAGTTAACAGTTAGTAACATAAATCATAAGAAATTACTCCAATTTCCTTGGTAATATAAATCATAAAAAATTAACAGTTAAATATAAAAACTTACCTTTAAAATGACCGTCGTCGGTTAATAAAATTAATTAATGATAAAGTTATATTACTAAGTATATAAAAAATTGAATTGAAAAAAACTGCAAAGTAAATTGAATTATCTTTACCAACTTTGGTATAAAAAAACTTTACCCAAATAAATTGAAAAACTCGTGAGCCAACTCGTTTGGTAAGACTCAATCTTGCAACCAAATCTTTAAGAGCTATTTCTTGTGGCTGACCAAATTTCATTGAGTCCATTTTCGTATTTCTAAATGTATTGCGTTCGCTGCCAGCCATTTCACCTTTTCTTCATTCAGCTCAAATTTGAATCCCAAATTTGGATAGTGATGATTTGATGATGATAGATGAAATATGATTGAGAACCTCGATTACACAAAAACCAAAAACATTTACCAACAAATTTCTTAGAATAACAATAAGAAGATGAAGAGTGGGCCCAGATCTGAAGATATCTCAGTGGCATGTTGCTTTTAAGAGCAGCTTGACCTTCGCTGACAATTTGTTTCACAACATCTATTCAAAAAACCTAATAAGAGTTTATGTCATCACCCTCTGTGTTTATTACGTAGTCGTGAAAGGAGAGGGACCTTTCACTATCCCTACGTCTTTTTGATTCCCTCAGGGTTTTTGTTTTTCTTCTTGTTTATTCACACCTTCCTCGATTTTTTCTTTTGTTTCTTTTTAATTTTTAGCAACATTGTCTTTTTTTTTTTCTTTTCTCTTTTTTGCAAACTCAAAAAAACATTGTCTTTTTTGTTTGTCTCTAGTTTACGGTCCAAATGTTTACATGTCGAATTTACGTTTCCCACTTATATATGACAACTCTATGTAAGAGATACTATATATGGCACGTGACCGAAATTTAACAGGATTCGATATATATATATATATACAGTATAGAGACGTATATATATGCGTGTATTCAGTTATTTGCTTTAGGCGTCCAGTTTTCGGTTTGAACTTAGTTCAGTTTTGGATTAAAAAAACCTATTGGATATAAATAGATAATAACTTTGTATAAAATTATACTATTTAGTTTAAGTATATCTACTCTTTTTCCCCACCTCAGTATATAGCTATAAACGAATAATATAAAATCTGGTGGAGTTTAATTTATTCGCATATGTATTTGTTACACTAAATTTGGGTTCCTTTTAGATTTGATCTGATTTTTCTGTATAAAATAAAACAAAATTTAGTCGACTTGTAGACAACTATCGATTCAAATGTAACTTGGTTCGGTTTGTATGTCTATTTCGATGTAAGGGATCTTGAAGTCTATTCCTAAATGGGCCATTAAAAAGCCTTTTTACAATCTATGTGCTTCTCCTAAGCGATGAGGATAACACTTTCCGGGATTTTTGAGGATATTGTGAAGTTAGAATCGTGATAGGAAAAGTATCCAAAAGACATAATCCTAATTGGATTTGAACTCTGCCCTTTCTCTTCCCTATATATTATACACTGTGAGTCATAAATCGTAGATTCTTTTTCTTTTTGTTTTTAACGTCATCTAGTGTAGACTCGTTAGGTCTAAATTAAAGCTTGCAATGGAAGCAATAGTTTCTGAGATCAGGATAGATATTCCTGCTCAGAAAAATACTTGCCGTATCTGTTTCAACGATGATATTAAATCTAAGAAGATGTTTTATGTGGCTTTATGCGGTCATTGGTTCTGTGTGGAGTGCGTGAAACAACATATAGAAGCGAAGCTACTAGAGGGAAGTGTATTAAGATGTCCTCATTATCAATGCGAGTCTAAGCTGACTCTTAGAAGCTGTGCCCATCTTTTGACGCCTAAACTAATAGCGTTTTGGCAAGGAAAGATCAAAGAAGAATCGATTCCTGTCAAAGACAGTTTTTTGCCCAAACCCGAGGTGTTCGGCTTTAATGTCGAAAACCGAGTTATCTAATTCTATTGAAGAAGATGGTGGAACTAAGAGATCCTGCTTAAACTGCGGCAAACTCTTTTGCATCAACTGCAGAGTTGCGTGGCTTTTTAACTTGTCGTGCAAGGATTACAAGAGATTGGGTCAAAATCCTACAAAAGATGATATGAGGTTAAAAGTTCTAGCAAACCAGGAATTGTGGCGACAATGTGGAAAGTGCCAACACGTGATCGAACTTACCGAAGGTTGCAGACATGTAACTTGCAGGTATCGTCTCTAAGATTCTTTCAGTTTGACCATTTCTATTTTTTAACAAGAAAAATCTTGAGAAACCATTAGCAAATACACATAGAGAGTAGGGGTTTCTAATTTACCTTTGTGTGTATGTGAATTTGATATATATTTCATTGTTGCTTGGTAGATGTGGTTATGAGTTTTGCTACACATGTGGAGCCCAATGGAAAGGAAGAATTTGCGTTCATCCACCGTCACGGATTAATCTGCTGGAGTGTGTTTGCATGTTAGGTCTCGCCGCTTTCGTCATAATATTATGTCTCTTAGGTAATTTGTATGTCTCTCGTTAGAACTTGGTTTAGGGTATAATAGATGAAAAGAGTCGTCATCATCAGTTCAATTCTAGATGAATGGCCAATTACGAGCCCGTTATAATCCCAATCCTAACCTCTGTTTACAATTACAACAAAAAAAAAGATACTCTCACTCAAAGTCCCCTGAATCTCCATCTCCTTCGTTTAGATCATCTACCAACTTCTTGTCTTCACCAACAGTTCTTTGATGCGATCCACGCATCTTCACGAGTTTTCTTGGGTTTCTGCAACCTTTCAAAACATCAGACATTGCTTCTGCTTTATGCAATATAGACTTCTTTCTATCTCTATCAGGCGGCGCATCTACCACTTCTCTGTACGTATTTGGTAGCTTCTTCGAGTGAGGAAGAGACGACATTACACTGGATAATCTCTTCGCCATATCGATCATCCCTTTCGATCTCAACCCGTTATCGATCATCTTGAAAGTGATGTACTGTGGAACAATCCCTCTCCTCACCGCCTTCTCAAACTCTCCGAATGCTTCTTCCAACATGTCGAGCCTGCAGAGCAAATGAATCATCATCGTGGTTGTCAATAAGTCGGGATCGATTCCTCTGTTTTTCATCTCCTTGTTCACTTGCATCGCCAAGCTCAGCTTCCCATCCTCGCACAGCATTTTCAAGATCAAATGGTAAGTAAACCGGTCGGGGCTATGTCCAGCTTCAATCAACTTGAAGTATAAGTTCATGCCTTGTTCTGTTTTGTTATGCTTTGAGAAAAACTTGAAGAAATGGTTGTATGTAGTCGGGGTAGGATCAACGCCTCGGTTCATCATCATCTTGAGTATCTTGCTAGCACCGGTTAAATCTCCAGCCTTGCAGAAACTCTTTACTAGTGAGTTATAAGTCACTATGGTAGGACCCGATTCGGAAACGAAGAACCTTTCCATCATACCAAGAGCCTCTTGTAACCGACCAGATTCTCCTAAACCGTCGATTATGGGATTAAAGACCATAAAATTCAGCTCCATTTCTGCCATCTTCATTTCTTCAAGAACTTCCATAGCAATCTCAACACGACGCATCCTGCAAAAACCTTCTATGAGAGTACCGTAAGTGACAACGGTCGGTTTCACATTCATCACTTTCATTTCTGCCCATAAGTTCTCTGCCTGTTTCAGTTTTCTTGAACGGAACCATCCATTCAACAAGATGTTGAAAATCCGAACAGAGGGAACCCAATTCGAATCTATTCTTCGTCTTCTCTCCAAATACATTGAGGCTTCTCTAACATGTCCTTCTTTACAAAGAGCATCTAACAAAACTTCGAGCAATTTAAGTTCCGAAGCTGATTTACAAACCGGATCATAACTTCTAGCGAATTCAAAAGCCCGTATAGCTTGTTGCACCATACCTACAAGCAAATTCGGGCTCAAACTAGATCGATTAAAGGCAAAACTCAACAGTAACAGAGAAACTATTACTAAATTAGCTGGAATTGAGCTTCAGTCTCTATTATTGAAGCTACAAAGAAATCTGCGTACCAGCACGAGCATACCGTCTGATCAAAACGACAAACGTATCTGCAGAAACCAAATCAGATCCTCCATCGCTTCTCACGCGATCGAAAATCAACGACCAAGCAATTTCAAATTCACGAGCTTTACACAAAGCATTAATTACAGAATCAAACATTGAGGGAGAAGGTGTAAACCCAGGTTTCATCTCGGCCCATTTGAACAGCGAGTGGAGCAGCATCGGCGATGACCTTAACCGATCGAACAGCGCTTGAATCAACTGAATGCTCGGTTCGATTCCTGTTTCATCCAGAGCCGACTCGAGACTCGAACCCAAGTCAACATCAGGGTTTTCGAGAAGATTCGATATGGTGGAGAAATCGGTCGGTGAGAAATCGGGGAGGGTGATTTGATTAGGTGGAGTACATGGAGAATTGGGCACGGCGGGTGATTGTAACCGTTGGATGATAGGCTCGACGGGAATCGGCGGCCATGAACGGCGATAGGATAAGAATTTATGAAGAAGGAAATGGCGGCGAGGATTAGGGTTTAAGGGGAGGATGCGGCGGAGGGAGATGATCAGAGAGTTCATTTTCTGCCGCCGTTCAGGTGGCCGCCGAGGAAAAAAAATACTCGACGCCCCCATTTACGCGCCATTTGGGCTTTCGTCTGTTACTGAATATATCCATTAATCGACTTTTAGGCTCGAATCGCATGGTCATTGGCCCAAACCTTTTTTCTTCGTTTTCAAACATTTTTAAACCAATCAAAATACATATTATGCAATTTAGTGTTTGCTATCTTATAATGAAGGCTCTTGCATTTTTTATAATGAAATGCATTTTATTAAACTAAACTACTTTTAATAATTTTGTATCGAAAGAATTAAAAAAACTGTATATAATGACGTTAATCTATTAAAATAATAAATACGTTTCAAAATAAATATTTGATAAAATCTTCAGATCATAGTTTGTATTTTTAGAAATTTTTGATTTTAACGGAATATATATGTGATCGAAGTTTGTAACCGATACTTTATATTAAAGATACTCCGTGTCAAACCTTGATAATATGCGTGCGTGAGTTATAGACGATAAAAAAAAATTATTAAAAAAATAAATACATTTAATTTAACGCTGTATAATTGGTACGAATATGTTTTTTTGACTAGCTGTAATTAAAATTATTATTTCTATATGTAATTAATATCTTATGTGATATAATTGTATGAATGCCACTGATGTATTTACTGGATATTCTCCATTTCCTTTTCAAAATTTATTTAGATTTATTTTCCTGAAAAAGTGAAATAACCATAAAAATATTGTGACCAAAATATACCAAATTAATTTAGAGATAAAACAGTTGGTGCCAGAATTTGGTATCTATTTAATCGTGCCAATAAGAATCTGTAGTTGATTTTTTTTTTTTTTTTGACATCCAAGAATCTGTAGTTGATCAGGGCTCGGATATTTGGACTAATAACTCGCGAGCAGTAGAGTACTAGAGTGTATGAACTCGATCAGATAGGTCAGTGCCTATGATGCACACATATTTGAATAAATTCGTGTAGTCATACCATACCTGTAAACAACGTTGAATGTAATTAGTTCTATATTTAGTTCACTTATACATTTTCAAAATTCAATGATCAAAATGTAAAGGAATGTCTCATTTTTTTTAGCCAACGCTGACTGTTTATCTACGTGTTTTGATATTGTGATTTGTATATTCTTAAGAAGAAAACAAATTTCCCTAGATGGCTAGATGATATATATAATTCACAGGAAAATTAAAATAAAAGAAAATACAGTTGCACTGTTCCGCGTATAGTAACGAAGACCAAGTTATACAAAACGTAATTACGATATTTTACCAAAGAAAATATGTTTTCCCGAAAAAGCAAATTCAAAAATCGCGTTTTTTCTAAATAGAAAGTATATTTAATTTTATTATTATTTTTGGTCAGGAAAATAGAAAAGATTTTTGATTTTTGTTTTATCCCGAAAATCCGAATTTTGAAACAGTACCTTTCACTCAGTCGCTTCCCCGCTCCTCTCCGCTCTCCCCACCTACACATATTTCAACACACTCTCTCTCTCTACTGTCTCCCATTTTCGCTGCTGCTTCTCTCTCTGGAGCGTTTCTCTATTTTCAGTGAGCTTCTCTGTACCGCCATTGGAGGTTCTTCAGAAATTCCTAAACCGATTTTCCGAGCCAGGTATCATCACGTTTCGTCTGCACACCACTTGTTTTTTTGGGTTGTTTCTCGATTTTCTGAGTTTTTCCGTATCAGTTTCTGGAATCGTAGCTTGTTGCTCTTTGTTTTGATCGATCGGACTTGATCATTGTTTGGGATTTATGCTGGTCGATCTTTCTGGCGAATGATTTTTTGCTTGCGATTGAGCGATGATCCCTCTTTGTTGTTTACGCTTGTAGTAGCTTATGCCTACTCGGTATCCAGGCCATGGGTAAGCACTCGAAATCGAAATTGTTGAGATCCTTTCTCTTTGTTTTACTGCGACGAGTGTGTACTCTTGGCTCATTGTGTGTTAAAGTCATCGTTCCTCTTAAGTATTTGCATGCTATTGTGAAGAATATTGCGTAATAATTTCGGTTTCGAATGTTTATTAGCTTGAAAAATATGATTCTCTGATGAAGAATAAGTGGTGGACACATGATTACTAGCTGTAATTTAGCTGGGTTGCTTGCTTAAGCTGACATTACTCAAATATTCAGGATTGTATGAAATTGAGATCTGTGGCACAATTTGAGTATGAATAAATCGTTTTGTTATCCATCATATGCTTGTTTCTTCCTGAAATTTAAGCTGCATTTGAACACTGATTAATCTCTTTGCTCTGCAGGCTTGGCTAAACCCCTGGCTATTTGACTAAATTATGTATTGCTCTTCTTCGATGCATCCAAACGCAAACAAAGAGAATGTCTCTACTTCAGATGTTCAGGGAAATTTTGTACGAATAACGAGATCACGAGCTAAAAAAGCCTTGGGAGGAGTAATACCTCCAACAAAACCATCTTTCAAACAGGTACTGAAACATGCTATTGTTGAAAGTCATAAACGAATTGCAGTAGATGATGCCAAACTCTCTAATCTTCCTGCCTTTGGTTTATCAGCAAAAGAGGCGTGCGGTACTTAAGGATGTGAGTAATACTTCAGAAAATATTTATTCACACCTCCTGGAAGGAGGCAACATTAAGGTATAGATTTCAGATGATATGTTTTCATTTTCTTGGTTGGTGTATATCTTATGTTGGTTATAGCCTTCAAACTTCCCTTTCAGCTTCATTTGATCGAGGTCACGTTGCAGGTTAACAGAAAATGTGTAAAGGAGTCCAAAAAAGCAGCAAAGGAAGGTGCTAATGTCGCCATGGAAATTCTGGTAGATATGCATACAGAAAAATCAAAACTAGCCGAAGATTTGTCCAAGATCATGATGGCTGAATCCCAAAATGCTTCTGTTTCAAACTCTAAAGATGAAGAAATTACTGAGCAACGTAAGTACTGCATTGTTAGTTAATATAATGATAGACTCCTCACTCTCCTCAATCCCGAGGTCTTGTTAATTCCTCGTAAACTCTTGCTCAAGCATTGAATTCCAAATTGCTGAAATTTTAGTAGCAGTTCCGATCAAATTTGTGCTGTTAAGGGTTGAAACAAGTAAATTCTATACCAAAAATGTATATTTCTCAAACTTACTCAAGGTATGTGTCTTTTACTGGATTGTGCAGAAGAAGGCGGATCTGATGTCATGGATTTTCTCCAAGTTGTAGATATCGATTTTAACGTCAAAGATCCCCAGTTTTGCAGCTTTTATGCTGCTGACATATACGAGAACATACATGTTGCTGAGGTATCATATTACATGATCGAAATATTTGATTTACATCTTTCCACTATTAACTTCCTGTAAATAATAATCTCGATATAACAACTTCATATAAAGACTTCGGAGTTATAACCCCTCTTTTCCTGCAGCTTCAACAACGACCTCTGGCTAATTATATGGAGCTTGTGCAGCGAGATATCGACCCAGGCATGAGAAGGATTCTGATTGACTGGCTTGTAGAGGTTAGTTTCCTTCAAACTTAGCACATATATTTATAAAGGCATTACTTTATCATGTTTCTTATTGAACAGGATACTGAACATTGCCTATACATAGCCTTCCTTGAAATTTTCGAGCACAAACTTAACATACTATTTCAAGCAGTTTGAGTAACATTTTTCACACTCTGTGATACTTCTTACAGGTTTCTGAAGACTACAAGCTGGTTCCAGATACGTTTTACCTTACAGTGAATCTTATTGATCGGTTTCTGTCCAGTAGTTGCATTCAAAGGCATAGACTCCAGCTCCTTGGTGTCACTTGCATGCTTATAGCTTCGTAAGTCCCCGCTTTGTTGTTTTTTTTTTGTGTGTCATTTCCAAGTTATAGTAACGCGATTCTGTTGAATAGCATTTCCATCCCAAGGATAACGCGAAAGTGAAATATAAGTATACTTGTTAAGTAGAGAAACATTAAAACTTTTCTCACCTTGTACCTTTTTGTTGAACCCATGAAGAAAATACGAAGAGCTTTGTGCACCGCCGGTCGAGGAGTTTTGCTTCATTACGGCCAATACATACACGAGAACAGAAGTAATAAACATTCAAATTACACATATATTGGTGTCTTCGATGTATATAGATTCTTGATAAAAATAAACAAATTAGAAACTGTGTTTCAGGTGCTGAGCATGGAGATTCAAGTTCTAAATTCTGTGCACTTTAAATTATCAGTTCCTACAACCAAAACCTTTCTGAGGTAAATACTAATGGCACAACTATATGCATCACCACATCTTCCTAAATTAGTTCAAAAACAGTATGACTCATTTTTCAACTTACCTCAACACTATGTTTGTCAGGCGGTTCATTAGAGCAGCTCAAGCTTCTTACAAGGTATTGAACAATGATCCATTCGCCATTAATCCTCAGTACTATGGAAACTTGGATTCTGATTTTGTTCCTCCTTCTTTCTTATAATTTATGCAGGCGCCTCTCGTTGAACTGGAGTTTTTAGCAAACTATCTCGCCGAGCTGACACTCGTGGAATACACTTTCCTAAGGTTCCTGCCATCACTAGTTGCTGCTTCAGCTGTTTTCCTAGCCAGATGGACACTCGACCAAACTGAGCATCCTTGGGTTAGTCATGTTTCTTGAATCTTGAATAAAGAATTTATTTTTTGGTGTGTTTGCTGATAAAAGAATGCTATTGGTTACAGAACCCTACTCTGCAGCACTACACCAGATATGAGGTAGCCGAGCTGAAAACCGCAGTACTCGCAATAGAAGATTTGCAGCTCAACACCAGTGGCTGTACCCTCACTGCAACCCGTGAGAAATACAACCAACCAAAGGTAAGTTACTCTACAAAACACCGTTAAGTCACGGATTGTTGAAACTGGTTCTAATTCTACATGACTTGGAATAGTTTATGAGCGTGGCAAAGCTGAAATCTCCCAAAAGAGCCGCATCAATTTTCTCAAGATGAATTTGAGCATAACCAAGCCCGGTGATCAAGTACCTAGTTTCAGACATTTGGTTTCACCTTTGATTTCCCGGTGTTTGTTTCTGTGCTAGTTATCTGTCTGTTTTTCTGTAGCTATCGTGTGGCGCTAGTGATTATAGGCCACTACTTGTCACATTTAGGTACCTTCACCTTACCTTTAATAAAGGTTATGGAATTTAGTTATCCCAAGCTTCGAGGTTCTGTACCTAAGAACTCTTGTAAAATGGATAGAGAAAAGTAATAAATATATATATGATTCATGTATCATGGCTTGGATTGTTATGTTGTTTGTTCTGATTTCACAATGCTATATACATATGGGAACGTTTAGATTCATCATACTTTTGTTTAGTAAGTGATGACCCCTTAGATGCACAAATCTACGGCAGCGTAGAGGGACAAAGATAGTGCTTACAGGCTGAGTTAAGAAGGCGAAGAGCAAAAGCAGCCAGAACAGAAGGAACTGACCACGAATTGTGGAAATAGTCAGGTCGCAGACTTATCTTCTGGTTGTCGATTACCACGACATCAATGACCATCACTGGCTTCCCAAATAACCCGTCGATCTTATCTCCGAGTTGAAGATATTGAAGTTACCATCCTCATGAATCCATCGCATCTAAGTTTTAGATCATCTCTGTTACAGCTACAGTTCACTACAAACCCCTAGACTAGTTATTATAGTCCTCCACTAGTCCGTCTAATGGACGATCGGTCTAGCCTTTGAGAAGGGAAGAAAACTAAGAATTCAATTGCTGAAAAAGGAGTAGAGTACACAAAATAAACAACTCACAAAACTCAGGATACATGAGTGCTAATAACACGGTGAAGACTGTAGAGTCATTTTCCTATCACGCTATTTGCAGGAAAGACAAGAAAACAAGCCCTACTGCACGTTCAAAACTCACTTCAGCTTAGATTTCGAAGAGCTCATTAGAGGTTTAGCAATGGGGCGAGCAGGAGCGGCCCTTGTGGCTTTCTTCAAGTCATACTTTATCATAGAGAAGGCGCAGATCATCGCAATCACCATGGTTGGGTACACATAAACGGTTCTGGTTGGGTCGGTATTCACTGGCTTCCCTAAGATCCCTTCTTTGACAAGACCCCAAACTAGTAGCAATGACCCAAACATGCTCATCCTACCGGGCTTTAGCAAACCCACAAACGCACCAGCTACAGAAAAATAGCTCCCTGCAAGAACCTGGCCAAAACAATTGGGTTAGTAACCGGTGGTTATATAAAGCAAAAAAAAAACGATAAGAGTGCTTATGAAACATGGGGAGATTTGGTATTAAAGAATCAGAAATGTGAGAATGAACTTGGAACCAAACCTCTAGGCGCTGAAGATCGGTCACTGCAGAAGCTTCTTTCACATTGGTGAGATTGTAAATATCAAACACATTTTCCCACTTTGGAAACGTCATGTTCGTGGCAAGACCATTGACAATAGCACCAGGGTACAGGAGAGCCTTGATCACCGGAACAGGAAAGATCTCACTAGAAATCAACTGAGATGATGTCACATGGATTGGCGACATACACATTCCAGATCTACATGGAACCCTGTTTTAAGATTAAGATTGTGATTCAAGTCAGATTAACAAGAAAGACAACCGAGTAACGAATGATCCATGGAATTACGAGCCTAATCTAATGACCAAGTTCAAACTCAAAACAATAAGCACCTCTTTTTCAAGGTCAGTTTAATCAATTTTGCTCTTACTTCAAGTCGATCACTAAGCAACGAAAATGAGCTTGCAGTTTCTTAATCTAGAGATCCAGAAGCTAATACATGCGAAAACATTAGTGTTCGAATTTCGCAGGTGAGAGATTGCTCTATTATCAATTTACCTGAAGAGAGGGATCTGGAGGATGATCAAGAGGAAGTAAACCCGTGAAGCTATCGAAGGCAAGTTCTTAATCCATCCCTTTGATTGCGCTGGATTCGCCATTATCAAGCCCGGAAAGAAAATAATTTGGAGAGAGAGAGAGAGATCAGCTTCTTCTCTAGGAGAGAGAGACAGAGTGGACCCGTTGTATCCAGCCGATAACGAGGAACGAGAAAAAAAAGAAACAAAATACTTTATAAACGACACGCTTTGCTATATTGTACACACAAAACAGCATCAGATTTTTCGATCTTTAAGGGACAAACGATGTCGTTTTCTCGGATGCATATAAAATCCACTTCCTTCCTCTGCTGAAAACAGCAAACAGTTTGATGATAAAAGCTATGGTGTTTGCTCTATCTTCTCCCGGCGTCGCCTTTCAACTTCACTCTCCGCCGTTGTCATCGTCGTCAGATTTATCCGCCAAGAGATTTCTGTTTTGGAATCAGAACGCTAGTCCTTGCGTTCTGTCTCTTCCTAATCATCGTCCTTCTCGCTCTTTACTTGTTTTTGCTCGTGGGAAGAGCCGGAAGGGATTCGCAGCTTCGTCTTCTTCTTCCCCGAAGAGGAACAAAAAGGTAAGAAAATGACACAACTCATAATCATTAGTTTGTGTCTCGTGAAAAATTGATTTTTCTGGAACTTTAATACACTAAGTTAGCAAAAATCGCCAGTAGAAGAAATGGGTGAATTCATGAATTAGAGTTGCCGCTTTTTGGTTTTGTATCATCCTTCGATTTCATTGTTTTTTTGGCAGAAAAGTTTCGAGGGAGATGATAATGGAGGAGGTGAGGAGGAGGATGATCCATTTGAGGCACTTTTTAATCTACTGGAAGAAGATTTGAATAATGATAAAGCGTCAATAGATGATGAGGAGATAAGCGAGGAAGACTTAGATGCACTAGCAGCAGAGTTAGCTGAAGCATTGGGTGGTGGTGATGATATTGATGGCATCGACTTGTTCGGTTCAGCTACTGGCGATGTTGTTGATCATGAGGATGACGATGACAGCGAGGATGATGACATCGAAGAAGATGAAAGACCTGCTAAGCTGAAGAATTGGCAGCTTAGAAGATTGGCTTATGCATTGAAATCTGGACGCCGTAAAACTAGTGTAAGTTTCATTCCATCCAAAGCTCATGTTTGAAAATAGATGTTGAACACAGTGTTTAAATCATAGTTTTTGGACTATTGTGCTTTATAGCAATTCCTCTAGAACGGGTTAAACTTCTGATTCAAATACATCATTGCTAATGGATGGTTTTGTTGTGATTTGCAGATTAAAAATCTGGCAGCAGAGCTTTGTCTTGACAGGGCTTATGTTATTGAATTGCTACGTGACCCGCCTCCGAAGCTTCTGATGCTAAGCGCTACACTGCCAGATGAAAAATCGCCTGTAAGAGCACCTGAAAACTCATCACCTGATCCAATTCCTGTGGATTCATCTGAAGATGTTGTTGCGGTCGAACCTGAGGAAAAAGTAAAAGACGAAGCAGTCCATGTGATGCAACAGAGATGGTCTGCTCAGAAAAGAGTGAAGAAAGCTCACATTGAAACACTAGAAAAAGTTTACAGAAGATCAAAACGACCCACTGTAAGGATTGTTCCTTTTAACACTTGGATTTAATTCTGTGTTAGTGGAATGTTCTATCTCATATAGATTTTTATGGATGTTTGAATGGTGTGTATAGAATGCTGTGGTTAGCAGCATTGTTCAAGTGACAAATCTTCCGAGGAAGCGAGTTTTGAAGTGGTTCGAAGATAGACGAGCAGAGGACGGGGTTCCAGAGAAGCGAGCTCCATATCAAGCTCCGGTTTGATTCAATGTTATAGCGAGATGGGCAATGAGTTGCTTTCAGATCAACATAGTCATCAAGGACATTTTTTGGTTATAAGAGGTGTGTTCAATGTTCATATTTTGTAGATTCAATCGAATGGTGGGGCTTATATGTTAAGCTAAGAGTTTATAGGATTCTTAGATTTCATTTTCTGGTTTATCTTTACTGAAATTTTATGTCCAATTTTCCAAGTAATGTGTAATAAACTGATATATCAGTTTCATATGTAAACAGTTTTTTTTTTTTCGTTTTCTTCATGAAGCACAAAATACATAAATAAATTATTTCATATTTCGACCAGGAAAAAAAATTTACTTTCATATGTAAACAGTTTTGATTTTGAAAACAGTGGCCCAGGCGTGGGCCATGTGGCAGAATGAAAGAACTAGGGCCAAACTCTCTGTCGAGGACAGACATGGGGTCCACTTTTTCTTATACGCTTTTCCATTATTCACCGTGCGATGCTGAGCAGATCCGACGACTATTCGCTGTCCACGTTACCATCTCATTTGCCTTTGGATCCTCGTATTTCCTCAAGGCTCATCTTTGACCACGATTTACTGTTTATATCCGTCCGATTCTCCTCAGATCTGACGGCGGTGGCCACACTATTCTACTCCTTCCCAAAATGACTCGCAATTAGATTCTCTTCTTCTTCCCAGTTCTGTAAAATCCCAAGTCCCGCTCTTTTCATTCTCTATCTTCATCACCAGCTTCTGTAAAATCCCACACTTTCTCTAACCTTAAAAGGAGATTCATAAAGTAAGAAAATGCAGGAACAAGCGACTAGCTCTTTAGCTGCAAGCTCTCTACCATCAAGCAGCGAAAGATCTTCAAGCTCTGCTCCGCATTTGGATATCAAAGAAGGTAAAAATTTCAACTAATTTTCGATTTTTTTTTCCTCTCCAAACGCCTGATCTCATTGAATATCAGCCCCATGCATTGGATATTGACTTAATTCCCGTCTATTTGAATTCACAATTGGGTCCGCAGTTTTTTAGTCTCGCCGACATAATTCTCGAGATCGAGAAGATCTGTCACTTCAGTTGTATCTTAAAAGTCTCAAACTTTTCGCCTAAATTCTCTCTCTTTTGTTCCGTCTCAGGAATAGAAAGCGACGAGGAGATACGGCGAGTGCCTGAGTTTGGAGGAGAAGCTGCCGGAAAAGAAACCTCCGGCCGGGAATCTGGATCGGCGACAGGTCTGGAGCGGACACAGACAACTGTCGGAGAAAGTCAAAGGAAGCGAGGGAGGAGTCCGGCGGAGAAAGAGACCAAGCGGCTGAAGAGGTGTTTTTTTTTCTTCACCTAATATTACATTTTTACCCTTCATTATAGTGGTTAATAAAGGTTGCGTGTTGGGGTTATTTCGTAATTTTGGTGAAAAAGGTTGTTGAGGAATAGAGTTTCAGCACAGCAAGCAAGAGAGAGGAAAAAAGCTTACTTGAGTGAGTTGGAAAACAGAGTGAAAGACTTGGAGAACAAAAACTCTGAACTTGAAGAAAGACTCTCTACTTTGCAGAACGAGAACCAGATGCTTAGACATGTACGTTTCCATCTAATGTCAATGATTGAACATTTTCGTTTAAGATATCACATTGCTGTCAAAATATCATGAATTCGCAAGCCTAGGATTCATTGACCAATTAGTTAAGTAGATCAAGAGGATTAAGAAGCTATTGTAAAGCTTGAGATTATTTCTTAAAGGTATGTAGATTCTTCAATGGTTCTTAAAATTCTCACTCACTGTGATCTATATGGATGCTTTTATCTTGTTATGATAAATCTAATTTGCTAGCCTATGGTTTTGCTGTTCTATTGGTGGAAAAGATGAGAATGCAAAGTTAGATTCTTTGTGTTTGTGCGGTAATAATGTCTTTTTTCTTTTTCTATCTAACAAGATATGAGTTGTTTGGGTGCAGATCCTGAAGAACACAACAGGAAACAAGAGAGGAGGAGGTGCTTCTAATGCTGATGCAAGCCTTTGATCTCCCTTCTTGTTCTTGTTCTATTTTTGTGGATAATATTTTACAGGGAATTGTATTATTATAAATATATTTAAATATTGTATGGGATGTGAGAGAGCCAAAACCGCAAAATTATAGACCGAGTTCTCCTGTAGTTAGAATTTCTGAATTCAAAACTAATGTTGTTATTATCTGTGGTATGATGACTCCCGAATTAACTCTGATAATTTTTTTGGATATTTACGACTTTTGCCCCTATGCTTTTCGATATTGAATGTTCGATTACAGACTATAAACAAGTCGATCAGGATGGCCACGATTTAGTAAACGAAGATGGTGTTTTAAATCTCGTCCATGCAAGTATTTTGATACTTTTGCGTTCCTTTATTAAATTCCAGGAAGCTCGGTTTTTTTTTATCTCTGGTTCTAGATTCTTTCGTTTGACTGTTTTGTTACAAAAAAAAAAAGGTTTGTTGTGTATTTTCTTGGATCTCATATTTCTAAGCTTCCTCTCTTGTAGGGACCTCTATGACTGTCGTTCTTGTAATTTTCTGTGAGGAAATGTTCAAGGAATTTTCTGTGAGGAAATATCAAGGAACCAGCAGCAAATTCAACTTTCCAAGTCAACGGAGTCAACGTTCTGTGTTCAATATAAACAAAGCCTCTTTATGATTTCTTCGTCCACATAGCTCCCTTTAAAGCTCTGTAATATTGACGACAAGAAAAAGCTCTGTAATATTGATCCTCTTTCCATCATACTAATTAATGGATTCTTCTTTTTTCCTTACCACTGTTGCTGCTGCAATAGGATGCTTTACCCTTTTGAGAAAACTCAGATTCCATCGAAAAGATAACAAAGAAAAGGATTCTTCTTTTTCTTCATCTCCTTCTCCTTCTTCTTCTTTGTCCCCTTCATCAGTTCCTCCACCTTCTTCTTCTCGCATCTGGACACACCATGTCTTTCCCAGCTTCCGCGGGGAAGATGTCCGCAGAGATTTTCTCAGTCACATTCAGATGGAGTTTCAAAGAAACGGAATCACTCCTTTCATTGATAATGAGATCAAAAGAGGAGAATCCATCGGTCCTGAGCTCATAAGGGCGATTAGAGGGTCTAAGATCGCAATCATCTTGCTCTCAAGGAACTACGCTTCTTCAAAATGGTGTCTTGACGAACTGGTGGAGATTATGAAGTGCAGAGAAGAGCTGGGTCAAACTGTGATGGCCATTTTCTACAAAGTGGATCCATCTGATGTTAAAAAGCTGACAGGAGATTTTGGTAGAGTCTTTAGAAAAACTTGTTCTGGTAAAAAAAAGGAGGACACTGAGAGATGGAGACAAGCTTTGGCAAAAGTGGCAACAATCGCTGGTTATCATTCAAACAACTGGTTCGTTCTTTTGATTCCCACTTGCTCTATACACTTGTAGCTTCCAAGAAATTCAATTTTTATTTAATGTATGTGATTTTTCCATGATTATTCTAATGGATGTATTTATATCCCCCATTGTTAGGGATAATGAAGTGGCCATGATCAAGAAAATCGCCACTGATATTTCGAACATGTTGAATAACTCCATATCATCAAGTGATTTCGACGGGTTAGTTGGGATGAGAGCTCATTTGGAAAAGATGGAACCATTGTTATGCCTAGAATCAGATGAGGTGAGGATGATTGGGATTTGGGGTCCTCCTGGGATTGGGAAGACCACGATCGCTAGAGTCGTATACCACCAACTCTCCAACAGCTTTCAACTGAGTGTCTTCATGGAAAACATCAAAGCAAACTATACAAGACCTTGTTCTGATGACTACAGCACGAAGTTGCAATTACAACAGCAGTTTATGTCTCGAATAACCAACCATAAGGATATGGAGGTTTCTCATTTGGGAGTTGTCCCAAATAGGTTGAAAGACAAGAAAGTTCTTGTCGTTCTTGATGGCGTGGACCAACTAGTACAACTAGATGCGATGGCGAAAGAGACTTGGTGGTTTGGTCCTGGGAGTCGAATTATCATTACAGCACAAGATCAAAGTCTTTTTAGAGCACATGGCATTAGCCATATATACAAGGTGGATTTCCCAGAAACTGATGAGGCTCTCCAAATCTTTTGTATGTATGCTTTTGGTCAAAAATCCCCTAAAGATGGTTTTGAGGAGCTAGCTTGGGAAGTCACAAAACTTGTTGGTAAACTCCCTTTAGGGCTAAGGGTTATGGGCTCCTACTTTCGGGGAATGTCCAAGCAAGAGTGGAAAAGTTCAATACCGAAGTTAAAGAGTAGCCTAAGCCCTGATATTCAAAGCATTTTGAAGTTCAGCTATGACGCTTTAGATGAGGAAGATAAAGATTTATTTCTTCATATAGCATGTTTTTTCAATCATGCAGAGATTGAGAGAATGGAAGCGTATCTTGGGAAGAAGTTCTTGGAAGTGAGGCAAAGGCTTAACGTCTTAGCTGAGAAATCTCTCATATCTATCGAGTGGCGGAAGAATTGGAGGCGTTCTGGGCACTCGTATTGGATAGATATGCATAGTTTGCTAGGACAACTTGGTAAGGATATTGTTCGTAAACAATCTATTGACGAGCCTGGACAGCGCCGGTTTTTGGTCGATAAAAGAGATATTTCTGAAGTACTGACTGATGATGCAGCAGTAAGTTTTGACATTAGTATTTGACTGCATTGCTACCTACAAATTCTGTTTATTTGACAACTAACCATCTCAACAATTTTTTGTTGTTGTCTGGTCCTTTTTTTTGCAGGGTGGTAAAAGTGTCATCGGCATAAATTGCTACTGCAACAGCGGAGATATCGATATAGATATAAGCGAGAGAGCCTTTGAAAGAATGACTAATCTCCAGTTTTTAAGATTAGACATTCACACATTCTGGGGTTCTAGCGCTCGTGGTCCTGGTCGCAACAAATTGCATCTACCGCGAGGTCTGAAATATATATCTCGTAAACTTCGATTCCTAGAGTGGAGATATTTCCCGATGAAATGTTTGCCTTCTGTTGTGAACGTGGAGTTCCTTGTCGAACTAATTCTGGCAGACAGCCAGCTTGAGAAGTTGTGGGAAGGAGTTAAAGTAAGTAATTTTGATTTATTTCGAATCTATCATTTTGTTTATTAGCAGAGTCTTTTTAACTCGAAAAAAAGCAGACTGATCTTGCCACTCCCGTTTTTGATTGGAAGGGTGTTTATGTGATGATTCTAATCGGTGTTTTTTGTTATTTGAATGTACAGTCGCTTCGAAATCTCAAGTGGATGGATTTGAGTAATTCTGTATACTTGAAGGAGCTTCCTGATCTCTCAACTGTCACTAACCTCAAGACACTGTATCTGAATGGCTGCTATAGCCTGGTGAAGCTCCCTTCCACCAATGGGTATACCTACAATCTGCAGGATTTGATTCTTACAAATTGCTCGAGTCTGACCAAACTCCCCTCCTCTATTGGGCATGCCACCAATCTCCAACGATTAAATCTCCGTAGATGCTCAAGTCTGTTGGAGCTGCCCGCCTCTATTGGAAATGCCACTAATCTAAAGGACTTGATCCTTAATTATTGCTCAAGTCTGGTGGAGCTGCCCGCCTCAATTGGGAATGCCACTAATCTAACTGTCTTGAACCTTGAACGTTGCTCAAGTCTGTTGGAGCTGCCCGCCTCAATTGGGAATGCCACTAATCTAACCGACTTGAACCTTGAACATTGCTCAAGTCTGGTGGAACTACCTTCTTCTATTGGAAATGCCACTAATCTAACCGACTTGAACCTTAGATATTGCTCAAGTCTGGTGGAACTACCTTCTTCTATTGGAAACCTTCACAAGTTGGAGAAACTGAGATTAAAAGGATGCTGTAAGCTAGAGGTTCTGCCCACCAACATCAACTTGGAATCTTTGGAGGTACTTGATCTCACGGATTGCTCGATGTTGAAAAGTTTTCCTGAGATTTCCACAAACGTTAAACGTCTCAGGCTCAGTGGAACAGCAATTGAACAAGTGCCTCCCTCGATCAGGTCGTGGCCTCGTCTTGCTGACTTCTCTATGTCGTACTTTGAAAACCTCAAGGAATTGCCTCATGCTCTTGAAAGAATCACACGGCTGGACTTGAGCAATACAGAAATACAAGAATTATCACTCCCACAGTTTACAGATTCCTTCTCAACGCTTGATGCAGAAAATTGCGAGTCCCTGGAGAGACTGGATTTCTCCTTTCTCAATCCAAGGATTCGTCTCAACTTCGGCAACTGCTTCAAACTGAATCAAGAAGCAAGAGACCTCATCATCCAGAGTAGAGGAGAAGCGGTCTTACCAGGTAGACAAGTGCCTCCGTACTTCACTCACCGGACCACTAGCGGGAATTCGTTAACAATTAAGTTGAAAGAGAGGCCTCTTCCTAAATCCATGAGATTTAAGGCTTGCATCTTGCTGGTTTATAAAGGTGACGATAATGAATATTCTCCTGATGATTACTTCCATTTAACGTATAGAGAAGGGACAAAGCCTATAAAACCGGTTTTAACAGAGCATCTGTACACATTCGAATTTGAAGCGAAGGTGACTTCGAGCGAGCTCGTCTTTGAGTTCCAAATGGAAAGAATTGATGTTCCTTCAGATAATAACGGTTGGAAGGTTGAAGCATGTGGGCTACTCCAACTCTTGGAGGTCCCTTGATGTTGTTGATGAGCACGATGACAGCTTGAGCAGTGGCCATGTTGGATGCAAAATTAACAATAATTTATCTCCGTTTATCTTTTTGCTCTGCCTTTTTGAATCACACTGTACAATATGTTCCTCTGTTTTTCACATTCAAAATCCGGTCTCTTTGGGATGTGTAGTTTATTCCAATATTGTTAAATCGTCAGGGGTAGAACTGGAAATTCTGTGAAACCCAGATTGTCTTCTTGCTCCACTGTTACAGTGTTAATAATGGAAAACCCTAGAATTAAGTCATTTCCGCTTAAACCCTGAACTCGCTTCTCTCAATTCAGGTTCATGTCTTTTCCGGTTTCCTCTTCTTATCGAAAATCTTAACTTTTTGCTGCCGACACATCTCAATTGATCGATCAATACTGTACATCACCAAAGTTCTTCCTCATTCTCCAATCTCGTTCTCTCTTTAATCTCTCCTTTCTGATTGTTTTTTTCCTTTGTATCTGAGTCTTTCTGGTTGTTGTTGATGATCTTTGGAGTTTCGGATTATATAAACTGAAACCTCGCAGGGACTGTTGTGTGAAACCATGTTTCTCACGCGATTTCTCGGGAGGAGATTCTTGGCGGCTGCATCCACGACCACGAGATCAGAGTCAACTTCTGCAGCAGCTGCCTCATCGATTCCAACAGCCAAAAACCCTCTCGAAGAGTTCTTCGAATTCGACAGAAGCCAAGACGAAGACAAACCTGTTGTCTACGGTGCGTTTTTTCATTCTTTCTCACTGTGTATTTTTTATCTTCTTACTATACATGCTTTCTTCAGATCGGCCCCGTAGCGTACTTGTGGATTGTTCATAGAATGTACTTTATTGAACGAGTACTTAAGGATCTCTGCTAAGGGAATGATTGTAACCAATTACATTTGAATGTTTTTGGTTCCTTTTTTTGATTACTCATGTAACACTATTGTCCCTCTTTGAGCATCTTTTTTTTTTTGGATTATGCGATGAAATATTTTGGAAGTTGTAATGTTAAAATTAAGGATTGTTTGTTTTGTTGATGGGGATTTTGAAGAACGTTTGTGACTATTTTTGGTGTTTTAGGCCGAGGTTGGAAAGCTTCAGAATTGCGTCTCAAGTCATGGGATGATCTTCAGAAGCTGTGGTATGTTCTTTTGAAAGAGAAGAACATGTTGATGACTCAGCGTCAGATGCTCCAAGCTCAGAACATGCAGTTTCCAAACCCTGAACGCATTCCCAAGGTAACACAATGCCGGCATTATCTCTCTCGTTTAGGTTTAAGTTGTTGAAGAATTGATGAATGTTCTGAAAAGAAATGTGAATCAATTTAGGTGAGGAGATCAATGTGCCGCATAAAGCATGTACTGACAGAGAGAGCAATTGAAGAACCGGATCCCAGAAGATTAGCCGAGATGAAAAGAATAATAAATGCTATGTGAATGTGACTCGAGCCGATTCGCAGAGGCTTTGGTACACTAATAAGTAACGTTTAGTGTTGAAGAGGCTGAAGAAGATTTGGCCTTTGTTCTTTGTACTGGTACATTGCTTGTGCTTGTCATGTTGCTGCTTGTAAGAGCGATGTGCACATTTTTTGTAAACCCATATGTTAAGCTCTTTGTCTTTGAACGTAATCCAACATCTAACGAGTAGAGAGCAAATAACAAAGTTTTGTTTCATCTGTAATATTTCATTATTATTGGAACTTCGTTCTGTGCCCAAATCATTTTTTAAGAAAAGTATTGCTTACTTGACGAAAAGAGATTTGTTTTGTTGGCATTAAAAAGGTAAATATCACTCTGTGCAATGAGTAAACACTCTTCGGCTCAAAAATACAAATTCTAGTAACTCAAAAAGACAAAAACGTGAGAAGAAGCAAAGCTCCTTTCTCTAATCTTCACACATTATATCTCCTCCATCAAGGTATCATCTGAAAGTAAAAACCGTAGGGCAAGATTTAGATAAAACATTTTGATCACAAACCAACATGCGGAAAAGTAACAAAAAAAACCATTACCTTTATCCTTTCCATCGTCGCTGCTTAATTCAGATTCATTATCATTCTCAGTATAGAAATGATCTTCAACATCTTCCTCCTCATCCTCACTTTCATCACTCTCTTGATCATGACCTGTTGTTTGACTCTGATTCCCTGCAGCTTTATTGATCTGCCATAAAAGAAAAGTTTTATTGAAAAGTAAATAGCCATGTATGCTAATTACCAAGTCGATAATTAATTAAGAAGATGATTGATATGTAACCTGGGCTGTAACAAGTTGTAAGCGACCAGATAACTGTAGTAATTGTTGAAGAGCTGTTCCTCGGGACTTGGTAATCTGGAAGAACAGTATAACATAGTTAAACCAAGCATATTTTACAGAACTAACCAAAATCTTTGGCTCAAGTCTTATCTCTTACGTTATGCAATGTATTAAGCAGCTGTTGTTTTTTTGGTTCTTGGGACATGATGTAATGACTGTGATTCACCATTATACTGTATATCCATGGAAGAAGATACTTCCCACCACATCCCCTGTTGAAATAAATGCAACTGTGTTAAGACCAAAGCACCAAGCAGATTTAAATATTTGTCGTAGCTGAAGAATAAACGAAAACGCTAATTTAGTAGAGAAGAACACTTTTCGGGGAAAAAGGTTAGAGAAGAACATTTGGGTTTTAAGCGCTAACTTATTTTCCAATGGTAAAAACTTCAATAGTAAGCACAGATGAGACAACTGCGTCTATAGCAAACGAGCAAAGCAGAAAACCAACCTTGTCTGCCACATAAGAACCAGAGCTTCTAGAGTCTTGAACGCAGTAGAGGGTGCCATTGACAAAACAGCAGACTTTAACTGCCAGTACAAAAATTAATGACTATGATTGGTAGATTCAAAGAAAAATCTCTACAGAAATATGTAAAAATGCCAAAGAACTGAGCATCCAGAAAGGAAAAATACCTTCTTTGGTGGTAGATAAGCCTCAAGATCAATTCCATCAACTACTGAAGCATAGGAAAGATTGCTTGATTCATCTGTACCTTTAAGTATCCCTAATGATCTCAACCTATCCTCCATGCTAAATGTTTCTACAAGATCTGAAATTTCAAAACAAAAAAGAATGAACAAAAAGGCCACAGCAGTTTTGACACTGAAGCATCTGTGTATATATATTAAAATAACCAAAACAATCAAACGATCTCCATTGGTATGATGATTGTGTTAATGAGAGGTCTGATAGTCAACTTCAGTACCGTGATGTAAAACTCACCCGCTTGACTTTGGTCAGCCATGTCTGTATCCTTATCAGATGAGTGTGGTTGTACACTCTTTTTCTCGTGCAGATCAGAAACTCTTGCAATTGGCAACAAAGCATCCTCCGCATGTGCACGATCTAGTGTTGTAACTATACAAATATAAAATCATAGTCAGCCATTGTTATTGACACCAAAGGAAGAGAAATGGAAATCGAAAGGAAGGGAAATGTTAAACAGTTAACACTACTGGAAATCTCAAATAAAATAATCAATTTGATTTTCGCAATACAATGATACAAAACAAACACAGCCTAATCAATATGTTGGAAGTTTCATGATTTAGTCAAGGGTATAGCCCATAGGAGATACCTTTATTTTGCACGCCTTGCCCCTTCTTGGACTTGGAAACTGACTGAGCTATGGGGAGAAGGATCCCATTCTTAGAGGCATTCAGCACCAGGTCGTTGCCAAACTGCAACACCATTTTCTGAAATGATGGTTTCACCAGCAATCCAGACGCAATAAATGCATGCGCAGAACCAGGCTTCAAAATGCCTTGTAATTTTGCAGCAAAGATTACAGGCAATGATCCCTTGTGACGTTTAAGCGAAGAATCTTCAGTTGCTAATGCGACTTTTGTAGGTTTTGCATTGCATAGTTCCTCAACATTCGATCCATACCAAAAATAACAGACCCCTATTTCTGAAATTGCCAAAACGTATAAACCTTTCTCATCAGTTTCACCCCAACTATCCACAAACACGGGAGGGTGTTCCAGGGCAAGGACACAGCTAGCTGACTGCTTCTTAGGACCATCTGTTTTCCACAGTGCAATATACCTTTCACCAACCGCAGATGAGAGGACGTATTTTCCATCCTCAGTAAAAGCCACACAACGCACACCTCCCTATATAACATTAAAAACCGTTAACCACCGTCTAATATTTGAAATAGAGGCAGCCTCCTAACAATAAAACATGGTAGATACAAATATTGCTGAAAAATAGTACAGGTACTCACTGGATGACCAGTAAACTTCTGTAATTTCTTGAGATCAGAGCAATTAAAAGTCTTCAACTGAGCAGATGCAGTGGCTAATATTTTTCCATCTACAATTAGGAGGAAACAAAACAAAGCAAAAACATTATCAGCTGGTAAGTACATGTCCCAGCTTATGCATGTTAACAGAACTTTCCCAACATTACTTATTGTAGGCTTTTCGACCATTCAAAAGATATTTGAAGAAACCAACGGAAGCAATACATCTCCAGAGACGCACCTGGTGAAACAGATAAAGACGAAACAGCTTTTGTTGAAGCTTTGAACTTTCTGATCAGATTTCCACTATGGGGATCAATTTCACAAACCATCCCATCTGCACCACCGGTGTATAAGCAGGAGGCCTTTGTAGAAGATGAAACAGCATTGACACCACTGAACAAGACAACAAACACATTGATAACTGTCAAAAACTCTACTGTGTAAAGGGGCTTCAAAGGGGGAAATATAACAGAGAATCGTAAAGAGAGTAACTACCTAGCCAGTGAGATAAACAAATAGTAGAATGTCAAGTTTACAAAGAATCTCACCCAGGATGACAGTCACTTATTCTCCACTTCAGCTGACCAGAAGCCACATCAAGTGCTAAAACATCTCCTCCACCAGTTCCTAATACCAATATGGAAGTTCCAAGTTTTCTCTTCTTCTGCAAATGACAAGAATTAAGTTTAGTTGTCAACATAAACAACGAATTCACAAACTAAATCTACGCCGCAAGGCGATAACAAAATAAATAAAAAAGGTATCTTTACCTTTTTCTCCAGGGACAACCATTTCATGCACGTATAATCAACCGAGAAGTGGCCTTTCCCAACCTTGGTATATATGTTGGTGCCTTCGGCAGATGCAATATCAGCAAACTCTGTTTGGACCTGACCCTTGACAGTGTCCCAAATCTATACAATGTCGAAAGAAATTACATTAATCAAAAAAAAATATTTCCTTTGAATAGAAAATCCCGACAAATTGAACAGGAATAAGAAATATGAGCCATAACAGAAGAAAACTAAAGGTACCTTGATACGGCCATCTCCGGTGCTAAGAGCGAGATAATCTAGAGCAGGACTGAAAGAAGTCAATACATCCCTAATGTTCACCAAATTCATCTTTCCCCTGTAAATCGTTTCACGCAAACAATCAAATACATGCGTACATAATACATACATTAGTATCACCAAACTGGAAAAAGATCCCGATTTTCATTTCTTCCTTATCAATCCACAACGAAAATCTACCTAATGAGTAAGAAATTAATGGATTTAGTGTATTCTAGTCCATGAAAAAGAAAACAAATTTCACACACAAACTGATTTCCGTTGAAAAAAATGCTTCACTAACTAAACCAATAGCTCCAAAACATGATAATTCAACTTAGAGATTAACAAGGAGCTAACCAGCTCACACATACCAGGCGCAGGAGACGGAGAAGAAAGAAGTGGATGTCAGAGAAATACAACTCCAGCAATGAATCTGTAGGCGGAAGAGGAGAAAGAGATAAAGAGAGAGTGAGCGCTCGGGAAGAAGAAGAAGGATGAAAAGAAGTAGATTAGGGTTTTTGAGAGGTTTTTCTCGTTATTTCTGGGGTTCGAAACGGCGAACGGGTTAGTCAAATTAATGGTTACGGGTTTAAGGAACTTTTATTTATCAACCGTAACTTTAACAAGTTGATAGACGGTCGAGATATGTTCGGAAATAAAAGGCCAATAATGGGCCTTAATAAAACCTCTGTAATCAATGTTGTTCCCGAATAGTGATTGGGCTTTAGTTAAGAAAATAAAAATCCAACTTATACGGAAAAGCTGGTCTCCTGATCTAGAAAAAAACCGCGGGAACCGACAAGTAAGTGTAACAGCCCGCTACTAGCGAGACAGTTTCTAGGGTTTCTAGTGAAGAATTATAGAGTACGAAATTAGAAAACTTAGAAATATGCATACTTATAAATAAATTAAATAAAAAAGAATTTGAAATATAGAAAACAAGAAATAGAAACGCGAATCCGAAATGGTAGTCGTTTATAAGACTGCGAAAGAAACCAACTTTCTTGCGATCTAAGCTACTCTTTTCTAGGGCTTATCGTTTCTTTCTTGCTCCTCCGTGAAATCTAAAACCCATCTATCAACTCTTTCTGTTCGTCTCTACTCGAGAGAGAGAGAGAGAGAGGCGCATTGTGATACAGGAACAAGTACGGATTTTAGTGAGTCGCGACTACATGACTGATCGGGCTTTGCCGGCGTCGGAGACAGTTCCGACGACTGCGAGGGGTAATGATGCTGCGGCGGTGACATCGTTCGGACCTGGCTTCCGATTTCATCCAAGCGATGAAGAACTCATTAGCTACTACTTGACGAAGAAGGTTAAGGATCCGAGTCAGAGCAAACCCATGAGTTTCGATTGGATTGGGGAAGTCGATGTTTACAAGCACGATCCCTCTGACTTACCAGGTTCTCTTGATTTCTCCGGGTTTAATCTTCCTCTGTTTCTTGACTTTTGATTTTGGGATTCTTCTGTTTTAGATTTCGTCTTCTAATCAATATGTTTTGTGTGAGTAATCTAACTCTCTCTCTCTAAGAGATAGGGTTTTTAGCTCAAAGGGTTCTGGGAATTTTCTGCTGTAGATTTCTTGGCTTTTGCATTTGCTATTCTTAAGTTAAACTGTCAAACAATCAAGATTGACTCTTTAATGCGTCAAAAACGAGCTTATGTCGTGTTCTGGAATTGGTTGCAGGAAATGCAATTTGAGGTTAAGTCTTTTAAGTAGATTTTGTATTTGTTTCAGGGCATTCGAAGCTGAAGACAAAGGACCAAGAATGGTTCTTCTTCAGTTCCTTGGAAAAGAGGTACATAAACAGTGATCGAATGAACCGAGCAACAAAGGAAGGCTACTGGAAAAAAACTGGAAGGGACAGAAAAATCAAGAGCGGACAAAAGCTAATCGGTATGATCAAGAGTCTTGTGTTTCACCGTGGCCGTGCTCCAAATTGTCTGCGAACCAATTGGGTGATGCATGAGTATCGCCTCGTTGAAAACAAGCAAGGCCTTGAGGTGAATCATTCTCTCTCTCTCTCTCTCTCTCTCTCTCTCTCTCTCCCTCTCTCTCTCTCTCTCTCTCTCTAAGATTCTCTTGGATGTCACTTGAGCTGTGGATTGGATCATCTCTTTTGATTCTGGATTCAGCCTAACCTGTGACTTTGTATTTACGGATGCAGACAGATGCGTATGTGCTGTGCAGACTGTTCCGCAAGGGAAACGACTTGGGACCTGGTGGCTGCATATATGCGCCCTTCTCGGAACAAGATTGGGATGATGATGTTGATGGTGGAAGAGCTCCTGTTCCAAGCGTTGTGCAGGCCAATAGAAGCAACGAGATTCCTCAGGTTTGTTGCTTCTCACTACTCTGTTTTTATTTTTGCAGAAAACGTTTAAAAGCTAGACTTATGCAAACTCTGTGTTCCAAGTGTTGTTCCTGTTTAGTTAAGTCCATTGAGAGAGATTTTCATGGTTTTTTTGTTTTTTGAGATTACTGTGATAAGGCGAAGCATTTCGGTTATTCAATCAAGATTTGTTTTAGTTCATTGAATTCTCATGTAACTGTTAGTTTTGTTATAGGAAAACCACTCGCAGAGCAAGAGCCTCATTGACCTCAACGAGCCCGCCTACTTTGAGATCCATGACGATCCAAAAATAGTTGATCAGGACGATAATAATGAGCCACTGACGCAAGCACTTTGTGTCGTCAACAAAGAAGTTCCATTTCCTCTCATGATCAAATACAAACGCAAGCGCCAAATCGACTCTATTGGAAGCTACAATAACTCAAGCCAAACCACTCATCAGAACCATTGTTCCTCCACGCTGGAAGTGAGCGAACCAGAACCAGTTGCTAAAATGGTACCTACAAGTTCCTCCTCCACCGAGCTGATCAACCATTTGCAGAAGGAGAAGCAACAGATGGCTGTGGAGGGAGAGACGTATAAGCTTCAGATGACGAATGCAGAAATGACGATAAGCTTTCTTCAGGCAGAGATTAATAAACTGCGTGTGGAAAATGAGGAGCTGAAGAAGAGCAACAGCAACAAGTGACAATGCTCTTAAAAGGACACAACAACAACAAAAAAGGCGCCCAGTTATGTTGTCTCAGGTTTCTTCTATCTATTGTACTTATGTAGCTTACGTTTCCATGGAGTCTTTAGAGACGAAGTTAGTCTTCTGAGCTATGTGGATCTATTGGGAACTATGGGAATCTATAATTGTAAAAAATAGGTTGAAACAAAATGTCTATTTCCCTTTCTTTTTGCCTTTGTTGTTAAGATGTGAAGTTCGTTAGCAGTGGATATGAAAAGACGATCCACAAAATCTACCATCCACAAGTATACTGAAACTTTCAATAATTTCAGTAGAAAACCCATAAACAGAGGTTTTTGTAACACCATTTTTGTAATCATAAATAGCTTGAAGAAAACAATACGAAAGGAGAAAAAGCTTTAAGAAAAAGAAAAAAAAAACGAAGAAGAAAGCAATAAGAAGTTATGACATCACTACCTATGAGCAAATCAAAAGGAACCTCAGATTCTCATAAGAACCAGTATAATCAATAATACTTGTCTTCCATTCCATGCTCTTATTCAACCAATTATGTCCATTTTTCTCTTTGATTCTGAGTCAAAAAAACAAACTCTTTCATTTAGTTCTCAGACTCATTCTTCTTACCTTCTCCATCTCCTTCCCTCTCTTCCAACAATCGACCACTCTCTTCATCAGCTTGCTGAATCTTCTTCTGAGCCTCTTTAGCCTTCAAGGCCTGCAATTTCGCGTGATTGTAGTAGGCAACTCCCAAGAACGCGATCCCGTACCCGAAAAGGTTGATTGGTGTCACAGTGTCCTTAATCACAGACCATGAGAAAGCGATCAAGAGCCAGTCCTTAACCACACCAGCAACATTCATGGTCAAAGCAGAGGTCTTCCCAACCAGAAGGAACACAGCAAGATTCAGAGCGAACGCACAGAACGAATTGGTCCCAAAGATAGCGTAATCGAAGTGGAAGCTAGATGTGTCCCTGAGAACCGGAAACTCAACGTAGATCCATGGAATAAACAAGAAAGCCAAGCAGCAAGGAGCAACGTAATAGAGAGAAGTGATTGGATTAAGAGTGATTCCTTTGGAAGTGAGTAAGATCTGAATCAAAACCAAACGAGTCGCCTCGAAAGCAACCGCACCGAGCTGGAGAATCACACCCCAGACATCGAATCTAGCCTCGCCGTAGGCGGCGATTGCGACACCGAAGGAGATCGAGAGCATGTTAACCATAGTATCAGATTTGAACCCTTCCTTCTTCAGGAGAACGCCGATGGAGTAAACGGCGACTGGCATGAGGGCTTTGAGCATCTGGATGAAGGAGACGGAGAGGTAAATGTAGGCGGAATTGGAGAGCCAGAGGGAGAGAGAGTACAATGCTCCGATTGGGACGACGGATCTGAGGTAAGTTTCGCGAGACATTGAGACAGGCTCGACGAATTTGAAGACCTTGATGAGGAGGAAAGCTAGGGTTGAGCAGAAGGACATGTGGATCATGGTGAGAGAGATCGGGAATGGCCAATTGTACATCTTCTTGTCCAGGATGTATTTGTTGTAGACGATTACGGTGAAGCTGAGGAAGATCCATATCGCTACGTAGCTGTATGAGAGGACGATCTTCTTAATCACGCTGTCGCTGAGCGCGCCGCCTTTCCCCATCGTACTCGGATTTTCCGGTGAGATTGATTCTCCGAATGACGACGGTTCTGCGGCGGAGAACGACGGTGGTGGAGGAAAAGTAAGCAGAGAGAGAGAGAGAGAGAGATGGTTTGCTTTGTTTGTTTGTTTGGTGAGATCCTGAATAAAAAGTGTTGGGACTTTTCAGAAAGAAGTGCCCGTGTTGTGCTCTTCCATATTGTCCCATTTATCGAGTTATATACCCAATTAAGGTACCGTCAAAATATTAATTTTTTTTTTAATAAACGATAATAATGTGAAGATAGTAACGAACACAAGTAAATAATCGATAGTAGTCACGGTTATTGATTGAGATAACGCTTTCGAAAACAACAAAAAAAAATATTGTATTTATTTATGAAAATATCTATCTAGTAGTATCTGGTAGTTAGATTCTTGGGATTCTTTTGCCAACAAATTAGCTAGTAAAGATTCCCAAAACAAAAAAAAAATTCATGGTGGTTTTTATTCAATCAACAAAATTCATGGTGGTTTAGTGTTTGTAATATTCGCAACAAAATTGTGGAAAAAAGTTCGAAACCTATTCATTGTAAACGCATTAGAATATGGTTTATTTAAAATAAGCAAGTCGTACAAATTTGATGTAGATAAATTTGTTTTTCAATGAATAGAGATTTTTTAAAAACATGTCATACTCATGAACAATTGTCATCATCCTAAAGATTCCCCTTCAAGTGTTGTGGCTTTAGTCAATAAATGGGCCCACAGATCGCAATCAAAGCCCAATATTTTGTGCGTCCACAAGACGCCAGGACGAAATTGGTGTTTGGCGAACGCGCGTCCAGCGTTCAGGTATGATGATGATCCATGCGTCTCACCAAAATCACGCGGCCTGCGATGCGCGTTTTGTGTGAATGAGACTCAATGCTTTTGTCGCTTGGACGTGTTTTTCCCGCAAGGCGAAATAATTAAACAATGGTTCTGTTCTTTTTTCGTTTTCGTTTTTTGTCATTTATTAACATACACCAAATATAAAAATGGAAAAATAAAATTAAGACACTCTACTTGTGTAATTGGTCAATAAGAAGATATAATTTTTGTCTTCTTCCTTCGGATGGGTTGGTACTCGGCTTTCGAAGACTGTTAGTTCATCTATTATTGATGTTCTTGACACTTTTATAGATAAGAATGTAATCAGCTGGGAATAATCGTTTAAGATAATGACAAAAGTGATAATAATATTACAATGTGGAAAACGTCATTGATTCATCTTAGAATTCTATATTATTAGGTGCGCGTTGAAGAAACTACATTGGGTTTGAAATTTTAAGATGTATCGAGTTGATTAACGCCACATACTCTGGGTGATGTTAAATTATTACCAAACACACTGTCCATATAAACCAATTGCATTCGAAGGTTATGTGTTCATCAGTGCGGTAAATACAACATCAGATTCTTCTTCTCCCCAAGATTCATTGGAGATTTTATACATCAACAACTAGTGAACATCTAAAACAAAAGTCACCGTTGACCTAACTTTACGTGAAATCACTGTTAATGGTAGATCACCTTATTCAGCAATATACAGATATAAAAATTACTAACAACAAAAAGAACGTAAAATGTAATGTAATGTCACTTGGAGTGAAATATAATGTTTGATAATCTGGTTTTCATGGATCCTATCTTGGCGGCGGGATAACCCTGTTTAACACGATTTGAATCAACTGAGAGTGAAGATGTCAGCTTTTAATATTTTTCGGAAAAGCAAACGAAAAATCGATGGGTCTCAACTGCTAAGTTAAAAAGTGCCTAAACGATATTAATTATGAAAAAAAAAATCATGTTCCACAACACCAAAGTCAATATATCCACATATGGTATATTCTCGGCCCATTAGGCCTGACCATTGAGGTATTCAATTTTTATTTACTTAACATGAGTCTATAAATATTAAATCCTATCTTCTTTTCATCTAGCGTTTGTAGTCCAACGGTTAGGATAATTGCCTTCCAAGCAATAGACCCGGGTTCGACTCCCGGCAGACGCATGTTTTAAGTATTTTGTCGGTATTTTTTTTTTCTTGTTAATTCTAAATGGGAACCAAATATAATCATTACCTCCAAATGAAAATAAGAAAGTTGGCCCCACGCAAATGTATCTTCCTGTCTCAGATTTTTCTTAAGTTATAGCAAAATATAATTAATTGGAGTATGGAAAAAAAGTTGGAATAAAAAGATTTCATTCTGAAACTTAACATATTATTCTTATGTAAATTTCTCCTTTCACCTATAGTACTTCAATTGCTCACATTTTTTTATTTCTTTCATGAAAAGAAACAAGATGCGTTCATGAATAAATATAGTGTGTTATATATATACTCTTGTTCTAAAGGAAATTTGAAGTATGTATTATCTTTAGCACAAAAAAAGAAAAAAGAAAAAAGAAGTATATTGGATATCTGAAGTGATCTTCAAAAACTCAGGACATGTGAAAACATATTCCTTGATTTCAAAGTGAAGACGTGATTGGAGCGTTACATATGTTTTCTAGTTATTAGACTGGAACAACAAAATAAAAACTAATTTTGTTTTTTTACTTTTAATTAATCAAACAGGTACGTCCATTGGGACCATCCCTTTTCTCGTTATACTTACGAGCCCAAATGTGCTTCCCGTTGATCCGAAACTTTCTGAGCTTCCCTCCCTGGAGTATACGATCCACCGTAACGACCGAATCCAAGACCAGCTTCGCAAAAAGCGATTGTTGCATAACCTCGCTATTCACGTTTGTGCTGGAGGCGTTCTCTGGCATGTAAACGCCTACAACACAGTTTTCTCCAAAACGTTCGGTGAAGAGTGCCTTCACTTCCGCCTGAGACACAGGAAACCCACGAGAAAACGTTATAAACATGGTTCGATCGTTCTCAGTCGCGACGCAGCTAGCGTTCCACCTCCAAAGACCATCAGGAAAGAGGAATAAGTTGTTGTCGGAAAAATAATCCCTACCAAACACATCAGACATGACGTTAATGCTTCCGAATGTCTGATCCGGGAAACCGGGGATGTTGAGAGGGTATCGGAGTCTGGTGACGAAGGAGGATGATACTGATGATGAAGAAGGTGGAAGAACTTGTTGAAGGATATCGGAGAAAATTCTAGAACAAACGGTGTTTAAGAAATTTTTGATTCCTGCTATGGCAGTGTATCGATGTTTGTATATCATGAGAAGGGAGATGTCTTTTTTCATGAATCTTACAGTGAGAGGGATTCGGTTAAGGCCATTTGGGGGTTCGGAGGAATCAAGGCACCGGAAACACAAGACGGCCTCATTGGCAAAAGCTGCAATGAGTGGATCAGGGAGAGCCATGATGATCGAGAAGATGTTTTCGAAGCCAAAATCTTCAAGCCAAAACCATGTGGCCATGACAAGAAGTGATTCAGCTGGGGGTCTTGAGAATTTTATCACCAATTTAGAGAATATCTCTCTGTCTTGGGCATGGAATGCGTGTAGTTGTTCTATGGTAGGGCTTGACATCATTGGTTTGGAGGTTGGACTCTGAAGAAACTATTAGATTTATATTAAAAAAGGGAAATCGAAGCAGAGAGTTTGGAGATTGTGAGAGGAATTGACAAATTGTTGAGATATATCCTTGTCATTATCTAATTGGTTCGTTTTATACGTATATGAGGGTCACACTTTTTTTGAAGGTTATTTAAGACAATGAATGGCAGGATTTAGTTATCTTATCTAATCATAAATTTGATGTTTTATGATAGTTCTAGACTTCTAGTTTTTAAGTAACGGTTACAAAATTTTTAAAAGGAAATGAGCATTGGTTTGACTAATACACGTAATTAAATTACACTCCCACTGACAAGATTCTTTGGACTTTAGCTGACAGTTGGCATTGAATTAACAAAATACAAATAAATAAATATAATTAGGTAATATAAGTTATTATGTTTTGTTGCAATTCAGGTAAAAAACCTTTATATATATGCTAAGTTGAGCTGAGCATATATAACTTTAGCAAACCATTCTTTCTTCCCATATGAGTAAAATGACTTTAACTATAAGTGGACACCAAACTTTTTCCTTAATTAAGATGGTCAATGAGAATTTGCCACGCCTCTATTCATTGTACGCAATGACTTTATTTACACTTGGGTATATTAGAAATTATATTTATGATGTCCTTCTTTTTAACTATTTATAGTGTCCTTTCTTTTCATTTGCATGTTCTTTTGTTTCTATCTAATTGGAGTAATTTTAATGTTTAATTTATTTTCTACATTTGCGATTGGTTATAAAAATGGGTAGATATGCTTTTAAAAAAATTTGATGATAAATATGGTAATAAATGATATTTGATTTTTCTGTCACAATTTTTTTTTAAATATCAGTTATCACCAATTATATCCTAATGAAACAATTATATTTACAATATTAAAAAAGTTGGTTATATTTGATTCTCTTGTAGTTTAATTAAAAAAAAACTAAATTTAATAGCTACCTATAATTTCTTATTTGACTCTTTTGGGCACATAGTCAACAACAACTCGTTTGAATATGAAATTTATACCTCAACGTAACAAAGTCTTCAGTTTTGAGTATGAAAATGTGTCACATTTTGGTATAGGAATTAAAACTCAACCAGAATTAAAAGGAAATAAAAAAATTCTGACATGAATACAGTAAGGTACCTCCAAAAGGACTTAGAAACATTGTCCCTTGGATTTAAAGGTAGCTTGGGAGGGAATCAGGGAACTACTTTAACTTGCTATGATGCCCCAACCAAGAAGACTATATACGGGTATCGGTATGGAACTCTTTGGCTGATATATATAGAACAAAAAAAAAACAAACGGAAAATGCAAATGAAAGCAATCACGAGAAGCAAGTCTAATGTTCAACTTAATCATAGAATGACTTATAGGCATTGTTCAATTAGGTTTTCCACAGATTTGTAAGTGTGATACTAAAGAAGAATCATTCAAGAGAGATACAAAGGATACGATGGAGAAATTACAAGGATACGATGGATGATTATAATAAGGAAATTGAGATTCCTCTATTACTATAGTCGCATAGAAAAGCCTTTGAATTTTGAGATTGGACCTGAACTCTTAAAATAACATAGTGATTAGATCCTAGGTGAATATGTTGGCATAATGAAGTGAGGATACAACATGAAGGATAAGAGTTTTTTTTTTCGCTAATTGAGTGAATGTCGATCTAAATGTATTTTGTGCGGCATGTATATCGTGTTTGTGTTTTCGCAATATATACAAGAGTTGACCATGATGGTGGGCAGTGAAACTCTAGGAGAAGATTCCTAAACCAATATATTTGAATATCTTCTTTCGCTATTTCTAGGTACTCGGCCTCTGCACTTGTACGTGATATTGTGAGCTTGTTTATTATACACTCAACAAACCAAGTCAAACAGTTGTATTGCATCTTGTGGTCTCATTTTTTATGTCCTGTAATAACGCTCCATTAACTCACAAGTGATGATATTATCTACATTTGTATATCATCTTACAACTAATTATATGTTTTTGTTAGACCACGACTTTTCCTTATATGGGTAACGTGTTAACTATCCAAAATAGCCAAACGAGTCATCTCTATATCATTTTTTTATTAATAGTTTCTCTAAGGCATGTATTAAACTACCAGTCTACTTGCAAAACCCGACACTTAACAAATAAAAGCTGAATAGTTCTCTTCATCAAAACTATCCTTTATTTAACCCGTCTCTCCTCCTCTTGTAGTTATGAACTCATCATAGCTATGTCTTTTATCCATAACCTCGTGCATCGTTCTCTTCCTTCACGTCTTCTAATTTTCCTCATCTTCTTAGTGTTATTCGGGAAATCCCAAAAGGAAGCTTTACAAGTTAAAGTGGGAATTGTTCTTGACTCTAATAAGACATTAGGAGCTTTGAGCTTGCGAGCTATCAACATGTCTCTCTCGGAAATCTATAAAACTCATAGTAGCTTCAAGACAAGGGTTGTCCTCAACATCCGAGACTCCAAAGAAACTGTTGTTGGTGCTGCAGCTTCAGGTACTCTTTCTTTCATTGTGAATATTCATCGATCATGTATAAAATTTGTTCTGATATGTATTTACTATCGTTAAAATCATGAAAGTAATTATGTTCTGTTTAAGTATATATTTTATATTAGGTTTGATTACTATTCACCGTTGGTAATATATATATATATATATATATATATAGTTTAAGTCGTTGTGTGCAATTATATTTATGTTCTATTCGTGAAACATTTTTTTTTTTTGAAAAAAGTCTAGAGGGGCGGTCAAAGCAGGTTGGGCCTAAAATCGAAAGTCCTATATTTAACGCATGAAGCCATGAACAGTGCCAATCTTATTATACAATGTTGCGCTAGTTTAATGTAAACGTAACACAAGATAAATATAAATCATTGGAAAGTAGCATTTGATAATGTAATAAGATAAAACTTCACTAATTTTTATTTGTTCAAAATTTCTTTTGATGTTAGTAAAAAAGATTTAAAATTTGTTTTATTTTTTTTTTTAAAAAGAAATTTATCAAATAAAAATAGTATTAAATTAATAATTTAGTACGTGTATATATAAAGTCCTGCAGGCGTAGAGCGGGTAACTAGCTAGTTTGTCTTAAAAGTATTTCTTTTGAAAGTCAACTATGTGTAGTCTTTTGATAGATCTAAATCCTTGTCTTAGGAAGTAACTGTGTTGTCTAATTTGGCAAAAAGGAGTCTTATGAAACTGAAACTGAAGATCGTTCAAAAAATCAACAATAGTATGGAAACTGGAAACATTGACTGAAATGTACCACAATTTTAACTAATTAATTATGCGCCTTTTCCCTGACTACACCAACTAAAATTTTAAAACTTAAAACCACACACTTTTTAAACGGAGACTAATCAGTGTAATGCAAATAACTTGGCAGCTTTATACTTGATTAAGAAGAGGGAAGTGGTGGCCATTATTGGACCAGGGAGTTCAATGCAAGCTCCATTTGTAATCAACCTCGGAAACCAATCTCAAGTTCCAATCATTTCATTCTCTGCAACATGCCCTCTTCTGGATTCCCACGGTGGTACATATTTCATCAGAGCCACACACGACGATTCAGCTCAAGTTCAAGCCATAAGCGCCATCATAAAGTCATTTAGATGGCGAGAAGTTGTGACTATTTATGTAGACAATGTGTTCGGAGAAGGTATTCTTCCTTACCTAGTCGATGCTTTTCAAGAGATTAACGTTCGTATCCGATATCGATGCGCCATATCGTTACATTTCTCTGATGAAAAAATCGAGATAGAGCTTTACAATCTAATGAACATGCCCACTAGGGTTTTTGTCGTGCACATGTCGCATGATCTCGGGGCGAGGCTTTTTTCGATAGCTAAAAAGATTGGTATGATGAGTAAAGGATATGTATGGATTGTTACAAATGGTATAGCTGATGTCATGAGTTTAATGGGGGAAACAAGCTTGGAAGATATGCATGGTGTCTTGGGTGTCAAGACATATTTGCCTAGGTCAAAAGAGCTAGAGTCTCTCGCAGCTCGTTGGCGAAAAAGATTTGGAGGAGAAGAGCTAAACAATTTTGGATATCGGGCTTATGATGCTGCCACAGCACTTGCAATGTCAATTGAAGAAATAAGTAACGAGAACATGGGTTTCAAGAAGACCAAAAACATTTCAAGAGAAGATATCGAGACAGATCTTGATGATCTCGGCGTCTCTCTCTCTGGTCCTAAGCTTAAACAAGCGTTATTAGCAGTCAGTTTCGAAGGTGTTGCCGGGAAATTTAAGCTGACGAAACAAAGGAAGCTAGAGGCGACGCTTTTCGAGATAATCAATATACAAGGAAGCAGGGAGACAACGGTGGGATTTTGGAAACGTCCTCAAGGCCTAGAAGTAGGACTAGTGAAGAACCTAAGCGTGTCTCAAATAGGCGATAATAACTCACAAAGCTGGCATCGCCTTGAACAAATTATATGGCCAGGGGACACTATTTATGTGCCTAAAGGTTGGGATTTCCCAATAAATGCAAAGAGGCTGAAGATAGCAGTTCCAAAGAAGGATGGTTTCCACCAATTTGTGAAGGTAACAAAGGATGCACATACAAATGTTCTAACGGTCACCGGTTTTTGCATAGATGTTTTTAACACGGTGATCGGACAAATGCCATATGCTGTCCCTTTTGAGTACATCCCCTTTGAAACTCCTGATGGGAAATCAGGCGGAAGTTACGATGAAATGGTTTATCAAGTGTCTCTTGGGGTAAGTTCATTTGATCCCTAAACCATTCCCGGACATGCATGTTTTTTTTTTTAAAAACACTTAAAGCAGGTGTCTATAAAATATGCAATCATAGTTGATAAGATTCCTAACTTCCATCAAATGATGTTAACAGGAGTATGATGGAGCTGTAGGGGATACAACAGTCTTAGCCAATAGGTCTGCTTATGTCGACTTCGCATTGCCATACTCAGAGAAGGGTATTGTGTTCGTGGTGCCGGTCAAGTTTGAGAGAGAGAGAGGAGGATGGGTCTTCTTGAAGCCTTTCACAAAGGAGCTCTGGTTGCTCACTGCTGCTTCTTTTCTCTTCATTGGAATTATGGTTTGGATTTTTGAGCACCAAGCAGATGAGGGTTTCAGGAGACATAACATCGCTGATAATCTATCTAATGTGTTCTACTTCTCATTTTCCACTCTCTTTTTCGCACACAGTGAGTTTTTTTTTTTTTTTTTTATCATTCAACTTCAAGCTTCTGATTATTAAACCAAACATCTAATATCACAATTTATTTTCGTAACTGTTATTATAGGGAAGCCATCAGAGAGCTTTTGCACGAGGGTTCTTGTGGTGGTTTGGTGCATTGTGTTACTAATTCTAACTCAGAGCTACACAGCGACACTGACCTCGATGCTGACGGTTCAAGAGCTTCGACCAACAGTGAGACACATGGATGACCTTAATAAGAGCGGAGTGAGCATTGGATATCATTATGGTTCGTTTACATTCGAAAGATTGAAACAAATGGGTTTCAATGAATCGAGGTTAAAGCCTTATGATTCCCCACAAGAAATGCATGAGCTTTTTCTCAACAAGAGCAGCAATGGTCGTATTGGTGCTGCATTCGATGAAGTCCCTTATGTCAAGCTTTTCATGGCTAAATATTGCAAAGAGTATTCCATTATCGAGCCTACCTTTAAGGCCGATGGCTTTGGCTTTGTAAGTATAGCATTAGTTTGTTCTTGATTATGTTTTTTTTTTTTGTGAAGTGGTTTTGAATCTTGCATGTTTTCCGGCAGGCTTTTCGACTGGGATCTCCGTTGGTGTCAGATATTTCAAGACAGATATTGAACATAACAGAGGGAGGGAGCATGAAAGCTATGGAGAACTATTGGCTTTTAGGAGAGAAAGAATGCCAGGCCTCGACCACATCGGATTCTCCACTCCAGCTCGACCACCACAGCTTTCATGCTCTGTTTCTGATCGTCTTTGTCGTCTCTATGCTTCTACTATTACTGATGTTGGCTTCTAAGGGGTACAAAGAGAGACAAGGCGGTGAGATCGGATTTGTAGCTCAAGATGGAGTCAATGACGAAAGTGATGTTGGATATGGAGATAAAGCAGACAACGGCGAGGTCGAACTTGTAGCTCAAGATGGAGTCAATGACGATGGTAATGTTGAATATGGAGATGAAGAAGATGATGATCATGACCATCATATTGCGGATGTTGCTAGAGCTTTGATCCGTCGTAAAAAGTTTGTTAGGCTTTTCAAGCCACGTCCAACTCCCTGTTAGTATGATAGTGTCCTCCTGATAGTGTTCCTCCTGATAGTGTCCTTTCGGAAGGAAGAGAGGCTGGGCCACTGTCAAAGATAACATTACATCAGCATAGTCAAAACTTAAACACCAGGTCTAAGACTGACTATTTGTATTTATGTTTAATGTATTGTATTTATGTTTAATGTATATATTCAAGTAATGTTGATCATATAATCAAATCGCTGCAAAATAGATCGATTCATAAGGAACATCTACACAGTAAAAAAGTTAACTAGTAGCGTACCTCCTCTAACGTCTTTATCAATCCTGAGGTCTCAACATAATATTCTCTTGTACAAAAACAAGAGAAAAGAATTTAACATGACATAGTAAGTCGAAATCGGATAGTTACAAACCGTCTAAAATGAAAATTTGTCCTGAAAAGAAAAAGGCTAAAATAGCAATATTGAGGGGATGATGATAGTTGCGAATCTCCAAGACTTCGAAAACCTACAAGGTTATCATCTGAAGATGTTCGTCCTGAGAGACAATCCTACTTTATGGCGATGTTTATTTATTTTTATTTTTTTTGCAGCTGAGGTGAATGTCGATCTTAAATTTATTTTGTGTGCGGCGTGTATATGTGCTGGTGTCGTCGCAATATACAAAGAGTTGATCATGATGGTGGGCAGTGCAACTCTAGGAGGATGTTCCAAAGGCAGCATATTTCAATATCCCAATACTCGGCCTCTGCACTTGAACGTGATATTGTGATCGCTTGTTCATACACACTCAACAGACCAAGTCAAACAGTTGTATATTATCTTGTGGTCTCATTTTTATGTCATCTAATAATGCTTCATTAGCTCACAACTGATCATATTATCGATATTTATATCATCTTAAAAAAAATTATATGTTCTTGGAAGACCACGACTGTGTCTCATATGGTTAACGCGTTAATTATCCAAAATGACCAAGACAAGTCTTCTCTTCATCACTTCGTATTAATATTATCTCTAAACTATGTATTAATATATATAATAGCTTACTTGCAAATTCCGACAAGTACTCCATTATTTAAAGCTGAATAGTTCTCTTCTTCAAAACTACCCTGTGTCTCTGACCACATCTCTCCTCGTAGTTATTAACGTATCATAGCTATGTCGTTTATCTATGATCTCATGTATCGTTCTCATCCTTTACGTCTTCTAATTTTACTCATCTTCTTAGTTTTATTCGGGAAATCCCAAAAGGAGGCATTACAAGTTAAAGTGGGAATCGTTCTTGACACTACGTTAGCAGATTTGAGCTTACGTGCTATCAACATGTCTCTGTCGGAATTCTATAATACTCATAATGGCTTCAAGACAAGGATTGTCCTCAACATCCGAGACTCCAAACAAACTGTTGTTGGTGCTGCAGCTTCAGGTACTTAATCTTTCCTTGTGAACCTTAATTCATCGATCATTTAGGAAATTTTGATCTGATCATATATATTTGCTATCTTTAAATTCAGAAAAAAAAACAATTATGTTCTTATGTAAGTATATATTTTAATTTGGTTTTATATATACTTACATAAGAACATATATAATTTTAACACAACCTGGGGGTCAAACCAGGTTGTGCCAAAAATCGAGCATTGAAAGTCCTAAGTTTAACGCATGAACAATGCCAATGCCAAAAAAAATAAAGTCTTTGATAGATGATGATGATAAATATCTATTAATATATATATATATATATGTGCATCATTCATTTATTACGAGCAAACTGGATTGGATCCTGGATCAAATCTCAGATCCACATAATTTTCCACGCATACTGTTATGAAACTTTCTTTTTATTCAAATCAACAAAAGACACCCAAAAATATGGAAATTGAGAACCTTACTGATATATATAACACAATTTGAAATAATCAATATAGCGCCTTTCCCCCTACCTACACCAACTAAAATTTTAAAACTTCAAACCACAAACTTTTTAAAGGGGGACTAATCACTTTGATGCATATGTTAACCTTAACTTGGCAGCTTTATACTTGATTAAGAAGAGGGAAGTGGTGGCGATTATTGGACCAGGGAGTTCAATGCAAGCTCCATTTTTAATCAACCTCGGAAACCAATCTCAAGTTCCAATCATTTCGTTCTCCGCAACAAGCCCTCTTCTGGACTCCCTTCGTAGTCCATATTTCATCAGAGCCACACACGACGATTCAGCACAAGTTCACGCCATAAGTGCCATCATAGAGTCATTTAGATGGAGAGAAGTTGTCTCTATTTATGTAGACAATGAGTTTGGAGAAGGTATTCTTCCTTACCTAGTCGATGCTTTTCAAGAGATCAACGTTCGTATCCGATACCGAAGCGCCATCTCGTTATATTTCTCTGATGATCAAATCAGGATAGAGCTTTACAAACTAATGAACATGCCCTCTAGGGTTTTTGTCGTGCACATGTTGCCTGATCTCGGGGCAAGGCTTTTTGCGATAGCTAAAGAGATTGGTATGATGAGTAAAGGATATGTATGGATTGTTACAAATGGTATAGCTAATCTCATGAGTTTAATGGGGGAATCAAGCTTTGAAGATATGCATGGTGTCTTGGGTGTCAAGACATATTTGTCTAGGTCAAAAGAGCTAGCGTATCTGGAAGCTCGTTGGCGAAAAAGATTTGGAGGAGAAGAGCTAAACAATTTTGGATATTGGGCTTATGATGCTGCAACAGCACTTGCAATGTCAGTTGAAGAAATAAGTAACGTAAACATGAGTTTCAATATGACGACCAAAAACGTTTCAAGAAATGATATTGGGACTGATCTTGATGATCTCGGTGTCTCTCTCTCTGGTCCTAAGCTTATTCAAGCGTTATCGAAGGTCAGCTTCAAAGGTGTTGCCGGGAGATTTCAGCTGAAACAGGGGAAGCTAGAGGCGACGATTTTCAAGATAATCAATATAGAAGAAAGCGGTGAAAGAACGATTGGATTTTGGAAATCAGAAGAAGGATTAATGAAGAACCTAAAAGAGGTTCAAAAAGGCATTAACATCTCACAGAGCTCGCGTCGCCTTGGACCAATAATATGGCCAGGGGACACTATTTTGGTGCCCAAAGGTTGGGATTTCCCAATAAATGCAAAGAAGCTAAGGATAGCAGTTCCAAAGAAGGATGGTTTCAACCAATTTGTGAAGGTAACAAAGGATGCACACACAAATGTTCTAACTGTCACCGGTTTTTGCATAGATGTTTTTGACACGGTGATCAGACAAATGCCATATGCTGTCCCTTTTGAGTACATCCCCTTTGAAACTCCTGATGGGTTATCAGATGGAAACTACGACGAAATGATTTATAAAGTGTTTCTTGGGGTAAGTTCATTTGATCTCTAGACCATTCAGGAAACCTTTTTTCATATCTTGGCTTTCTTAACACGTAAAGCCTCTATAATGCAAATAGATAAGATTCCTAACTTCGAGGAACAGAGCAATGAAACCAATATTGAGCTCAAATGTTTTTCATTTTTCTAATAAGTTGTTCAAATGATGGTAACAGGAGTATGATGGAGCTGTAGGGGATACAACAATCTTAGCAAATCGGTCTGCTTATGTCGATTTCGCATTGCCATACTCGGAGACCGGTATTGTGTTCGTTGTGCCGGTCAAGGACGAGAGAGAGAAAGGAAAATGGGTCTTCTTAAAGCCCTTAACAAAGGAGCTCTGGTTGCTCACTGCTGCTGCTTTTCTCTACATTGGAATGATGGTTTGGATTTTTGAATACCAAGCAGATGATACTAGATTCAGGGAACAAGACATGACTAATAAAATATCTAATGTGTTCTACTTTTCATTTTCGACTCTCTTTTTCGCACACAGTGAGTTTTTTTGTCATTCAACTTCAAGCTTTACCAATTACTTTGAAAATATTTGGAGAAACTAACGATTACATTTTCAATGTTTTTATTTACAGGGAAGCCATCAGAGAGCTTTTTCACAAGGGCTCTTGTGGTGGTTTGGTGCTTTGTGTTATTGATTCTGACTCAGAGCTACACAGCGACACTGACATCGATGCTGACTGTTCAAGAGCTTCGACCAACAGTGCGACACATGGATGATCTGAGGAAGAGCGGAGTGAATATTGGATATCAGTCTGGTTCCTTTACATTCGAAAGATTAAAACAAATGGGTTTCGATGAATCGAGGTTAAAGACTTACGATTCTCCTCAAGAAATGCGTGAGCTTTTTCTTAACAAGAGCAGCAATGGTGGTATTGGTGCTGCATTCGATGAAGTCCCTTATGTCAAGCTTTTCATGGCTAAATATTGCAAAGAGTATTCCATTATCGAACCTAGCTTTAAGGCCGATGGCTTTGGCTTTGTAAGTATAGCATCAGCTTGTTCTTGATTATTCATTTTGCAAGTGTTTTTTTGAATCTTGCATGTTTTCCGGCAGGCTTTTCCACTGGGATCTCCGTTGGTGTCAGATATTTCAAGACAGATATTGAACATAACAGAGGGAGAGGGCATGAAAGCTATGGAGAACAAGTGGTTTGTTGGAGAGAAACATTGTCTGGACTCGACCACATCGGATTCTCCAATCCAGCTCGACCACCACAGCTTTCAAGCTCTATTTCTGATCGTTTTTGTTTTCTCTGTGCTTCTACTATTGCTCATGTTGGCTTGTAAGAAACACAGAGAGAGACAAGGCGACAAGATCGAATCTGGAGCTCAAGATGGAGTCAATGAAGAAGATAATGTTGGAGATGGAGATGAAGCAGAACATATTGTGGACGTCGACACTGCTTTGCTCCGTCGTAAGAAACTGACCTCAAGGACTATGCCCTTAAGGAGAGTGGCGCCACTGTTAAGGCTAAAATCAGCATAGTTTAAACTGAACCTTTAGGTCTCAGACTATTAGTTTGCAATTATCTGTAACGTAATGTTGATGACTCTCAGCAACTTGATAAATATCAAATCGCAGCAAAATATATCGATTCACCAAGGACATCTACACAGTAAACAAGTCAAGAGCAATCCTCCTCTAACGTCAACGCATTATCAATCCTGAGGTCTCAACACAATATTCTCTTGTGCAAAAAAAAAAAAACATGAAAGATTTTAACATGATAGTAACTCGAAATATTTTGTCGAAAAGTTACAAACGGTCCAAATGAAATTTTGTCCTCAAAAGAAAAGGCTAAAGTAGCAATATAGAGGGGATGATGATAGCTGCGAATCTCCATGACACCTTCGAACGCCTACAAGGTTGTCATCTGAAGAGGTTCTTCCTGAGAGGCAATACTACTTTAAGACGGCACTGAACAAAGAAGAAGAAGAAGAAACAACGTCAGTGACAAAACCAGACAAAACTTAGCCTTTGCACGAATCGCACAGGGATTCACACTTACTGTATGTGGAAGTATCAATCTGCTCAGGGAGTTCCTTTATATCAACCTCGAACCTCTCTTGTACCTGTAAAAAAGAAATTACCACTTTATTAAACAACCCCAAGTCATATCAACAACAAGATGGGCAAACATATGAAGAAAATCAAACTGCAGACCTGATTGAGAACGCCCGAATCTGAAGTAGATGCAACAAATGTGATTGCAAGACCCTTAGTTCCAAACCTACCGGCTCTCCCAACCTATACCATAAACAGAGTGTCTCAGTAATGTTACAAGAGCCCTTTGTTCAGCGAGAATCAAAAATCTATACAAGAGTTGAGGATTTATGTAAATAAGAAAACTTACCCTGTGAAGATATGTATCAGCAGAATCTGGCATGTCGTAGTTGATAACGATGTTGACACGCTCAATGTCAATGCCTCTTCCTACCAAATCTGTAGCCACAAGAATTCTCTTGTGCCCTTCCTTGAAACTTTTGTAGTGAGTCAACCTACATATCATTTCATATTGTAGAGTTAAAAGTTGGTTTAAAAGAAGAGGAGAAAGTAAGATCGGTTCAGCAGGATAATGTTTTGAGAAGTATACAAACCTTTCTTCCTGAGACATGCCAGAGTGAATGCATATTGAGGGGAAATTGCATTCAACAAGCAATTTGTTCAGCTCCTTAGCTCTGTTCACGCTCTTCACAAATATGACAACTTGATTAAAGTCCAATGCATCAAGAAGGTCATTCAGCTTACGGTTCTTCTCCAACTCATTCAGTTTGATGTAGTGCTATAAACAATGACAGGACATAAATATGTTTAAACAGTCAATGCCTGATATCAACCAAGTTAAAACATAAGAAGATTTTGCACTCGTAAAAATACCTGGACAAGCCCATGAAGAGTCAATTTCGCTTCATCATCAACATATATTTCCATTGGCTGAAAGGAACAGATCAGATTAAATTGTATTAGCAAGCCTTCCACAGGCAATGATTTCCACTACAAATATGGACGGTTGAAGAAACCTCAAACTGAAATCCTCGTCCACCAGGTTTGCCACCTCAAAGATGAGAGTTTCACAAGACTAATGCTCGGAACAATAAGCACCATAAAATTGAGAGCAATGAAACCTCTAGACCTCACAAACCCACCCAGCACTGTTAAATATGCAAAGAGGGAGAAAAAGAAAACACAATGACGAAAGAAGATCCCACTGTGCAGAGACATCACTGAGCTGAGCCACGCAAAATCTATGTGACATTTTTAGAGTCTCCTAGTTCTCTGAACCCCTACAAACTACCCAAAGTAGAGACCCTGAATCCAGCGATCAATGGCAGGTTTCCCACCGCAGAAGGTGCTCAGAGAAGGCTAGAAATAATGCAACAACAGGACTTGAAAACCGAGAGAGTATTGGCTATGGGACATTACATCTTGCATGAACTTCTTGCAGACTGGGCGTATCTCTTTGCTGAGAGTTGCTGAGAACATCATCACTTGTTTGTCATGGGGAGTCATCTTAAAGATCTCTTGCACATCTCTCCGCATGTCTGACAAAAGACAAGACACAACATGTTCAAACGTACAATTTTCAGGAATAAAAAGGATAATAAGTACACAAGGATGTTAGAAATTGGCATACCAAGTGACTCAAGCATTTTATCACACTCGTCCAGAATAAAATGCCTCACATTCTTCAAAGAGAGATCTTTTTCCCTGGCAAGTGCAAGCACCCGACCAGGTGTTCCAACAACAATGTGAGGACATTCATTCTTCAGCAAGTCTCTGTGAATTTTAATGTTGACTCCACCATAGAAAACCGAAACCTTTGTATCAGGCAGGTAGGTACTGAATCGCACGAACTCATTGCAGATCTGCAGGTCATTTTCAAAATCAAGATAAAATAAGCATCGGATGACTTGGAGACGGAAAGAAGAATTATTAGAAGCCGAGAACCTGAGTGAAAAAAAAAAAAAAGGACATACCTGGTAAGCTAACTCTCTTGTGTGGCACAAGACAAGCGCCGAAACCTGGCCAGGAGATGGTTCGATCTGTTGCAGAGTCGAAAGCACAAACACAGCAGTCTTCCCCATACCAGATTTTGCTTGGCAGATAACATCCATGCCCAAGATAGCTTGAGGGATACATTCATGTTGCACTGGTGGAGAAGCAAAGAAAATTGCACCGAAGGGAGCCTTTATAAGTAGAATATAACCTCCATATCTTTTTAATGGGTGGCTTTACCAAATGCGAAGCTCACTCCAAACCAATAGATTGAAATAGCGTTTATTACCTGGAAAAAACAATCCGTGAAATGTCAATGGACAGAGCAATTATAATAGAAAAAAAAATCTTTATCAACATAATAAGGACAGGACATCTGTGTTCAAACTTAGTAAGGTGATTCGATTTCAACAACAAATGACCAACAGTGAAGTGCCCGACAAATCATATAAGAGAAAAAGGAACCACATGCATTGTTATATCAAGTCACCATTAAATGGTGCAAGACCAACAAAACATGTCAAGATGAAAGCTCAGATACAAGGGGAGAAGTGCCATGTACTTGCCTTCGGATGGATGTTCAAATCCCGAGTCAACAATAGCTCGAAGAAGCTCCGGTTTCAAAAGGAAGTCTCTGAATCCCGAACTGTGTATTCCCACGTACCCTCTGACCAAGGACAAAAAAAAATGCTATGAGTTTCCAGGAAGATTTGCGTTAAAGAGCTACCAAATTACTAATCTCAATAAGCAAACGACTAGTGAAGCCTTCGTAATCGCAGAACAAGCTCAAATTTAAACACCTAGTGTTCTATTAAAACAGATCGAGAAAAAAAAACTCACTTCTTAACGGCTTCGCCGTTAACTTTACTTCCAGAATCTGGGATCTTCTCGTCCTCTTCCTCATAGTCCAGAAGCTCCTCCTCGTAGGCTTCGTTGTCTCTAGCGTCTCCCATACTTGACAAGTTCTACAAACATAAGAGAATTTTTTCAGCTGAAGTTCGTAATCCAAAGTTTACTTGCAAATAGCGTTCACAAACCCTAAGCATGTAAACTCGATAATTTGCAACGAATCAGTGAAATCTGATGGAATCAGAGTGAGAAAATACCTGAGAACTGAACGGAGTTGCTAGATCGCGATATCGAATTAGGGTTTCCAAATCTCTGATTGTAGCGAGAAGAAACAAAAAAAATAAAAGAGTAGGAAAATATCGGAGCTACGGTAGAGATATGTAGTGAGACTGGATAGGATTGGGCCGAGTCTAAAATAGGCTTTTTATGGGCCTACAATTGGAACGAATCAGTCAGCCTTGCCCAACCCAAATCATTTCAATATTGTGATCTGTGAGATTGGCAGATGACGTTCCAATCAGAGAAATTGGCAATTTCATAAAACATTGTGTTCTCAAGCTATGAGTTGATGTCCGAATCTAAGTTTCGAAGTATCCCTCGAAGAATATTAACAATTACAATCTACTTCCGAAAATGAAATGTTTTTGATATTTTTCGTCTTTATACACATTTTATGATCTCTTATAGTCTTATAAAATTGTTACTAGTTACAATGATTGTTTTATTTTTCTCGCATGTTAGTACAAGTGTACAAGTAATGAAAGAAAATACATTATATTATTGATACAATATCCAAATGCCAACAGTCTTTTGTATATAATATATATATATATATCCTTCAACCAAAACGCCATATGTTTTAACAACAAAAAACCAACGCTAAATATACATTTCTTACTTTTTTGGAAGAAATTTCTTTATAACGTCGCCATCACGTTATAAAGTATAAAAATATTTTTTTTAAAAAAATACAAAAAAAATAAAATATATTAAAAAAATCCCAAAATGAATCAAAATCCCTTATTCTGCTGTAGACATCCAAAAAGTCAAAGTCAACTCCAATTAAGCAACTCTTCGATCATCTCCATAGCTAACTGATCCTCATCAACATTAGCCTCCTCTTCTGCTGCTTCTTTTTCTTCTTCTTTGTCCACTACGTTTGGTTTCTTCACCGTAGTCAACGCCAAATCATCTACACTTCGGTTGGTTACGCTCCCGAGTTCGAGACGCATGACCCAGTTCGGACTCGTTTTTGACCCGGCCCGTTTCTGCCAAACTCCGATGTGGGAACTGTCGGTGTCGAGACGGAGACACGTCATCGACGACGTTAGGTCTTTGCAGCTCTTCCTTAGCTTAGCGTTCAAGAGCTCAGATAACGACTTTGGTGACATTAACGGAGAGTTAACGTCGTTAACGTGATCAGAGCCTTCGTCTGATTTGACGGCAGGGAAATTGGTCTTAGCGTTTTGGCCGTTCATTAGAAGAGCCGCCTGATCGTAAGCTCTCGCAGCCGCTTCGGCCGTTTCGAATGTTCCAAGCCATACTCTTCTCTTCCTGATCAATTTTCTCACCCATTGTATAAATGTTATTACAACGTAATATATATAGTTGAATAATGTAAAACTAAACAGGGAACAATAAACAGTGGAGATCATATATGAACACATTATAGATACAGAAACTAGACTTACAATAGAGGATGTCGAATCTCAGAAACCCAAGAACCCCAGTGTCGCTGGCGAACACCTCGGAACTTTCTCGAATGTACCATTTTTTTATATATTTTCCTTGAAACTTTCTTCGTTTTTTTATTGTATTAGCAAATTAATTCAATTTTAAGGTTCGTAGTCTATCTCTACGAACTCGGACAAACGGAAGAGAGATAGAGAGAGATCAGACTGATTACTGTCTGTTTTACTGTTGTTTGTCTCCAGCTAACTATATATATACAGGAGCTTTTAGTTTGAACTCTCTTTATTTTTGTAAGTTGACCTTTCTTCGATAATCTATAATCAAGATATTTGAGCCCACTATATATTTGTATCTCAAGCCTCCGTAACATCAATAGATCATCTAATGCTTTATTCATCAACACAGCTTCCTTACTTTATCTGATTGACTCTAGAGAAGACACGACTTAACTTCCATTCCTAACGTAACTTTCATGCCATATAGATATAGGGGACGACGGACCCATGCCTAAACCCAAAAACAAAATAAGATTACATCGCTTTGGTTCAAAATGAGATATATGAGTAACCATTATTTTATTTTCTATGGGGTTAGCCAATTGATCTAACGACTTAATACAGGTAAGTGGTAACAATCGACTAAAAGTATTCTGTAATTAGTATTGAACACGTGTCCCATCCCTTTATACTATCGATCCGCCCATGGGTGTACGCATATGTAACATAGCTGCAAGGTGACGTCGTAAGCTCAGCTCAAATGCCTTCTGCATTTATATTTCACTTTAATTCAGTTTACATTTTCGAATTTAAAAAAAAACTAAGAATTTTTTAAAAAACAAAAAGCCAAATAAATACATGTATCTGTCGGTCGGGTCGGGTGGTGAGGGCCCTAGCTAGATATTTCAACGTTCATGTAAGGTTAAAGACAAAGAATATATTACGTTGCTTTCTCGTAATAAACATGTATTACATTTACTTTCCACCCAAAAAAAAAAACATGTAGTAAAACATGATCGACACAATTCTAATGATGTTATCTTTCATGATTTACTAAGTGTTCAGCGTGAAACTAGAATTAGCAATTGATAAACTATCACATTGTTGACAAATTTTGCGACGAGGTAGCCAATTTTAACAGCTTTATTGTCCTTAGAACTGTTTAAAAGAAGTGCGCCGCCTTAAGGTGCATATCTGGTTCGACATTCGCTGGTGGAGAGGAGTCTAATTGTAACTTGTTATAAGGAAATGCCAATCCACCCGTTCTGGTTCCTGGAATGGGAAATCAACGAACCTAACGTCCAAAACCTTTTAGTTAAAAATTTAAAATATAAAATATTGCAAACAAGTTTGACCCAAAAAAAAAAAATATTGCAAACAAGTTTTACAACCCTATTGATAAAGCTAATGAACATAATATATTGCAGTTATGTGGTATTGTAACCGTAGCTAACAATTCAAAAGTAGGTTTGTCACACTTGACGATTGAATGATGTTTTTTTGGCTTTTTCTTTATCTTTACGGCTAAATGGAAATAACTATAGATTGAAAAACGAAAATTATATTCTCACATAATCAAAATTTTGGTTTATTTAGGAAAGAAAATGAATACGAATTTTGGAGCTACTTCAGCACATTTTTAACATTCCTTCTGCACATTTTTAACATTCCTCGGGTATTTTAGATTAATTCAATAAAAACGCAGTCATATGATTTTGCATTTTGCAAGGACGGTGGATCCCAAACGCTAACTCATACTCTTAAATCAAATCCACTTTTTCTTTAATTATAGCACGAATCCATTAAATGATAATTGGTCCGAACCATTTAACCGTAACTAATCTTCATGTAACCTCAATTATAATGTACACCCACCAAGGGTCCTTCATATCAAGAAAAGCTGAAAAGGAGAAATATAAAGTGGTATATTAAAATCTTTTCATTACTAGTCGGTTTTTTTAGAAACCATGAAAAATGATGGGTTGGCATACTAAAAGCGTATATTTAGTATTACAATTGATAATCATGAACAGGCCGCTGCTCGATTATCGTAATCTCTCGTGTGATTTAACTTTAATATAATTTATATGGATTAAAAATAATAATGAGTTGGTTAGAGCCGCCACCAATTTTTGTTCACTAAATTTTGTAGGAAAAGGTGGCTTATAGTAAGAAATCAACGTGGTTAGAGGAAACCACAACTACCTTGACACCGTCGCACCAAGTGGTCTTGTTTTTCAGGCTACATATCGCTTATGCAAATTTCGGTTTGGGATTCGAGATCACTTATTTTTCGACTGCTCTCATTTTTTTGTTGTTTTAAGACATGAGTACATGACTACGCAAAGGTTTTTTTAGGCAGGATCAGTTTTATTGAGTCCAAATTAGAAAAGTTTAGATTTCGAGCCACTTGCATCAATACTCTGTTGGGTTTTGCGTTAATACTCTATTGGGCCGTGCTAACTCGGAATAGGCGTCCGGCGTCGTTCATATAATCAACAATCTTTCACCAGTCTCTATAAATCGATGGGGCCAGAAGATCGAACTATGAACCCCGCAAAGTATCAACTTGCAAAATATTAACCTGGAATAATCCCTTTGCAATTTATTAATAAGAGTCTGACTAAAGTGTAATAAAACTATAAAGTTAGACTCAAAGTTGTCACTTTATTGTTCGATTTTCTTTATGTCGCCGATAAGCTTTGTGGTAGGTTTCTCGGTACGAGGTTCATTTACCCTTGAACTATACAATAGCTTCTTCTTTTTTTTCTTACACAAAATAGATACATGGTTAAATTGCTTCTTCCGCTTTTTGGCATGCTTAAATTGCTTTTCAACTTTAAATCTTATAATATTGCTAAATATAATTTAGTGAATAAATATATAAGTCCATGAACTATATAATTTACAGATACGTATTTAGAACATAAAATCAATAGACAAATATTTGTTGTTGAAGGTTTTAGAATAACAAGTTAAATTATATTGTAACAATAGTACAATAGTAGACTAATAGAGGCCACATAGTTTGATCAAGATGACGGATCATACAACTTACAAACATGTAAGGGATTGATGCTTGTAGGGTTTGTTGTGGTGGATATAAGATTCGGTGGTTGGAATTAAATTGTACCAAAGTTGTTAGGACTATTTTTGTTTGATAGCTCGTTTAGTCCTTTCTTGTTGTTTTTTGTTTTTTTACAAATAAAATGGAGTGATTGAGACTTTTTTTATTAGAGAATGACTCTTTCTAATTGAAATCTCTATGTACTATCGGAACATGAAAGACGTTGTTGTGAGTTGTAACCAAATTTTTTTTTGTGAACTATAATATAGTCACAAGGTTTTTACTCTTCATCTACGAGGATTATCCACATAAGAAATTGATGTGTTATTGATCTTCACTATAGATCTTTCACAGGTTTTCGTAAATTGTACTCCTCCATCAACAAGTTTTACCATAATCTTAATCAAAACACAACTTAATAAGTTCCTCTTTCCACTTAATAAGTTCTGATGATCGTTGCATAGATAGGTTGGATGACAAGAAATGGTTGACTTAAAATAGAGTTATATCTTAAGCTGAATTCAAAACTCATTTCTGTACCATACCATCAACCAAAAATAAAATTGTGTTATTGTTAGCATGTCCCACTCAAATTTAGGCGCACATTGGCTCTTTGCTGATGATTGTATTTTTTTGTTGTTGTTGATTTGCTGCCTTGTACTTAAGTACTTTTCTTACGCTTTGAATACACATAAAAACCAGTACTACTACTACTATCTAACTAAATAACTAACTGTTATATACGCAATCTATAAAACCAGTTTTTTTCGTACTTACACAATAGTGTAGTGTTAAGGAGACAAAAATATTAGCACCTACGAAGAGAGATTTAAATAGAAAACTAAAAGAAATCTATCCCAACGCCTACAAAATATATAGTATCAATTTTTCTAAAGGACCTAACGCCTACAAATAATTATTTTGTAGTAATACATTACAAAGTACACAGTTTACAAGATTTGTTTGCAGTTGATTTTTATAAAGAAAAGAGGTTTTTTTTATCTGATTTTTATACTATATTTAAGGAGCTAGGGATGGAGGAGACAGGGCACAAAACATGGAATGTGAACGAGTTTTAGGAGAATGGGTACTTCTTTTTATAGAAATGGTTTTCTGCAGAGTATCGAATCTCTCTCTCCTTTATAGGTCTTTCGTTCGAGAACTCTAGAGAGAGAGAGAAGACTAAAAGCCAAAGATTCTCTCGAAGATCCATAAGATTTTCTTTTCTCCTTCGGATCTTCCCTCTCTTTAATACTCCAACTCCAACACACCCCCTCTTGCGTTTGTGATTTTATTGCGGTTCATAAATCCTGTGTGCCGACCCAGCTCGCGCGTGTGATGTACACTCCACGCTCTTTTTTTCTTAAAGGATCTCTCTCTATTTAACTATTTAATGCTCTCTCACCTACTTTCTCTACAACTGGTGGTGAACAGAGGAACAGAGCGAGACAGAGACACGCAGAGAGAGAGAGAGAGAGAGTGAGAGAGAAACGATCTGATCTCATTTCATTTCCTCGTTTCCTTCTTCTGCGAGGGAAATTTAATTTGGTTTTCAACTTTGAATTCTCTCAGAGAGAGAGAGAGAGAGAGAGAGAGATTAATATACCAGTGAGAGACGCTCCTTCACTCTCTTGAATTTCAAAACTAGAGAGAGAGAGAGAAGAGAGAGAGAGAAACGATGTTTGCGGCGGAGAACGGTCTGAAAGGAGATCCAAGGCTGGAAGCTATATCGGCAGCCATTAGAGTGGTTCCTAATTTCCCCAAGAAAGGTCTTAAGAAGAACTTGTTCCTCTGTTTCGTTTCATATACCCGATGTTTATTTTGCTCTGTTTTTGTACAATTCTCTGAGGTTGTTTCTTTTATTCTCGGATAGGGATCATGTTTCAGGACATAACAACGTTGTTGCTGGATCACAAGGCGTTTAAACATACAATTGATATCTTTGTAGATCGCTACAAAGACATGCAAATCTCTGTCGTTGCTGGTAAAATTCCTCTGTTTTTCTTCCTTATCCTTTCTTTTTCTTTTATCTCCTACAGTGTTTCGTCATCAAGTTTGTTAAGTAATGCCAACAAATGAGCTTACCTCATAAAGCAACTAATACTTAAAGAAAAGAGGAAATGGCTATTGTCTTTTTCTCCATAAAGAATTTCAATTTTCTTTCCATGCAAATGATTGTGTGTATATATATATATATATAAATATTATGTGTAGGAGTTGAAGCAAGAGGTTTCATGTTCGGTCCCTCCATTGCCTTAGCCATAGGCGCAAAGTTTGTCCCTTTGCGTAAACCAGGAAAATTACCAGGTTAAAATTTATAATTTTACTTCATTCTCTGTTTCTTTTTCTCTTTGGTTGATTGTTCTTCTACTCTTGAGATTCTGAAGAGGGCAAAATTGTGATTATAGGGAAAGTGATATCGGAGTCTTATGAGCTCGAGTATGGACATGACCGTTTAGAGATGCATGTCGACGCCGTTGAGCCACGTGAACGCGTCATTATCATCGACGATCTTGTCGCTACAGGCGGCACACTCTCCGCCGCCATTAGCCTAATGGGTTTTTTCTCTTTTTCCTTTTTATTTTTTCCGACAATAGTGAGATTTATCTTGAATTATTATGTGACAAGATTTGTTTTTTTTTGTTTTTTTTTTATATGTTTTATAGAAAGCCAGGGAGCTGAAGTTGTGGAATGTGCTTGTGTCATTGGCTTGCCTGAAGTCAAGGTGAGACACACCTCTCCTTACTTGCTCAATAAGTTATCTCTGGCTTTTTCATTACAAAGGAGATAACTTCTAGGTGTAGTGATAGAGTTGGTTTTGGTTCGGTTTGGAATTATTATATCAACTGAAATTTGCTCACTTGAGTTAAACTTTATTTTGAATTCAGTTATAGAACACAAGCCGAAAAGACATGACTTCTAATTGTAATGATAGAATTGGTTTTGTGGTTCGTTGTAGGATTACAATCTCAGTTGAAATTTACTCATTGAGGTAAAATTTATCGTAAGATTTTGAATTGTCATAGGGGCAACACAAGCTGAAAGGGAAGCCGCTCTATGTGCTGGTGGAGCCTAGTGGATTAGATGGATTCTGTTAGGATACAACACGGTTAATTCCGGTTCGTTTTTTTTTTGTTCCTACAGAGTTCACGGTCCTTCAAATTTTAGGGTTCTATCTTCTTGTATTCGTCCTCTCTCTCTCTTTTTCTGTAGATTTTCAATTTTGGTTAGCACAATGTGTACTTTCCACGACAGTGGTTGGTAAAAACCGGGAAATTGAAACATCTTTACATCTTCGGTTTGGTGAGCCTGTATTTGTTTGGTTGACTTTGTGATGGATCACTAAAGAAGGTAAGATACGTTCCAAATTTATGCGTGAAATCTGCAAAAGTACTACTAGTAGGTTTACTAAATTTAATGTTGTTATCACTGCTTTTAGAACTCTGAAAAAGTTGGTTGGTATTCTAGACTTCTAGACAAACTATTCAAAGTAAAATTGGTCCAAATAATATTTTGGCTTCTTTGCTACCACGGAAGTTAGTTTCAGTTCTATAAGTTGACTATTATAAACCTAAACCTCCGCAGGTTTCTAATATACACACAATTTCCAAAATCGATAGGTTACTTTTTTTTATATATAGTTTGGGTGCATTAAATTTAAAAGGAGAAATTTTATAACAGAAATAATGTTCTCTCCCTTGAAACATTATGAGTTGGTTACGATGGTCATATTTGTTTTCTTTTTGTAGAAATAAGATTACAATATTTCATACTTTGCACTTGTTATCTACAATTGAGTTGCGTAATAAACAAAATACATGAGTCATCATCAATGGATATATAGTGGTTTTCTTTTCTCTAATGATTGTCCGTTCGCTCAAAACTCAAAAGCTACATACAAATGGGCCGTGTGAGATAGTAGGTGTATTGGACAATAACTAGCGAGTATCAAACTTATATAAAGCCCAAAGATTTAAAATTCAAAAGTCTTCACTGTAAAGCGGGCTTCGGATAGGGTTTCTCGAAATCAGATATTTATAATTATTGCAGATATTTATAATCAGTTCTACGAACGATTCTCTGATTTTGATAGTCTAATTGATCAGTTTTTGTGGTGAGCAATATTGTTCGTCGCTGTAGTCACGATCTGAGATTTCTGGAATCTGCAAATTTCTGTTTCCGGCGATTTACAGAGAGAGAGTGAGCTGGAAATAGGTACCGCAGTAGATGGCGATTTTATATGCGTTGGTGGCTCGTGGAACGGTGGTGTTATCGGAGTTTAGCGCGACTTCGACCAACGCGAGCTCAATCGCGAAGCAGATTTTGGAGAAGCTGCCGGGAAACGATGACGATAGCCACGTGTCCTACTCTCAGGACCGGTACGTCTTCCACGTCAAGCGAACCGATGGCCTTACCGTCCTCTGTATGGCCGATGAAACCGCCGGAAGTAAGGCCAATTCTCTCCCCAATTTTGAACTTTTACTTGATTTGGCTCTTGTTTCTCTCTATGTGTGTGTTTTTTTTTCTCCATTTCTGCTGAGGTCTTATCCCACTATCATTTCTGGTTTCGGTTCTGCGGATTCTCAATTCTGGAGATTTGGAAGCTAAATCTCTGCTTTTTGTGCCTTTCTGATTAAACGTGAAATGATAAACAGACTAGATTTTTTCCAGGGACATGGATCTTTCTTCGTTTATGAATTTGCTTGGTTCTAGTGTTTTCAATGATCAACTAACAGTGAAGGGCTCTTAATGCCTAACTTTATGGATTGTGATTGGTGATACTGTTAGAAAGAATGTTGTTTTCAATATAAAGATGTAAATAATTTGGTATAACTGATGTTATTTCTGGGAAGCATTTTGGTAATGTTAGGATTGTTATTGGTGATTGGACCCGTCTTCGTGTTATCATAGTTTCTAATTGCAACATCTTATACCGCGCAGGGAACATTCCGTTTGCGTTTCTGGAAGATATTCACCAGAGATTTGTGAAAACATATGGCCGTGCAATTCATTCAGCTCAAGCTTATTCCATGAATGATGATTTTTCAAGAGTTGTGAGTCAGCAAATGGAATTCTATTCCAATGATCCAAATGCAGACAGGATGAGCAGAATCAAAGGGGAAATGAGTCAGGTAAAGTCTCAATATAGTTTTCCCGCGATTTACCTCGAGAAATTCCTTTATTGATGAGTTTGCTGGATCTTTCTGCACTATTATATATTAACTTCTCCGTCGTTTGTTTTCATTTTCAGGTTAGAAACGTGATGATTGAGAATATTGATAAAGTCTTGGATAGAGGTGAGCGTTTGGAGTTGCTAGTTGATAAAACGGCAAATATGCAAGGGAACACTTTTCGTTTCAGAAAGCAAGCTCGCCGTTTCAGAAGCGTAATGTGGTGGAGAAATGTCAAACTTACGTAAGTTTTCTTTATTGAAACCCCTTTTCAAGAAACTTAATTATCTAATTGACTTGACAAGAGACAAATCAGTAGTTTATTTCTTGCTCCAATTCCAGTTCATGTTTCCTTATGGAGGTGATAATTTCCTATAGGATTATTGTTTGAAAATCGATTTTATAACCTTACTTACATTCTTCGGGGAATTCGTGTTGTTGGTTCTCTTGACTAATGAGCCTGTTTTTCTGCAGGATTGCTCTGATACTTACACTCTCAGTGGTTGTATACATTGCGATGGCCTTTGTTTGCCACGGTCCAAGTCTTCCTTCTTGTTTCAAGTAAGAAGACAATCTCTTAATTGCACCTTTCCCTTCATCAGATTCTGCTTCAATTTTGTAATTTGTGATATGCGTTGTGTAAAATGTGTGTTTTTATATTCTTTTTCAAGTATCAGTTTCTGTATTTGCTTTGATTTAGAGGATCGATCGTTATGATATTTCACTGTTAATATTCACCCCCTTCTGTCTGCAATGCAATATTCTGTACGCTGATAATGTGATACATTTATACATTGTGAGGGTGGGTTATGGAACGACGACGTTATGGATTTTGCTGGATCTGTGAATATTGTTCGAACTTCTAATTATGTGGTGAAGATGGCCACATGGGACCATATGATCAAACGCCAAAATGTCCGCAAAAGAAAAAGCATATTTTTTTTATTCCATTAACAGCAATTCGCGATATATATCACCATGAAACCCAAATCCAATTTACGATATGGTTCTCTCTATGCAAAGAAACTAAAAGCAAAGCAAAATTAAGATTCTTCACAAAATGTCCTTAAAAACAGATTGACCCTGAAACTTCTCGACTTTAGATCTTAGAAACACAAATCTCTTATCAAGAGACGTCCGCTTCATCTCCAAAGAACCCAATTTTCCTGTTGTCTTCATCAATCTCTCCCGAAACTCGTTTATCTCTTTCTCCTTTTCTGCAAGCTTCTTCAAACTCATCTCCAATTCTTGCTTCGCAAGCAACAACTCTCGCTCGCACGCTTCTTTATCCAAAACCACCGTATCGCGTCTTTTTATAAACCTCGTTGCCTCAACAACCTCCTCAATAACAGACCGGAGCCAACCAACTCGGATCTTTGCCGTCTCTATGTCCTTAACTATCGCTAGAATCTCACCAGCTCGTGATTCAGATAGCCGATGCAGAGGTGTTGACTGGAGCTCGATGACAACCTCTGCTAGAGTCTCGAGGTGGTATGTTCGTGTGGAGAGAGATTGGAGCTTGGAATCTGATGTGATGTCTCCATACTTGTCGAATATGCTTTGAAGAGTGGACGAGAGACTAGTTTTGACTTTGTATTCTCCGACGGAGACAACGTCGGACGAATCAGAGGTGTTGATCACAAGAGACTTGTTCAATGGAGACAAAAGAAGCTCAGGGTAAAGTAGAACAGAGCCTTGGTCGTCATCGTTGTAAACAGAATATGCTCTGTTCCAAAGAGGAACAGAGTGTAGAGAGATCTCTGAACATAAACTCATCTTTGTCTAGACAAAAAAAAAGTGGATGAGAGCTTCGAGTTTTGAATTTTATTTCTCTTTTACAAGGAAAGCTCGAGATAACTATGAGTTTCTCTACTTCTCTCTCCCTGTTTTTAAAGACGTTTCTTTAATAATAGTTTACTGTTTCCTTTTGGAGTTTGCAACGATGATGCTGACTTTGACTCGATAAAATCATCACTATGATCGCGTTCTTGACTTCCCTGTTTTTAAAGACGTTTCTTTAACAATAGTTTACTGTTTTTTTTGGAGTTTGCAACGATAATGCTGACTTTGACTCGATAAAATCATCACTATGATCGCGTTCTTGACTTTGTCAACCTGACAATGTTCTCTGTTTTAGGTAATTTTTGTTCCTCAAACCAGATGAACAAAAAAAGATATAATAAAAAAGAAAATGCAAAATGAGAAGAAGTCATCGTACTCAGAGATCTGGCGAAACTTGAAGGCATTTCAACAAGGCAGAAGCTACGTCAAAGTCGTTAAGATCTAAAATCAAAAGAAAAATATATTTTTATTTTTTTTAAATGATGATCCTTATGGGCCTTGTTTTGGGTTTCCTACCTCACAACTAGGCCTGGTTGAAATTGTAATTTTCATTACCAAACGAATCTCGAAGACTCAAGTATCATAGGACAGGACGTTGTTGTATCTTAATATCGTATATACGCACAATTGTATGAATATGTATTCTATAAATATAAAAGAGTATAACAATCTATAGAGTTCACTGTGAAAGAGGAATTCGTACATTAAGCCTACGTAACCATATAGAATGCATAATCATATGCAACATATCAAATGGCTTTGATGGTCTGTTTACGACAAAGTGTTTCCGAACCTCAAGAACTCCCCTCTGCATCTTCAAGTACTCTTCTTCCGGTATCGCTTCTAGAATCTTCTTTATCTCCGGTATCTTCGATATCGGAATATGAACTGAGAAGCTCTTCCAATTCAACACATCGCTAAATGGAAGAACGTAATAATCAGCAACGATGACCGGAACGCAACCAGAGTAAAGAGACTCCACGATTCTTGGACTCGCTACCTCCCAACCGCTCGGACACAGACAAAACTTTGCTCGATCCATCATCTTGGTGTAGTTCATAGTTTTGGGGAGATACTCGTAGACTAGGACGTCTTTGTCCTTTTCTTTCCAGTGTTCGAAAAGTATTTTGCGGACTTCTCCGTGAGAACCTCCCGCGAAAAACGCCAAGAGTTTGCGGTTCTGAGGGGGTTCTCCGTCGTGTACAAACCCTAATTGGCCGTATTGGATGTTGATCTCCGGCAATGAAACGTCTCTCATGGGGGTGAATCCCTCAGATGAATTGGCATTGCAGAGAGCTCTGATGAAATGCTTGTATAGCTCTGGATCTACCGCTGAAACATCAGGTGCCTTGAACAATAAGGAAAAAATATGGAAAGTGAGGGATAGGTTATTTTTAATGGTTAACTTGCGGAACAAGAAATGTGTATAAAACAAGGATTACTCACCCAATCGTGACAGGAGAGGAAGAAATGGTCAGCACCGCGACTTCGATTCCAGTAAGGGTAACGGTTAGAGACGAGAGAGATGTAGTCTTTCACAATGTTTTGGAGACGGTCTCGGGCATAGCTAGTGTAAGGTCTATAGACAAATCGTATGATATTGACGATCCCAACAGGGATGTAGAACACAGTGGCTTCCTCCGGTGAAGCTGCCGCGAAACGGCTTTTTCCGTTCTCGATCTCGTCCATGAATTGGCCTTCAATAGCATAAATATTGTTGAGAGGACCCTTGTGAAACAGAGGAGCTTCTCCTTCTCTATATGTCCATATCTTAAATCTCTTCTCCATCTCTTTGTGGCTCCTGTTTATTGTTACGTGTAAAGAAATTAGAAAAAAAAATTAAACATTACATATGCACAATCTCGATGTGTTTGCCTATTATATACATTGTAGTGTGTGAGACTTTTAAAACTTTTAGCATAGAAGTAAGAACAAAGTAAATGATATGTTTGCAAAGGTCAACTTGAGATATGGAGAGAAAGGTATGGAGAAACCTAAAAGCCAAACTACTCTTTCCTCAAAATAGGTCTGATTTTGGATTCTGACGAGCGAGAGAGAGAGAATTACGACAGGAGAATAATGGTGTAGAAATATACTAAACAAATATTGGGGGAAAGGAACTTTAAAAAATTGGAAACTGCAAATTAGTAGTGCGCAGGATTCTAAAAATGGAAATTTACATAGAATTTGATGATGACACATAGTTTTATTAAACGGTGATTTAGAGTCAAGTTCCTAACGGAAACATACAAAAGAGAGTTCACATCCTAATGAGTACCTACTTATTAGCTACATATCATTACTTATTTATTTGTTTTATTAAACTCCACTTTCTTTTTATCAAGCCTAACTATTCTTTGACTTAACTAAAAAAAGCCTAACTAACTCAAATCAAGCAAGGGGATTACTAGTGATCAAACAAGACAATGTTGTTAAATTATATACCAATTCGTATATTTTTCATTAACATTCACTTAATTTATAAATTAATAATAGAAAGAGAGAGAAATATTAAGCAAAAATAGGAGAAAGAAAAGGTCTTAACTGATGAAATGTAAAAGCGTTGAGATAGACAGAACCATTTGATGCGAATCTCAAATTCGAATTATTCCTCCGATCACGACGGCGACGGAGATCCACTTCTTTGGCTTTCTTGATGGCGGCTCTTGCCATCGCCAAACCTTCTTCGATTCTCTCCACTGCTTCATCAACTTCTTCTACCACCGTAACTTCTGACGACGACTGTTTCAATTTTAAACAACATTAATAAAAAAATATATACTAAATGTATTTCTAACACCTCGTAGCTAAAATACACAAACCTAGAAGAGAACAGTAAAGAAACTAAAGAAACGAAACTTATGTTTACATATGAACGAAACTAACGAAATAAACAGAAAAAGAAGAAGCGAAGTACATTGTTGAGAGTGGAGAGACAAGAGGAAGAAGAACGAAAAGGGAAGAATCTGAAGGAAGAGAAAACAGATTGTGGAGAAGACGAATTCGAAGAGGAGAGAGAGAGACGGCACGAAGGATCATCGTCGACGACGGAGGAGAGAAATCGGTTATGGTGGTTAAGGGAGTAGAAGAAGAGGATGATGACGAGTGAAGGGTAGAGCAGAAACGGCGTCGTACAAGTGAGATCCGCCATTAAATTAGTATCTTCTACTTTAGGACGTAACTGGGAACTGTAACCTAATTTATTAGGGTTTGCTTTTGATTTTACAGAAGAGAAGAAGAAGAATAAGTCAAGAAGATGAATCTGAGAATTTTAGGGTTGTTTGTTTGTTGTTTCTCTCTGAATTTCTAAAGAGGTTTATTTACTCTTTTTAATTCACTTCCCTTACTCTTCTATTTATATGTGTGCTACTGTTTGACCGTCTAATGCGGTTTCAGTTTTTGGATTAACAAGTTCAGAAATTCAATTATTATTATTATTTTGGTCAATGAAACTCAAGTAATTTACGTGACTCTTTTACGGGTTGTTTTGGTACGGTTTTGGTTGGATTTGGTTCGGTTTTCTAACAATATATATTTTGTTTTTTTTTTTTCACTTCCAACATTAGCTTAAACTTTTTTTCACATTTATCCAGACTCACACGTATATATTTTGTTATATACGGACGATTATCCACATATATAAATAATTAAAAAAGGAAAAGACTACGTAAATTTAACTCTTTTTTTTTTTGGATAAACCACAATAACGTCCATCTTCATATATGACATTGCTGTTTAATTCTATTTTCTGATTCTGGCACTTTCTGGTTGACCCATCATTATTCATTATACTTTTTAGAGTTTCTTTTTCAATTTATGCAAACATTTTTGCTTACATATATAATATTCACTTCTTTTTCGATTTTACAAAGGTTTTTCCAATTATATAAAAAAAAAACAGTATTTCATCCAATATTATACAAATCTTATTGGGATACTGTACTTTATTCTCCGTTATCAGTTCACCATTATCGCATATTGGGACCCAAAAAAAGGACTTCTTTAATCAAGGAAAAAACAGCCTCAAGGCTTGACGAGATTGATCCCAAGCTTCTCTAGAGCGGCTTTAATGGCTTCATGTCCACATTCTTTAGCTTCAATGATGTTGGGACTGTTAACTGGAATCACATCTTCCATTGGGTAGCTTCTGTTGCCGTGTAGCTCACGCAAGTCACTTGCTATGCCTTTTAGTATCACTGTTTTGTGAATTCCTCCAAGCAAACCTTCGTAATCTGTGTCACCTGAATCTCCCACGAAGACCACCATGTTCGATAAGTCAATTCCCCATCGCACAAGCAGATACCTGAAACAGAGGATAAGACGCATGTGTGTGTGATCAGTTTAAGCCTAAAATCCGAAAACCAAACCCAAGAAAGTGAAACAGTTGATGATGTGTATATCTGATGGGTGTATGATCAAAACTCACCTAAGGGCCTGACATCGTGACGCAAGAACAGGGATTACGTTTAGCCTAGCTCCGCTTTGGCAGTAAACTACATTGCAACGCAATGCTTGAATTCTCATCAATTTCCTCAGCTCCTTCATTGGAGGAATCTGCAGATATTAAATGAACAAAGGGAGATTAGAAGGTAATAGGAAGATACGAACATCCATGTTTTCAAGTGAGTGAAACTACTGTTTGAGAGATTTACCGAAGAGGGATCTTTCACTTTAAAAGATAAGCAATAGTTGGTTGAAGAAGACTCGTCTTCAGAGAGAATCTCTCCTTGTTTCATCTTCTTCTTTTCTTCACAGAACTAATCCAGCGGATCAAAGTCTTCCTCAAGTTCTCTCCACCCCAGCGGAATTCTATATGCGAATGGTAATCTGTATCGAGTGAATACGGAAGCACGGTTTTATCCTCGGAAGCAGAGACCGTGAAGTAGAGTTCACTTCCACTGTTGCAGATAACAGCGTCAAAGTCTTGTGGTTTCAAGCCTCCTGATAGCAAGGTGGTATGAGTCTCAGATATGGTCATTGAGGTTGAGAGTATGAACCCTATTGAACCGCCTTTGCTTGCAACGTCCATAACTGTTTTCACTACTGCGAGAAGATCAGAGGTTGCGCTGCAGTCGACGGAAATGACAAATATATGTTTCCGTCTTTTCAAAGTAGGCATCTTGGAGTCAATTTTCTCTGTTGAAGTCTTCTTCTGTGCCAATGCTGAAACAGCTTTCTCTAGCTTAGCTTTTCGTTCAGCGGCGCTGTCTTCAGCGTCTAAGTTATTATCTACACCGTTGTTACTTTCAACCTTTTCGCCATCCAAGGAAAGTTTAAGATTCAATGAGATGTCATGTATATCTCTAAGGGAGTCACTGGGTGAATCAGGGTCTGAGTTTTCAAACTCAACTCTCTGCCATTTGGGATGCCTTTGCTTGCAAGAAGCTATCCGAGCCAAATATGTTTTGCAATGCTCTGGCCATGAAAACAAGTGAATGTTTTTGAGGCCGTTTTGTCTGCATCTTGTCCACAGTTGTTTGTCTGAAACCAGTTTCAGGAGAGCATCAGCTATAGCTTGCTGATCATGAGGATCAACTAGAAGACCATTGTCCAGAACCTGCAAGTCCGGAGCAGAAATCAGCTATAGCTTTCTCTATAACGCAGTGCAAATTTCTTATGAAATATGGAAATCAACAAACCCGATGAATATCAACAGGTCCTCCATTTTTTGTTGCAACAGTGGGCAGACCGTGAGCTCCTGCCTGTTAGATACAGCGCCTGTTAATTTAACAAGAAACCTTGAAAAGAATAGAGCTCTGAAGAGAGAAAAACAAATGATAAATACCTCTATTAGAGTCAATCCAAATGGTTCGATGAAAGCTGGATTTATAAATACTCCCTGAAAAAAAGGTTTGAGATAAGATGGATAAACAAATGCAGGGAACTCAACTAATTCATAGAAACAGCAGCAAAGCACAGGCTAATAGCTTGCATTATAATAAAGGAACAGTTATTGATCACTGAATGCTATCTGCCAATAATTTATAAAGTTTGTTTCTATGACATTTAGAAAGATAGAGATCCAAAAAAAAAAAAAAGGACTGGGACTCGGATGAGCCTATAGGAGAAAAGTAAACATGTTTGAGCATTACCTTCGTTTTGGCTGCTAAACGGTAAATTTCAGGAACATCAGATTGTTTGTGATGCTTAGGCATTGCCACTTGACCATAGAGGTCGTACTTGTCGATCAGCTTCAGAATTGAGAGCAGCACCGAGGAATTCGTAGTGGACAACTCATCAATATCATTTCGGTTTCCCATTATCAATGTCTGCAAAAGAAGAGAGTGAAAAGAAGGAATAAAAAAAAGTGAAACAACTTCGAGAAAATTAGTTGGAGATCATTCTGAAGAGAGTAGTTGCAGGACGTACAAGGTTAGCAAGTTCCCGTAATGGACGGCATTCTCCAAAGGCTTTGACTAGAGTAACCAAGTTCTTTTTAGGGTCTGGCCGAGCAAGAGCGAGTATCATAGGCTTGCGCGGGTTAGAAAAGAAACGCATTATCTGCCCAGGTAAGAAGTCACAGTGAATATAAAGGTACCAGTAAAACAATCAGAAAATATTTAACACATTTGATCAAAGGCAAAAAAAAAAACATATGATTCGACTGTATTACCTCAGACCAAATTTGTGGATCAGGAGATTGTGGGTTTTCATCGTCTCTCGCTCCTTCACCATCTGCATCCACATCATGCGGTACGATGTGATGAAATTCCATTCCTGGAGGAATTACCTGGAATCACAGGAAAAGGCTACTCATGATCATGGAAGGGAGACTTGTCTAGAAGCAAAAAGTTCTCGTTTACAGTCCCAAATAGGAATAGATATGATACTTACAACCATGCGAGGCATAAATCTACCAAGACAGCTCACACCCCTTTTCATCCTTGCTCTAAGTTTACGCTCCAAAACCGGATCAAAACCATCATAAAGGCGCCATTGCTCTTCTATCTCTTGCCTTGTGCTAGTTATGACTATTTCAGACGCATCAAGACTTAGCTCCTCTGCCTCTATCCGCCGCATTATCTTGTAGTTAGAATTTATTTCTTCTTTGGGCCGCCCTTGTTTCAGGAGTTGCTCAAGCTTATCACGACCAAGAGAATGACCAGTAAAAACCATTGGTACATTCAGAGCCCCAGATAGAAGAGCAGCGGAATCACCAGCATCTGCATAGTGCCCGTGAATAGAAACCGGCCACACTTGTTGTCCACCCCCAATTTGCTCAGCAAGAACCTTGGAAATCTGCATAATATGGCTAAGTGCCCTATCAACAAACTCAGGAATATGAGGCCAGAGGAGCTCTTTTGGGACGTATTTATCTTTTGGACCAAAAGGTATACGGATTATATAAGCGCCACTACTCTCTCCATGCTCCTGCTCTGAGCTATCTGTGTCTAAAGGATTTAGCATCTCAGTAGGTTCTGAGTAGCTGCTATCCACATCTGACGCGGATACCTGTCTGGTCAGCAAATCCACACGATAGACTCCTGGCATTGAGCCCAATGCCCTAGCAAGTTCCACAACATACTTCACCTGATTGTAGAAGCCGTTTGAAACCGTGTGAATGGATCAATGGAAAACTCGAATAAGAGACTAAATGCTTGCAGAAAAAATATTACCTGGCCACCAGTATCAGAATCCCGACCAAGCTCCATGTTTTCACCCCGTATCAAACCGTGAAGGCTGCAAGACAATTTCTACTGTTATTTACCACCATGTGAAACATGACTTAAGTCATATCCTCCCACCATAAAACTCAGGTTAGTCTAACTACACAACAGACAACACCATTACTTTCCAAATATATTGCAATAGAAATCCCCTTAAAAAGTACCTTATTAAGACAATGTAAAGCTTTTTCTCTTTGTGTTGAGCAAACCAATTCTCAAAGACGTCAACAGAACTGATACGAGACATTCTTCCTTTGGTGTTGCCATCACTGTGAGCTGGAATCTCACCAGGCAAATCTGCCTTTTCTCCTTCAGAAAAATCTTCTGACATATCAGCAGTTACTTCTTTCCTTGCCTTGTCACGCTCAAGCTGCCGTTTAGCAGCACGCTTAGCATTCTTCCCTTCAACCTAATTGAGCATTTCACAACCAAAGAATGATTTAAGTCAAAGCAGATTGAGAGAATCAAATTACGACGATTCTGTTCGATTCCACGAGTTAGCTAATCACGAACCTTCTTCTTCTGGCGAGCCAAATTCCAAATCCTCCAGCACAAATTCTCCAGCCTCGTGTTCCGTTCTTGCGGACTCCTTGTTGCGGCAGCCTAAGATCAATCGAAGATAATCAGAAACGTCGAAAAACGCAAACAATCAAAAAATACGAAAGCGAACGCGAATACCTGAACCCAGGAACGGTGAAGATCAGTCTCATCGAAGCCAGTGATGACCTCCTCGACGAAATAACGACTCGGACTGAAATGGCCACGCTCTCTCAACAGAAGCGACGATTTGGAATCGCCGATTCCCGGTTCAGCAGCGAGGATCGCCTCCAAGTAGCTATTCACCCAATCGTTTCCCACCATTTTCTTTCGCTCTCAAATCTCTCTGACGATTCGGAACAAGGGAAAATAAAAAAACAAAATTAGTCTGCAAATAGTCGTGAAATCAGGAGATCATGTAGCAAGCGGTTCAAGGGGTACGAAATCTGGAGATGGAGAGAGATCAGTTTCAGAAAACGAACCAAGAGAAGCGGGAGAAGGAGCGAGAGAGAGAGAGGTTTATTTGGTGATTGATCTGTATAAACGTCTCTTCGTTTTCTTTTCTAATCCGAAAATGAAAATAATTAGAAGATTCTACATATGTTGCGGTTAGATCATTATATCGTTAAGCTTTGAACGATTGAACATCAGATTAATTTGTAAATAGAATATCCAATTCTTAATTTCAAGACGTAAAATAATTTGATCCTGAAATCAAGACGTAACAAATTAGAATTTTAGTTGCCTCAAATTATAAAAAAAATGTTAAAAGGGCGTAAGTCACGAAAAGTAGTAGAAAATGACCAATTGAGAAAATGACCAATTTGATATCTTACGAGCAGTGAGCGATTTACACTTGGCAAAATCTAGAACAACATTAAGCATAAGAATCTTATTTTTTGTCCTTTTGACTTTAGAATCTTATTATACCAGCGAATATTACATTGAGCTGTCTACATTATTTTTTTTTTTAATTCACGACTATGCCATGATATCATCACCAGCGTAACACCTCCAAACAATATTAGAAACAAATAGGTCACTAATCTATTTTCGTTTAAAATATTCTTTCCATCAACGCCAACACTTGTTCACACGCGTTTTAACATAAACTACTGAGGGCAGTATGAAGTATCTGATTTTGAATTTGAAGACGTAAATAATTATTTTTTCTTGGTATTCTCAAGTATTATTTATCATCGTTTTTTAAAAGTAAGTATTTGATAAGAAAGAAAAAAAAAGGCCAAAACCAATTTACACGAATGTCTTAAATACAGTCCAAATTTATTCATATTTTTTGGTTAAATAAATTCGAGTAAAATGAATATAAACAAAGTGCGTCTATATTAATATTTATATTACTATTTTGTCATCGTCTATTTTAATATTTATATTACTTTCTTGTATGACAAGAAAGAAGGATCAATAAACATCAGTCATCAGCACATTATATACAACCAAAAAAAGAAACAGACAAAACATATAAATAAGGAAAGTAAATGTGTTGAGACTTGGAGAGGGGGGGGGGAGGAAGAAGGAAGAAGGAATCATAAAGAATCAAGAGGTGTCTCTGAGCTTAAGCCTTGGAGTCCATTTGAGATGGATACAAAGCTTCCCTGATTTAGCTCCATCTAACTCATTACACTCTTGAAACTCTCCTTCTAGCATCACTCTTGTCAATGTCATTATCACTCTCCCTATTTTATCCTTCCAAAAAACAAAACAAAAAACAGAGCAAAACATTAAATATATTCACATGTTTAGTTTGCCATGAATGTGTATTCAACATTTCTCTTACCTTGCCAAACTTGTCATGGTCCCATACTTCAAGAATCAAGAGATCATGCAAAGCATCCTCCACAACAAAATCAAATGTCTGGTTCCAAACCGGATTCAAGCTATCCGGTACAACCCTCGTCTTTGATTTCGATTCCGATTTCTTCAACGTGATTACCACAAACGGATCTGCTTTTCCCATAAAATCTACAGCTGGTAAGTCTTCAGCAGACAACACTGTCACAGACAACACTCCTCTCACAATAACATCTTTTTTCTTAGGGCTCTGCAGATTTTTAACATCCGTAGTAGCATCAGAATCCTCGCTTTCCGGTTTAAGCACCTTCTCTAAAATGGTCAGTGAGAAGTTTGGGTTAAACGGGTTCTTGAATCCGCTTTCTTCGCCTAAGGGGCAATATAGGAGCTCACACTGCACCTAGATCACCACATAAATATAAATTTAACCTTAGCAAAAGAGATGTTATATAAGAAAGAGAAGTGTATTAAGAATAAGTGGGAAATACTAACCTGACCCCGATTTTTGGTATCCCTTTGGATCTCTAAATCCTTGACTAATTTCAACCAAATATCTTTCACTTTCCCGGGCTCGAGTTCACTTAACGGCACTTGAGCAGCCCCGATAAGCTGAGAAGACCCGACTCCTTCGTCGTCAAAGACTCTTACTGTTAAATGCTGAGTTGATACATCTTCCACTATGAACTCAAAATGTTCATTCCAGATAGGATTCAACGAGTTACTCTATACGAAGTAAAAAAACAAGAAATAGCGACAGTGTTACACACAATCCAAATCAGCAAGATCATAAAGATATCGGAATCTTTGGTAGAGGCATATTTTTCCTTACAATAGTTTTGGTCTTCTTAGTTTTGTCACGCAATGGGCGGATGAATACGACAGCGTAAGGATCAGATTTTCCAATCATGTCTTTGTTAGCCAAGTCTTTTGCTTGCACAAGCTTCACATCCAGTGTTCCAACAGGTTTCAGCTCAAGATCACTGTTAAACCACATTTTCAGATTCACATTAAAAAAAAATGGTCTTCACCGGAAATAAATCCAGATGGTATAATATAAAGAAGCCAAAAACCTGTAATCTCCTGGCAATATAGGAATTGTTTTCCTAACGGGCCATGTTATGCTGTCTTCAATAGCGTCACGAATAGTTTCCTACCAAAGGCATTAAACGGATTAAATATTGACCAATAATAGGTTATGAAGAATGCTAAAGATATAAGGTCGAATATGTTTTTGCATACTTCTATTGCATCCGAAATCCCTGGAATTGACGTTAAATCCCCACCAATAACTTTAAGTGTAAAATCAAGCCCTTTCTGCATACAAAACAGAACATGGTCACTTAAAACATGACAGTAAAGATTATAACAAATAATGAAGATCATCACTAAATTACCTTCTCGCGGAGTGAATAAGAAAGCGCGCCAAAACAAGGGAATTCATCAACAAGAGGTCTGAAAATTAACCTGAAAACGCCTGTGAATCCTATATTTTTCACCTATATATACAAACAACACAGAAATCTCAAGAACAAAGTTTGTATAGTAGATTTATCAATAATAGCATGACTAGTGATGTAGAAAGTACCTCAATCGGTAACGCCACGCCAAGTAAGGTTTTGATATCCAAGACGATTTTTGGATTACCGTCCCATTGCATTTCAAGTTCCATCGTAATTCCATTAGGTCCACTTTCACTTTCTAAGATAGAAGCTCCTGAAAAGTGAGCAAGATTGCTAAAATGAAACATCTTGAATAAATGATCATTAAAAAACGTCACTACTAGCATAATTTGTTCATCGTAAAACAATATAATATAGCAACCAACAAAACCAAACCTGACCTGTGAATTGAGGAGCCACAGTGCCAAGTGTAAATTTGGAGAATTTGAGAGATGCTAACATAGGAGGTGTATATTGTTCAAGAACTGGTTCCACACTGCTTCGAATCAGCTCAGAAGCTGCCTACAAGATTAATCAGTACATTCAGAAGTTAAAGAAAGCAAAACCTTTCGACCAAAAAAAAAAAAAGAAAGCAAAACCTATGCCTTTTAATTAGAAAGAGTGTGTAAAAGAAGATACACGTTACCTCATTTACATAAGGCCAGATCTTTTCAAGTTCAAGATTAAGCCAATTCAACTGTAATTTTCAATCAACAAGTATCAATATCCATAAATCAACAAATGATGGAAGTAAAAGAGCTTTGGTACATAAACAAACAGAATTGCTCAACTTTTGTCTCTGTGAAAATACAACCCAAGAAGGATAAAAATCTCCGGGGAGAAGTTTCCTAGAATCTTGAACAGTCATTCTTGCAAATGCTGCAATCGTCCTCGCCTATAATCCCAATCAAGAGGAATACATTTGTTTAAACTTCCCAAAACAAATCATCAGAAATGAAATATATACGTTATGATGAGAAATGAATTTACCAATTCAGCTCGACGAGTGGATCTGACATTTGAATAGCGTGCAAATGCAACGACTAAACCGACAGAGACTGCGATTCCTATGAACAAACCAAAGAGAAAACCCATTTTTTCCTACTTCTCGACGAATCGAACCCGGGACGATGATTTTAAATGGGATCCATTTATCGGCTCTATGAAAAGAAAAGAAAAAAACAGAGAGTGCTCTGCTTCTGAGATTAATTAGTAATCGACAATAAAGTTAAAGAGGAGATTACTTCGCGCTTAGTTATTCTCTAATCTAAATCTATTGATTTTTGGCTTTTAAGATTCCTCCTCTTCTTCTTTTGTCTCTTTCTTTTGCTTTCAATTTTTATTCTCTCTGATCTCATTACATCGATGTTATTTTCCTTCGTCTTCTGCATGCTTCTTTTTCTCTCCTGAAACTTCTGTTAATTTTTTTGTTTATAAATATACACCAAAACGCTGGTTTTATTCCGGCGTCATGTTTTTGGTTCGTATGTGCAATCGTGTAATACGATTTTTGGTTAAATGCTCCGGTTTGAGAATTGATTATCTTAGAAATCTCTACTAGGCCGAAAATTGTGTTAGCTTCTAAATGGGCCGGCCCAATTTATAAACTACAGTCCAATTGTTTTACGCTTTCTCTTGACAGTTCTTTTCCATCAGTGTGTAAATTTGTAATTTGCTTTCAGCTTATGTTTTGTCCCGATAAGGTGTTACCGTAATTTACATGAACTCGTTCTTTTTTTCCGCGGTCTTACGAAAACATAATTAGAATTGTCAAATGGTTGGGATTTTATGACATCCATAAATTGTTAATGTACTTGGAAAACGTAAAGATCGAATGTCGTTATCAAAGCCTGGGATGTGTAGCACTACTTTACACATATTTTGTCATAACTCTTTAAGTTTCAACTCCTTTTCTGACTTTTAACCTTCCTTTTCGCAATCAATTACACTTCTTCGTTCCTCAACTTAGAAATTTTTTCCCGGCGGGATCACACACATAATTCCAATTAACATCGAACGTTGCCGTTTCCAATTAAAATTTATGTTTTCTTCATTTGTATCTAAGCACTAATATGATCAGTATATGAGCTTATACTTGGATTAAAATACAACAATGTTCATCTTTCAAAACTAATAATTAGCATTATGTGTTTATTATGCAGAAAATTAACTATGATGTTGACATGTTGTAATGTTTTCGTCTTATTCATTAATAATGAGAATAAGAAGGGAAAAAAAAAATAAGAAGGAAAAATCCTCATTCAAATTGGATTGTATGTAATGGAAACTCACTATAGTGTGGTGGTTATGCTTATAAAACACAGTCCCCTTTGTTTATAATTTGTGACTCTTACATTTTTTCCCCTGATATATCGTGTGATATGGATAAATTTGCGTCCCAACGGCACTAAAAATTCACAAAACAAATACCCTTAATATAAATATTCACATAAAGTTTAAGGATAAAATACCCTTAATAAAAATATACGCAGCATTGTTATAGTGAGTGGTTGTAGATTATCAATGAATATGAAGAAACATGAAGAAAACAACAAAGTATCTTGTCTTGTAATAGTGTGTGGATGGAAATAATTGAATTATCCAGAAGAGAGAATCGGAAACTCACAAAAAGAATGTGAACGAGTTTTCTTTTTTTCTTTTTTGAAGACAAAGCGAAATTGTGCCACATAGCCTTGAAAAATGCCAAACCAGAACAGAAGGGGGAAAAGGAGTTATCTAATCTCTTGTGGATTCTCATTGTCACATGTAGTGTGTGAGAATTGGCTCTTCTGAAGCTAAAGACTCAAGTTAAAGAGTTAATTACACATCTTAATGAAAGCGTGTGGGTCATGCTCATCACTCATTTCTCTGTTTTAATTGCTGTCTTATTAGTAATAAAATTCTAACGGATAGTTTTTGATTCGTTTTTAAAATAATGATGTAGTTCAAGTTGTTTAAGTAAAAACATTTAAGGGATATTGTTTGGGTAACAGGAGCGATTGACATATAATACGTCTATTAAAAAAAAAATGTTAAGTATTAAATAGAAACAATTCATATTATGTATATAAATTCAGCTACCTATGTTTCTGTTATTTAAGTACATCTCGATTATAATTAAAATTCGCAGTGAAAGTTTGAACATTGATCTTTGAATTAAGGGAGATTACAAGGTGGAAAATTCAACTAATAGGCTACGGTAATGCTAACTGTAGCACAAAGAAAGAAAAAAGATTACTGTAAATCAACTTTAAAAAAAAAAAAAAGAATCAGTAGTCACGCACGAAAAAGAAAAGTACTTTGCTTAACGGAACTAAATAGGAAAGGACATAGACACGAGCCTTGCCTCCATGCATTCAATAGTCATAATTACCGAAACGGTTGAATACAACTAATCATATTGAAGACCATCGTGAATTTATGGGTCTCCCTATCTTTTAATTTTGCTATATATCGCTACATGTCACATTTGATATTAGGTATTGAACAGCGGCAATTTTTGAATATTTAGGTCTCCTCGATCATTGAACTGCCGTTGTTGACCAGTCCTCAAGGTATTTTGGAATACCACTAATAAACAAATCAATAAGTATCAACTTAAAATTCATCAAGACTGGATCGTTGCCAAGATGGATCATACAAATCTTGATGAATATGAGATGAAGCTCGCCGATTATGATCGTGTGGAAACAACTTTAGTTGCGATTTAGGTCTAAGTCTCTAAATAAATTAAAAATATTAAATAATGATAGTCCAATGATCATTTTCTTAGCTTTTGCCATTATATTTTATTTAAAGCGAATATAAAAATCAAATTTAATATGGACTTAGACGCCAAAATCCTCGAAAAACTTGCTTGTTAAGCCATCTTGTGTTGTCCGTTCTTTAGAGAAAGAAACTCAAAAGAGAAGATTTTATAATCTGAGGTACAAGCCAAAGGAAAAGGGCCACACTGTCACATAAGGTATATAAATACTCATTAGATATTGCATATGGTTCTTAGTCCATAGTCGTCTACTTTTCTTGAAAGTCGGTTTGACCTGAAAAATTAACCTCCTCACATACGTGTCAGAAGAATAAGAGTGCAAAAAATACGTGTGATTAGAGTGTGGAATATTTGAGAACATACTTTACTGTGATTTGGACTAAACTAATAGTAAAAGATTAGAGATTATATACGATCTGAACTAAACCAACCTAAAGCATGATGACCGGTTTTATGCATTATTGTGGAGGTGCCGTGGAAAAAAAAAAGTTGTAGAAAGAAATTTGTCAACAGTTTTTTTTTTCTTTTTTAGCATCAAATTTCGAAAAGTCGGAACAACGAAAAGAAAAGAGAAAAAGAATACTAAGTTTGAGAAAAAAGAAAAAAGAGTATTAAAAAAAAAAGAGTATCAAGTTGTTTGAGCTCTCACGCTTCGGACACAAGCAACCCTATCTTCAAGTCTTTTTCAGGAATTTCCAATCCGCCACGCAAAATACACTCACGTTCGTCATTTTCTGACTTCAGCTCACCAAATGAATGTAATGTAACCCTTAATTAATTTAAGTAACAGCATTTTCAGTTTAGCACAATTAAATATCAATTTCTTATTTCTCCTGGAGGGTGCTTCTGAGAAGCCATATTAAATAATATGCACGTCTTCGTTGGGCTCGACACGAGTTTGAAGTCAGAAGTAACGCTTTGGATTAAATTAAAAACAAATTAATCAGCCATCAAGATGGTGTAATATTATTTATCGATACGTATCTTGCAGATCTATTTAATTATGGTACAAGCATTCTGTAAATTTTAAAAATCGTCAAAAAGATGAAATCTTAGTTGCACCATCGTAAACCGCATCTCCCCTAATTGTGGAAGATGCTTCCTTACTTTATCTCTGTTTTCACATCATAATTTAAGTTTGGTTTCCACCTCACCTAAATCGTGATATCGCTTTCACGCTTGAATCTTCTTTTTCTTTTTTGTGTTAATAATTGGGAATATAATGGTACCATGTATATCTCTTTATATTTTTGTATTTGGGAATTTTGCAACCTAATAATAATAATATTAGGCAAGTAGTCGGCCGACCTCTGATGATGTCACTATGAATTGAACCAAATTTATGATGAAAAGAATATCAATATAACTATATAAGAGAAATATAACGTATTTAATAAATCAATTAATTTAACAATATGATGGTAGCATATACTCTTCCAGGTAAGAAAGACGTGTATCCCCATCTTCATTCCACTTTTTCCTCTTTATAAATTAGTGAAAGATCATTTCTTCATCTTATTCATTAGGTGCATTTTATTGTAATGGCTCTTCGAAGAATTACACAACTATTAGTGAAATAGTCGGCCAATCTCATATGATGTCACTGTGATTTTGAATATATGAAAATTCATTTTTTTTTTCAACTACCATTCTCAGGTTTACAAAATTCCCTATAAATTTTGATTTGTGCGGACATTAAAAAAATATACAAATGATTTGTCCTGAGAACCTTCTTCCCACTTCGAATGCTGCCAAATAGAATCAACACATGAAGGATCAAAGTAACATATTGCAAAAATATCGACTACGTGATTAACAGTCTGGACGTCTCTAGCCTAGCATACGTTAGGCACGCGCTAATTAAGCCTAACATCAAATATTCAAGTGGTATATAAAAAGAATCGATCGAAGCTACTGCTGCCTGATACAAACAAAGAGTGACAAAACATCTAGAACTAACTTCTTGACATAAGAGACGGCTTCTAGCTTATCTCAATTTCTTGTCAACCCCTATCACATATCCGATGTAATATGCTGTCTCTAACGATTCATTCATCACTTAATTGACTTAACTTACCAGTAATTAACCCTCTCACGTTTTCTAGATGAATAGTAGTCTTCTAACTGTAACGCTAGAGAATCCTTGAAAAAAACAAACTCTGTGAATGCCTCAGAACTTGTGTCTTAAAACTTTGAATCCAAATATCTAAAATTTGTTAAAATATTTTTTGTTTTACGTATCCATCATAAATTATAGCAATTAATTGTGAGTTTAAAGAACTACAAATACTAGTCATACAAAAACATTAAGTAAGCCATTTTTTCATGTATTAAGGAAAAATCTGTTTTCCTGAGAAAATGTTTAGAAAAGCTGGATGTAGAGTAATATGGTCGACTATGTCGAATAAAATCTTCCATATCAGGAAGACGAATCTTTCCACTGTTACCTCTTCCTTTTCCGTCTTTCAAACATTCTAATTATAGTAATTCATGAATCGAAGGATTTTTCCATTTCATCAGTATATATATATATATATATACTACTAATATATATCTTCCATCTACTCCTCTAAATTTTTCATGTTAGGTCGTTTTCTATTGGTCAGTCAGCTATCGGAAATACCCTTCCCATTTCTCCTGATTTTTCATTTTCCTTTCCAGTCCTTATGTAAATTCTGTCATCAATCGTTTTATTTTCCGTCTGCCATTATAGATTTTCCGATTTTTGTTTTCATGTCCAGAAAGTGAATAAGACACCATTTCCTCGTCTTGGATTAAATAAACGCTTTCCTAATTTATGTTCTTTGTTGGTTTTTTTGCTGCTGGTTTTTTTGTTTATCATTCAGTTCCCTCCAAAATTTCATGTCCCGGTTAGTCAAGTAGTTCAAACTCCATAGTAAAACGCAACCTGCAAAATGAGAAATAAAGCAAAATGAACACACACACAGAAAAAATATAATAAAATTACAAGAACCTAAAAATCAATAAGCAAAAACTAAATAAAATGAAAGAACATACCTCACACGACGAACAACGCATACCTGGAAATTAACGGAACGACTAACGGAAGAAACAGACGACGCATAACTGCGAATGAGACGGTCAACGACTCGGACGTTGACTTGACGGAACCACGAAAAACGGGAATAGACAAACGCTGCAATAGACACACCATTGATGTGAGACCAGAGATCTAAAATCTAACTTGTTTTATGAAAATTGGATTCAGAAACTTGATTCAGATCTATTCACCAGTTTTTGATTTTCGATTTTTAGGTGTAATTTTTCGAGAGTCCGACATTTTCTTTTTCCGAGAGAGAGACCATGAAAACAGTAAAATGAGTATGTACAATGCGTTTCGCATCTTTTCTTCACCCAACAACAAAAAAATTATGATGGTGTGTTTCTTTCTTTCGATCTTCTTTTACAAAACTCGATTTCCAGGTTGATTCTCAGCCACAATCGCCGCAGATCTCGCCGCCAAGCTTTGACTTATCCGCAGTCAGATTCGAGTTTCCGGTAGCTTCAGAGCAACACTTCTACGCCGGATCTATCCTGTGGTGGTTTTAGGGATAAGAACAAACCTGAAATCTGAAATCAGATCCGATCAATTATCATCGGCTTTCGACATGATCGAGAGCCTACTAGGACGAGGCTGATACGCAGCTCGTCTTTTCAGATGGTGCGAAGAAGGTCGAATCAGAGTCGTCAAGGCTCTTCTCACCCACTCTCCTTCGACGCCGCCGATTCTCACCAGAGAATTCGTCATCGCAGATCGGCGCATATTCAAACTGTTGGTCGGATACGAAGCCGCACCTTGACCGTGTGGATTCGCGACGTTCTTGTGGAGACTACATCGGAAAGATCCAGGATGCGTCGTCGGAGAACACATACACCTTCTTCTCGTCTCAGAGATCTTGTGACTGCTCGGCTGCTGTTTCTTCGAAACGGAGATGGATCGGTTCGTAGGCGAGATGGATCTGCTGTCGAGAGAATACCGAAACGACTGCGCCATCGGCTGCGCCGTGTATAGATTCACACGAGTCGGCGACGCTGATCGGTGATGACTGTGATTGTCGTGGTGATTACGGTGGTTGCTGAAGAAAGCTGAAGACGGCGATGAGAAGCTAGAGCTCGTAGACGAAGCGAACGCTGAGGAAGAAGACGACGGAACGGCTTTAGAGTAAGCACCGCAAAACCGACCCGACGGAGATTGGGAACGAAGAACAGGGCCGTTTGACTTGGTACGAGACGATGTGGTCACCATTGTTTTTCTTTGAGAAATTGAAAGTCAAAAGAGAAATTTGAATAAGTCTCAAAAGGAAGAAGAAGAAGAAAGGAGGGAGAGGTTCTAGATTTCTCTCTATAGAAGGCCCCGGAGGGAGGTTAGTTCGGCAAACCTAGCGAGTCTCAGGAACCAAATTTATAACAAAAGCTGTCCAATGGCATGAAATGTAAATACTTCCAAAGATTTTGACCTTTTTCGAATTTTAGGTAATTCTGTGTCGGGTTAGTCAAACTTAACCATGGTTAGCAAATATTATGGGTTTCTTTTTTCTTTTTTGCCTCCTTTTTTTTTCATTTTTTTCAACTTGGCGGTTTTGCCGTTTCGAAAAGAATCGGGTTCTTGATCCAACGGCTGAGAATAAGACTCAGATGAATGCTTTTGTGGGCAGTTGGAAAAGCTGCCACGTATTATGACTATGAAATATGTCAGCTCGTACCCCGGGAAAGCTGCGATAATTACGAAATGCCATTGCCCGTTGTTTTGCCAAGAGCCGGATTTACAATTCCAATGGGTCTTTTTTTGTCGTCACAATCCAATGGTTTCATAACGGTAATGGATTTACAACACTAAAAATTTATATTCGAAAATCGGTATTAGGTATTTTCAATATACATATATGCAAAGTCTCCAAAACATAATATCAAATGAACAACTAGAAAATACCTATTTTAACAGAATTTTAATGGACCAAATTATAAAAACTAATTCTAAACTTAATAGTAATGTATTTTTCCAATTAAGGGGTTTTTGGTAGAACTTAGATATCAAACTTCTTAACCTTGTTAATTAATCTTATTTGTTGGTCTGTTTGATCCTTATAACATTAACGTAAACATATCAAGATATACATCTATAATCACAAATGACAAACCACAACTAACAAACTAAAATATTTCAACAACTTTTCAGCTCAAACCTACTGGTGAATTAGCCAAACTCTTGGAGGGACTTCAAAGCAAGGTCAGAACCACGAGGAATCTATAATTCGTTAAAACCTGTTTCGGTGGAGAAGTTCCATGCAACTGTGTTTTATATATATTGGTCCCAACAAAATTCCTAGGAATTGATGGAACTAATTACTTCCTATGAATTTATTACTCGAGTAAATCTTCCAACATTATTCGCATGTACATATAACGTATGTACTACCAAAGATTTATATCAAAATTTCAAGCTGATTTTGGTCTTGAAACATGTGATCACATCATATTTGATTGTTCATGACATGCTACATCATATCTCTTAAACAAACGATATTCCAATATGCTTCTTCGTTTATAGCCATCAAAACATAGATACTAGGAAAGGTTACGAGAAGGTTGAGTGAGACTTGTTGAAGAATATAATTAGCGTTGGCTTTGGACTTGGGTTTCAGACAAGTCCAATTTTAAGGTGATGCAAGAATCTTGGTTGATGTACTAAATGGAAATTAAGTTAATATACACATTTAATTTCTTAAATTTGATTGAGATGACTAATTAAGGACTGGTATTAAGAAACTCTATACCTTTTGTTTTTGCCTAAAGAAAAACAGTAGATGTGATGACTAATTAGCAACACACATTGTCGTGTCTTGTGGTGGATGAGACTATTTTTGAAAAAAGAGAAAAAGTCAAGAACCCATATTTTGTAAATCATATAAAGTATCAATAATCAAAACATTAATAACAGCATTACAGTAAGATAGTATAATGACCTGATAAACAAAGTAAAAACTATATTAAACAATTATATATTTTATACACATATACTAAGTAGGTACGACGATTGTAACGGGTTAATTTAGACGAATCTAAGAAATAAAATTAGAATAAAAATAGTGTAGGGGGATCAATAATGCGGGGCACATGGAGGTCGTGTTGGGTGAGTTAGGGACAAAACAGTTATTTTTTGTATGGTCGGGATATACATTGTGTTAAAGCAATAGGCTAACAACATCACAACACCTCGTCCCACGTTACTCTGACGCGTGTGTTTTAATCTCACACGTGTCCAGCCTTCCCTAGCCTCATCATAAAATTCGAAGAGACAAAAGTGTTTTAACTGCTGATTCAATGTCTGTCACTATGACTGGACTTGAGTTATTTGACATACTCATGGTCTGGGCAGTGTGGTCATAGACGTGGTCATGGCCATGTGGTTAGCTCCTTTGAGTTGTTTTTATGGTTTTTTTTTTGGGGCAAGGAAAGTCGTTTACTCTAGGGGTGATAACTGGTAAGACCGTGACAATAGTAATTTAGGATCTTGGGTCCATTAGCACAGTTTGAATTTTATGGTGACGAGATGTTTCTAGATCATTTTTAAATTATTAATTATTGATTTGTTCTGGCTAATTTAATATGGTTTTGGTATTATGGGAGCGTATAAAGCGTGTGAAAGTCCTCTTTGAATGGAAATGTATGTCCCATATCTTATGCAATTTTATGCTTGATGCCAATGGTAAAGACTTTGATAATTATATAATTCAATGCAAATTTGAGAATCCCATTATTAAGAATAAGATGCGTATTTTACTCTGGGATATTTTTCACACCCCTATTATTAAAGTGGAGGTAGCAATGAGGTTGTACTAGAATCCGATATTATAATATCTAGGTTTCAATAATTATGATATTATGCTGATTTGCCATTTGTTCCCTTTCGCTTCCACATCTCTTTGTAGATTTGGTTAATCAATAACTATCCACCTAAAAGAGACATTTGAATATCTGGATATTATCTAAACAGTCCACAAATCCTATTATAGACTTTTACCAATATCAGTCATCTCAATGTTTTTAATTTTTGGTTAAAATTTTAAATCATATCAATAGTTTACTCGTCCATTTTTTTTTTTTTTCATTTTAACTAAAATGAAGTAAGTTTGAAGAGGCGATTGTGATATCTAAGTTTTCGAAATGCTATAATTGGCTATTATCCTAACTTAACCTTCTACATTATTTTCGTTCGTGAAAGACTTATAGTTTAATAACAATCAATTATAGTGGTTTTCCGTCAATATATTAGTACTAAGGGTTGTAACAAACACACCTAATCTTTACATTTTTACCAAATAGAAAACAAACCCACCTAATAACCTATACTCCATAAATGCATATTATTATTGACGTTTTGTAAGATTAGTGGAAAACTTCGATTAACAAGTAACGTTAAACACATACAACTTCCGGTCAGTTAGCAAGAGCAACTATTTCCGGTCAGACCGGCCTATCTGATCCGGTCTTGAGACGTTTCTCCAATCAAAAATATCTTGAAAATACAATTGGTTAAAGGGCAAAACTGCTTCGGTTTAATTAGGTGACACAAACGCATATATAATAGAACCAGTCCTTTCTTCAGATTGGCTTCACACCACAGATTGGCTTTAACAAGATATAACTTCATGTATCAAACAAGCATCGCAACAGGCAATTAAAACAACAGGAATGTGTCTGTAGTATGATCGTCATCTCAATGACCCAAAGCATTCTGGTGGCCAGACCTAGAAAAGCATCATACAGTTAATAATTGTCACTATTTCATAACAACTTAAGAGCTAGAAAAGTTGTCGGACTACAACGACTTACCCGCAGCAGAGCTTTTCCTTCAATGAGATTGTACGGTACAGGTCCAAAATGACGTGAATCAGTTGAGGCATACAAGTTATCTCCCTGAATCCAAACATGACCTTTTGGTACCTATTTTGAAGAAGCAACACATAAACCCTGAGTCAGACAAGCTTTGGTGCTCTTCAAAAAACAGAGATTGGTCACATAAAACTCAAATTCATGAATCCTGAAGAGGCTTTAGGAAGAGCCTAAAATGCTATAAATACTCTGAACGACTTAAATCCAAACCAATAACTAGCAATGCTTCACCTTCAACACCATCCCATATAATCAACCACCTCCTAAATGCTATAACTATTCTGAAATCGATTTTAATCTATACCAATAACCAGCAATTGTTGACCTTATAGACCATCCAAAATCATCAATCATACACAGATAAATACTACACAATTTTTCACCGAAAGATGGGATTTTGAAATGGAGAGATTGGTCAATGTTCATACCACAACGTTGACTGAGCCATCACCGACCAATGGGTCAGCAGAGAAAGAGAGTCTATGGCCTTCTAAACCCAAGACCCGCTTTGTCACCATCCTCTTTGGGTCCATAGGAGATCGAACCAATACAACGTCACCGAGCCCAATCCTACCTAACCGGTGTGATAAGTGTTCCGCCAAAATGACATCGCCGCTGAGATTAAGCGTCGGAAGCATGCTTGGGCCTTGAACCTTAAACCAAAATATAAACGGAATTAGGATTTCGCTGGAGAAGATAAAGGAAAAAAAGGAAGAAGAGAGGATTCAATTACAAATAATTACATACGTGAGTCGATGAAATTAGGTAACGATCGGTGACATGAAGCAAACAGAGAAACTTGGCGACGACTGATACTTGACCGAATGCCTCCTTCGCCGTTCCACGCCATTGCTTCAGATAACTCAGCAATCTCATTTCCCGACTAGCGAATCTCGAACCAGGTCCAACTCTACACTTAAAACGACACGCAGTCGGTTATTCCAAACTCTAAACGGCACCAATTAGCGACGAGAGCATCGACATCAGAGATCTCTCGAGAGGTTTTGGGTTCAGGAAGCTTCTACCTCTAGGGTGAGTTATCAAAGGAGACAACAAGTGAGGGCCTTATTGACAATTTTAAATCATAAGGGCTAAAACGCAAAATAAAAAATTCAGGGGTTATATTTGTTATTTTGGCAAACACTATAACAATGCATAAAGAAAGCTCTGTTTTGAATCTTTTATAAACATGAGAGTTCTCTCGTAGAGGAAGAAGAAGGAGGGAAAGAAACGTGGATTTGAGAGGAAGCTTTCAGGTGTCGTTGAGGGGATTCTAGGGTTCACAAAATCGCACCAAAATCTGCTCCCGTCTCTGTGGCTACTTCTCACCCTCTTCTAATCCGAACGGTTTCACAAGTTCCTTCTCTATCGTGTTAGTTCTTCTCTTCTCTTAATCTCGCTTGCTTTCGAATCTCCATTTCCTAGGGTTTTAGTTAATATCTTCGTTTCCAATTTTGCAACGTTTCTTGATTGAATGTCGCAGAGTTAGTATCAAAAAGATTTTGGGTTTAGTATTGCTTGTAGTTGTGAGAGTTTGAGTTCGCGTTGGTGATCGAATTCGTGTATTGTTATTCCTCGTCATCTCATCGTGTTCATGAAAAAAGTCTTAGTCTTTGACTGTTTCTTTTCTCAGGATGGGAGATTTGGTCGATGTAGCGGAGGCATCTCAATGCCCACCTGAGTTAATTGAGATACATATAAAGAGATTGCGTTCTGAAACATACACCTTACGTGTAGACAGAAGTGTAAGATTGTTATTTCTTAACCTGTTTATAGCGGTAGAATACTAATTCTTGTATGATCAAGATTGTGAAACCAATGGCTTCATGGACTTGTTTCTATTTGGTTTCTGCAGATCTCTATCGTGGAACTGAAGGAGCGAATTGCTGACTTATCTGGGGTTATTTCTGGACTGCAGCACTTGCTATTCCGTGGAAGAGTTCTGAATAATGATCACCAATTATCAGATTATCGTATCCTGCCTTTTTTCTTCTCATGCTCTCTTGTGTTTCCTTTAGTTTTTCTCCGAACGGGTTTCTTTAAACGGGTTAGTGCAAGATGTTGAAGGAGGCCACACCCTGTATATGGTTGTCATACCACCAATTCCACAATTATCACGAAGTCCAAGTAGTAATGCTGCAGGTATACATACTTATCCATAGTCCCTAAATTTACTCTTGTTGAACTGTATTAGTACTATATTGGTGTATGCTTGTGATATATACTGCTTCTATAAAGGGATAAAACTTGTTTCATTTTGTTCTCAGCGTCTGATCCTGTTTTGAGTCGTGAGAACAGCCAGGGAAGCCTCGTGAGTTCTTTTTCTTTTTTTGTATCTTCTTATATGTTTGGTAGAATGTTTCAGCCCTTTAGGGTCACTTGGCATCTCCATTACAGAGAGTTTACGGCTGTGATCATGCCTCTGTACGGTGTGATGTGTTTTTTCTAACGAAAATTCTACATTTTGGTCACTGCAGTTGATTCCAGATGCTTTATCATTAGTATCTGCATATCTGAATCATCTGAGACGTGAGTTTGCTGCCAACTGTTAGACATGATTTCAAGATCCTGAGCTTCTGTGTGTGACACATTTTGTATTGTGAAATGGATCTCTAGGTAACAACTCGCAAACTTCTGGAAATTCCATGGGAAATGAGCAAGAATGTGGCCCTACTAGAGAGAATCAGATCCCAACACAATCTCTTTTGGATAGGGTTGTACAAACTAGAAGGCAACTGTTGATTGGTGAAATGGCGCAATGCTTATCTGTATGTTCTCTGATGTTTCATTTCTTTTTTCTTTTTCCCATTCCACATGTTATTCCAAATGGCATTATATGTATATCTCCCTTATGCAGAACATCTCAATGGTGCTTGAGGATCGTTTAAATCGTAGAGATTCATCATCACAAATATTGCGCCAAGAGAGAGCAACTGAATCAGAAACCCGCTTGAGTATTGTAGGGAATTCACTCATTCAGCTAGGCCAAAACATCTCAAGAATTGGCATGGGAGAAAGACCTGTGTGTACATCTTTGATTTCCATTTAGATTTATTGTACCTCTGGTTTATCTTTTTATGAAGAGATAGCTTTTGTATTTTATCTCAGGGGATTTCTGTTGTTCATCGCTCACTGATAGAGGTTTGTTCCGCCTCTGTCTTCATTACCAATTGAGTTTCCATTTTGTTGACAATATTTCGACGTTTTTTGGGGATCGTTTAGATACCTCAGTCTTCGCTGCAAACAAGTAATGGAGCAGGAAATTTACCACTTGTAACTATCCCAAGAGATGCTGTGATAAGAAGTCTTAATACACTTGAGTTTCTTTGGCCATCACCGAGAAGTCAACAACATGTCCGATTAGCAGGCGGAGCAGTCAATACCTCCTCTCCTCAACAAAACACAGAGGTGATTGATGGAATCTCTGACCATTGTGTGTTGGTATTATTAATTTGCAGTGTGTTATAGCTCTTCTGAATGATGATAGTTGGTACAAATGTGCAGGAGGAGCTTACAGATTCAGATTCAGATTCAGATTCAGAACGTGAGATGGTAATAGCAGTTTACTAGTTTAGACATCACATATAGCAAAGAGATGGTTGGAGTTTTGCATCTGAGACGCTGTTTTTGGTACAAATGTGCAGGAGGAGCTTACAGATTTAGATTCATCAGATTCAGAACGTGAGATGGTAAGCGTAGTTACTAGTTTAGACATCATATATAGCAAAGAGATGGTTGGAGTTTTGCCTCTGAGACGCTGTTTTTGGATGTAATGACGCAGAGCGAATGAAATTAGTGGTGGCAAAGAGGCAATCAGAGGTGTAAAGAGAAGCTCTTATACTTTCCATTTGGAAACTATTGTTTTTCACATTAGAATACAACATTGAAAGAGTCTTTCCTTTTGTTTCATGATACGTACAACAACACTTTTTTTCTTTTTTAAGTCAATAGCAACAAACTTTATCCTTTACTCATCCCTTAAACCCGTCTAAAACCAGGTTAGTTCAGCTTAATAACAAAGCCGTAGAATTTTTTTATTCATAAGCCCATCACACAAGTCTATGAACGATTCTAAGAAAATTTCTCTACCATAGCATTTTCAACCACTCTGTTCAAGTTTAAGATATTTTAGTTTAGGGGAACCTCTGAGCATACACATAAGCATATTCAACCACTCTGGTTCACACGTGCATATCTGTAACTTTTCAAGACACTGGAAGACTGTACCAACTGGATATGCATCCTTTGAGTATAATGAACACATCCAGAGACGTTTGACTGAAGTTATAGAACCCAAAATCTTGCTAACACATCGATAAGAAAATTGAAAATCTGCCCTTACAATATTAGGCATTTCATTTTCAATGACACAAAATCCACCCTTCTCACCACAAATCCCTTACCACTTCAAAGAAGGTGCGTCTATTATAAACCCATCTGCATCATCATCTATATCTCTGTTTGCTGCTTTATGCATCAATAATACCTTGAGAGAAGGCACTCTAACAGAGAAAACGGTCACATTGTCACCGGTGCCTTGCTCAACAATCAAGCGTTCAAGAACAATACAGCTGGATAAAACCTGTTGACAAATTCATCACCAGTGTACTTGACGGATTTAAGTCCCAAATACTTGAGAGATGGGAAAGAGACCACTGAAGAAACATCCAAAAGAACCACATTGTATAGTCCCAGTCTCACAAGCATTCTACACCCTGTGTACAAACTCCTTGGAAAAATGGCTGGAGATGCACTAGAAGAGCTGTCAATTTTAGAAAGAGCTGTCAATTTTGATAATCAATTCACGTACAGAGTGTTTATCTGCAGCTCTAGTCCATAGTGGAATATCACCAACACCAGAGGTTTGAGTAACTTTGAAATGCAAAGTTTCTAGAATTGGAGCCTTGTGCAAAAGCAAAGATCTGTCTACAAAGCGCAAAAAACTTGCATACTCAGTTTCCTGATAGCTATCATCATCGTAGACGAGTTCAGGCACCATCATCCAAAGCGGCTGCCACCGTTTAGACAAAACCATTGTGGCCACAACATCTTTAGTAGTTGGCAGATAGGACAATATTCTCAAGAGCAACTTATCAGGCAACTGACTTATACTATCCACGAGAGCCATTCCCTAAACTCTAATCCACAACATAAAAGATTGATAAACCCTGGTTTTCGATGTCCTTTCCCGATTCTGAATTTATTGAGTTGTTTTGGCTTCCAAAAATTTCACAGAATAGAGAAACGCCCAAAAGTAGAGTACTCTTCGGATTAAGCTAAGAACATAGAATCTCTAGGAGATACCATTGATTAGTCTTAAAAACAAAAGAAACCCTAAAAAAAGTCGTTTACTTGTAAATGAAAATTTCATATATTTGTATTAAATTTCATACCAAATCACCCGAGGGAAAAATAAAAATACAAAAACACTCACTTTAAAAACGCGGACCGGGCCCAAACCCACGTTCCACCCACGGAGTTTTTTTTGTTTTTTTCTTTTAACTCCCTTATCTTCTTCCCTAATTTATTTTCCTATTTATTCTCTCTCATTCGTTCTTTTTCTCTCACTTGTCTCTCTTCAGAAAAAACTTTTCTCTACAATTTCTGTTTTACAAATTCCCTCAATTCCGGAAAAAACTACGATATCGACGAGATGTACAACGAATGCAGCTCTCCGTCTTCCGCTAGATCAACGAGAGGAACTGGTCACAGGCTGAGATCTCCGATCTGCTGTTTAGGAGCGAACGCGGTGGTTGAGCCGGAGGCGATGATCGGGCAGAGAACGCCGAGATCTCCTTACGAGTGGCTCAAATCGACGGCGCAGGAGCTCGAGATCAGAGACCGGTGCCGTCGCGTCAAGACACGCATCAAGGTTACGTGCCGCAACAACAATTGCGCTTATAATTGCGCTCATCATCACCATAACCAACAGAGACACCAGAGCCATAGCTATCCTGGAGATTTCAGCTACGATCCGTTGAGCTACGCGCTCAATTTCGAGGATGATGTGCGAGCGGACGAGGACGGTTCTTTCCCGAATTTCACGGCGAGGTTGCCTGCGTCTCCGGTGGCGAAATCTCGATCGGCGACGGTTGATCTTATCTCGTTTTGACGGTTAATTGATCTTTTCGGTTGTGTGACGGTGAATATAAATGTTGTTCTCCTCCGTTGTGGTTAATTGAGAATTTGAGAAATGGCGTACGAATATCACGTCGTTGTTATTATATAATATGTAAATGCTCTCGCAGATTTATTGATACCTGTAAAATTGATGTGTGCAAAAGAAGGAAACATTTTCTATATATCTCTCTCTCGTCTTCCTTTGTACATTAAACAGTTTCCTTACTTATTGATTTCAGTTTTCATCTGCAGAATTGTTGCTTGAAAAGAGAGAAATGTTTTAACTATGAACACAAAATCTCTATCGAGAAACCCTAAAATGTGGGTGGATCCATGGCTAATCAAGCATAGATACTTGACTCAATCATTCAATCTGTAGTTGATATTAGCGGGTCATAACTCATAACTCATAAGTTACCACATTATATTTCTGTAGCAAGAGATGTTCGGAGTTTGTTGATTCAATCAAGAACTAGAGCTTGCAAGTGATGTTTCGGGGGAAATTCTTGTGCTGAGTATAATCAAAGCAACGTTGTTTAAAACGTGAGTCGATCGAGTGAAGATTCTAATCAATATGCATGTGAGAAGTCAAGAATCAAAATAGCAGAAGCTTGAGATGATTGAAGATTCTAAAACATTAGAGACTTTATATGACAGAACAAAGAAAAAAGATGTATTTGTGTCGGCATAATTAGAGACTTATGAGTTATGATCAATGAGTGAGACCGTCGTCGTATCACGTATGCAAGACAGAGTGTAGTACACTGGAGTTGGGTTTTTTAAGCCAATCCGAAATGTCGAAAGCTAGATTATGTCGATTTAGTAATTTTTCTAAACACACAATTTTAAAAGATTTTTCGTTTATGTTTTTGCAAACATTTCAAATTCTCTTTGTAGTCATATGGAATTAAACTCCATGTGCAAACAAAAATGTTTGGGCATACTTTTTTGAACATAGGAACCTGATTCAGCTACTGGAATTATAATTAGATATATAAATTTAATAATTAGAAAAAGATACAGAGATTCTGGTAAGCTGTCACGGGCAGAAGAAGCATCTAAAGCCGGGTTAGTAAGACATTAGTGACCAATAACCGTATTATCCACAACATTTATAATTGAATTTAAAAAAAGAAACACGAAACAAGTGGACAGAGACTGAGGATAAGAGTGTGAAATGAAGTGAAGTGGGGATGAAAGCAAAAAAAGGGAAAAGGTACCAAAAACGCTTTCTTTACATGTATTGATGTTTGGGTTGTTACACACCACTTGCCACCAGTGGACATGTCTCTTTCTCTTTTGATGCCCCAAATCTTACTTCTTCTCTCTACGATACCTTTTCTTTTTTTTTTATTATATACATTTTTAGGTTATCCCTTACGGTTATCTCCATAGCTAGACTTGATCTCCCATGAAAGTCACAACATTCATTGTCAATCATCATCCTCGTTATTTTTTTCAATTTTAGATATTTGTATTCACATTTATGTATAATAAAATAATGTGTTTATAAAAAGTGTATGGATATGATATATGTAAATAAGATACTCACAACCAATATAGGTGCAACTATATGGACCTATGGTAGACTAAATGAATAGTTTTATAGTTCTTTTCTCTATTATATTACTATTTTTTTTATCAGTGTTTATATCTTAAGAAAAAATGACTATTTACTATTGATAATTAACGGATGATCTAACTTGTCTACAAACACACAATCACGAGATCACGGAGAATAACGACGACTTATTTAATTATGTGTACAACCAGACCCACTGTATAGGAGACCAAGACGTATGGTTCAAACTTTCGAAAAAAAATTAAATCCCTAATAAGTAAGATGTTTGAATTCAATTCCCATATATATTAGATGTCAAACATTAGTTTTAGGAAATATCAGATGCAATATGCTTCCAACATCAAGATTGAGATGTACTTTATTTAGAAGAGTTCTTCGTACATCGGTAGAGCTACATACACTAGGTATTTCTTACTAGTCTAATTTTTATGGTATTTTTCAGCTTGTTTTTGTCACACGAGAGATAAATTGCATCGTGTCTCCAAGAACGAATATAATATAGATGTCAAAGTTATATTATATTCAATTTGATCAAGAAGTCGTGGCCTCAACTTGCAAATGTTGCCGTAGAAAGATAAATTCGCCATCGCAGAATAAAATATTGATATTGAACTATGTAATGTCAAACTTCATTCGAACGTTATTTCCTCGTATTGGTATTCGGGATATGAATCTTATATCTGTATCAATTATTAACCTAATTATATATAGAATGTAGATATATTATATAAATTTGTGTAGAAGATTATCAGATGAGAAACTTCCGCATACACTGACTAACAAGAAACAGAAAGAAGCGCATGATAGACTAGACGAGAGAATGTTTAACTTCCTTGTCCTCTCTGTTTTGTTCTCTACCCCGTATTTTACCCACTACCACTTTATTATCTGTGTCACTTTATTAATTTCGCGTCACTTTCAGATAGCGAATCTTTCATAATTAAAAAAAAAAAAACATCATTATTTTCCATGATGACCCAAAAAGAAGAAGAAGAAGCAAATTGTTTCATCACTGTTACTACTTACTAGTACACCATAACAGATAACACACAGCTGTCTTTTACGATTGGCCCAGCTAGCGATAAACGTTCCTCTCAGATTTACTGTCACATTAGCAGAAGGAAAAGGCCAATCAGAAACCTCCCCCACAACGTTCTGAATGCCACGTCATGCAATCTTATTCCTCTGTGTTTTGTTGTCTCGTAAAGGAGACTCTCTTCTCCTACTATTATTAGATTACTACTACTACTAGTCTCTCTCTCTCTCTCTAGTCTATCTTCATGAAAATATCGAACTGAAGCTAGTTCGGTTATAAATTACTTCTTTTTGTCTCCTTCATTAGTGTTTCTCTCTTTTAAGAGCTAGCTTAGTTTGTATAGTCCTTAGTTGCAATTCTTCTGGTAGTCAGAAAAAATGAAAGAAAAAGAAGTTTAATCTGAAAATCTAACATAACGTTTATTTGTAAAACAAATGATTTAATCATCATCATCAAAACCAAACAAAACTGATTTAAGTGTAACCGATTCAAACCAATCTGAATAGATCGAATTTACTAAAGTTTTATATTTTTGTTGTACAGTATTATTGATCACAGTACAGAAAATAGTGTTAAGATATGATTTATATGTATATTTTCAATACTTTCTATTTTCTAATAACTAAACTGAATTCTAGTCGAAATGACGGAAATACAACGAGGTAGATAGTCAAGAGACAACGAGGCCCTATAATGGATAATGAAGAAACCCAATGGGGCTTCAGAAAAAAGAGGGGTCAAATTCATCAGGATAATTTAGTCTCTCTTTCGTTCGTTCGCCGGCGACCTTTGCAGCTTCGGATGTGATAAACGGCACGGAGTTCGGTTGCATTGTATTAGGGCGATAACAACGTATATATATATGTTACTATGTAAGTGGTTCCACTAACACAGACAAAAGGGTGCAGAAACCATCGATTGACAAAATATATAACTATCATTATTAATCTCCATAACTAAGGTTTAAATTACGGCCAATCATAGCACAAGTGTTAAAGAAACGTCTCCATGTTATTCACAAAATATATATGATATCATGATGGTGGAGATGGCATTTTATCGTAGATTCCATCTAAAACCCAATATTACAAATCATGTTTCTGCTTCTTCTTCTTTTGGGTTTTGTGTGTTCGGTGTTCCCTAATAATTAATTACGAAATATGAAGTCACATAACCATGTAATGTCACAAAATTTACTTTCTGCGTTGGTTTTGTACGTAAGAGCTTTGTCTTGATCATGTCTCCAACTTTCTGTCAAGCTATTGGATCTCTCCATGGGAGCTTCACAGCGACTTCAACGCTCTCTTCCGCTATTTTCACCTGCATTGCTTCATAAAGACAAATCTCCAAAATTCAATGACTTCATGTTTCTTGAAAATGTAACTACACATTGATGTGACCATACATAAAACAAGCTATATAAACTTTCGTCACGCTAATGAACATAAGTATATTTAAGCTATAAAGTTTGTCACACTAACATAATTCGTTCAATTGATATATTTGCTCAACAAGCATTAATGTCCGGATAACTCTTCCTACAGTTTTGTTGATGCAAAATACCTTCTGCGTTTGTTCTTTGAGACGGTGGAAGAAGATGGATTGCTATGCCAATTCCTCTTTCTTTGATTGATGAACCAATTGTTTATCTGTTTGAGCTGCAACCCCGTCTCCTGCACTAACCTCGCCTTATCTTCCTCCTGCCAAAAGTTATCTCATTCATTTAAAACTTAATAGATTGAGAAGGCAAATTAACGAAGAAGTGACAAAAGTGAAGCAGTCCAAGCCATACGGAACAGAACAAGAGGCCCTTGAGTTCATGTGAGTTATTAAGGGAGTAGAAATAGATAGAACTCACAGTAGGGTAAGGCCACTTAGAATGAGACTGCCACCAAGCTTTGAGAACGGAGGTGGTGTCTCCTGGTAATTTCCCAGCTCTTCTCTTCCTTAATATCTCCTCTCTTATGTCTACAATTTTCTCCTTATAACCCTTTTCACAAAAACATGGTTCTACAGCATTAGATCACTGAAACGCTGGCATATGCACTGTATATGTATATAGGACCTTACGAAAAAACCTTTCTTAATAAAAAAGAAGGTAATAGTTCGACAAGCAATGTGTTATAATTGGTGTTATGTGCAATCTAACTTAACAGCTGAGACAATGTCTTATGGACTAAATGATATGGAGATAGTATTATATCAGTTGTTACCTGCTTGAGTTCATGTTTGAGTTCTTGTCTAACTCGTTCCATTAAGGATCTCTCGCTCTCAGTAGGAACCAGAGGACCAAACCCTAACCCATCTAAGCTTCCATCAAACAAATGAGCATCACTATCTACTTGCTCATCTTCATCCTCAGACATTGTTGCCCCTGTGCCTTCACCAGGAGACACTCCTGTCTCACCCAAAAAACACGCCTAAATTTTTTAGAGATCGATACCGTATGGCGGAATTGAGATGAGATAAAAAAAAATATATATATTTAAAAACTTTTGTCAGTTGCTGCCACAAGTGCAATACTAGAGTTATCAATCATAATAGCTAAATGACATAATTGATGGTGAAAACTTATAGGAGAATTCTCAAAAAAATAACCTGTAAAGCTTTGAAGAGACTGCTCAATCTCCCAACAGGCCATAACAGCTTCCATTGCATGAACACGAACATGCTGTTGCAATTGTTCTTTAAAAGAGCACAACAATAGTACATAATGCGTCTGCACAAAAACATGGAAATGTTTTTCAGATAACAGATATAAAAATCTAACACATTAATAAAAAAGAATTTGGGAAAGATAATAATCAAAAGTCTAAAGGTTAAAAGTTAAAACTTATATGGGATACAAACAGAAAATGACAAACTAGTTTTTGTCAGATGATCGACTTTATCCGTAATTACAATCAATGTATTCTTCCACCAAAATCTATCTCAAAGTAAACCTTCTGCTGTCAAATTTCAACTGTTTAAAACTAAAATCCAAATTATAAACTGACGAATTATCCAATCCACTGATCTTGTGTGTCGGTGTGCAAAGTACAAATCTACGAAAGAAAATTTCCTTTTTCTTCTCAAATTTATTTTAGAATTCTGAAGTAACAAACAACCTTCCAATTTGTCAAACCGTGAAACTTTAAACTAAGAGACTAAACTGAATTATAAATTTTTGTTTTCCCAAAACCGAAGAGAATAATAAACCATTCCGGAGCAAAATGGAATAAAATAATGAAAAATAAAATAAATAAAAAATTTTGAAATTGGGTGAGAAGGAAGAAGTTACCATGAAGTGGTCAAGCTCCTTTTCATCGCCGGCGATGAGTCCCTGAGCAGCAGCTTCCAAGCTTGAGTACTTAGCCACGACGTTCTGAGTCTGAGCGAGCTGTGCGTCGATCCTCGGAAGCTGATCCACCGGCGTGGCGATCCTCAGGCACGCCACGTGTGCAGACAAAAGCTGCTCGTAGAGTGGATGAGAGAGTATCTCCGCCTTGTGCCTAGCATTCTGCCATCTCTCCGCCTCCTTCTTCTCGCCTATCATCGACTCCTCTCCGCCGTTGATGTCGTCGATGACGTCACCTGAGGCGGCGTTGTTGTTGTTGCTGGCGGCGCCACGTTGGAGGAAGGAGGAGGATCGGGAGAGCCACTGGTTAGCGGCGGCGGAGGAAGGAGAATCGGAGCTTGTAGCGGCGGCGGTGTGGAGGTTAAGGAAATTGTTGTCGGAGCGGAGGAGCCAATTAGGCGGTGCGGATTCGTGGAAATGTTGCTGCTGCGGCGGAGGAGGAGGAGGAGGCTCGTGTTGTTGGTCGGTGAAGTGATTGAAATGATTGTGATGAAACGCCATCGTTTTCTTTGTGTTTTGAATCTCTTGTCTCGGAGAGGGAAAGATGGAGAAAGAGAAGATGAATTCTCAGCTTCGACGATGTTTTTTTTGGTTTGGTACAACTGTACAAGTGGTAATGAAAAATAAGGGTTTGTGTATATAATGTATGTGTTTAAATGTTTGAATTTTATGTGTGTGCAGAGAGTTTTAGACCAAAAAGATCAAGACGGACAAAAGACGATTTATTCCTGAATCTGTTCTTTTTTTTTTTCTTTTTCTAATTATCTACTATTTGCGCGGTATATCATTTACCAATTTTTTAAAAGTGATAATAGTAGTATAGTATGGGATTAGGTCTAACTAGTAACATAATTACATTTACTGTGACAACAAAAAGTTTGATCGTTTAACGAAAAGACGGTAGTAGTTGACGGCAAAAGTATGATAAATTGTTGATAAAAATTACGAAATGACGGTAAAAAGTAAGTACTTCACCTTTGTTTTAGTCATCCGTTCCAAAACGTTTGTTTTTTCTTTCGTGTAGCTAATTTTTTTTTTTGTCACAAAGAAGTTTTTTTATGGTATCTTTATATTTTCGAAGAAGTTAATTAGTTTCTTCAAAAACTCTAATTAACTTCATAATTTTAGTTAAATTCTTTACTATAAAAAAATTATGATTTTTTTTTTGTTTGATTTTCAAGTCAGGAAGTAGTTTTTGAGTTTCATTTCGGTTCTGTCGAATAGAACCCCAGAATCTAAGCAGTTAGATTTACTGAGTTTGTTTGAAATTTGAACACATTCCTATTTTTGGTACAAGTGTTGCAGTGTTTCATTTTGTGTGCTTTTAATGGATATGTGTTACAGGGTTAAAAGTAAATAATTTTCAACAAAATATAAAGCAATAATAAAATACTATCTTCATATTTTTATCTGGTAATGAAAGGTATAATTTGGACCCTAAGCAAGCCAAATTTAGTAGTTGAACCACTAATCAAACTACAAAGATTTTGGCGCTAAGATAATTCATTTGGGTAAAATTTAAACAATAATTTGTTAAAAATCAGTTGTAAACTTGTAATAGGAGAAAATAAAATGAAGAGGAAAGCAATGAGAGAGGGGACCATTAATGACGTCATTACTCTCGGCCAAAAAATATTGGAGGACACGTGTCGCGATAAAGCTTTCCAGTAACTGTGGTCCCTCAAGGAAATGGCATGCGATCAGATAAGAGAATCCAGTCGTACAATCAAATTTACATTATTGTTTCGTAAGAGACCAATAAGTATGTCAAAAAAAAAAGACCAATATGTAATTTATATATCTATATATAAAAAGAACAAATATACAACACAGATTCAAAATTTAGAGAAGTGGGGACCAATATCAGAAAATTGACTTAAGCTCATAGTTGCTGTCTAATCGAAAGTACGACAAATTGAAAAACAAATTAAAATGGAATATAACTTTGGCATTGAACTTATGACTTCTGCTAAACATTTTTTTTTTGGTAAAAACTTATGCTAAAATTATAACATACAGTAAAACATCTATAAATTAATACTCGATAAATTAATAATCACTATAAATTAATAAATTTTGTTGGTCCCAAGTCGGATCAATGTAAAAATTCATCAAATTCGATAAGATAATAAAATAATAATTTTTTTTGAAACCCTTATGTAAATATAGGGTCCCAACAAAACCATAAATTAATAATTATATAAATATATGCAAATATATGTAAATAGAATATTTTAAAATGTGACCAATGTGTTTATTTTTATTTAAAGTTGAAATCGCATTGGCTCTCATCTCTCTAATTATTATATCAGTAGTTCTTATTGCTGTTTTACTATATACATTCAAAATTTATGATGATTTTTTGATGTGATAATTGATTTTCTTACCTGTAAATATTTTTAAATGTATTATATTGTTATCTTCAATTTTATCATCAATAATACTGATAGTAGCCATGATTTTTTTTATAAATTTTAAACTTATGAACATGTATATTTTTATACGGACAATTCAATATGGTGTTAAAAACTATTTTAATTGCGATAGTTATTAGTGTTGATCATAATTTATATTATGAGATTTGTTAAAATTTAAAATATAAGATTATTCCAAAGCAATTTTTAGAAAATTATATGAGGAAAGCAAATTTTCTCTATAAATTAATAATATAGATAAATTAATATCACGATAAAATAAATAAAATATCATGGTCCCAACATTATTAATTTATAGAGGTTTAAATGTATATATATATATATATATATGTGAAATCAAAATTTCTCAATAGCATAATTATGTTTATGAATTGTAGAAAATTACATTTACATTATTTGTATTTAAATTTGATTACGAAGCATTGAAAATATAAACAAATCAAGAGATGAGATTAGTCATCAAATTATTCATTGCGAAAGAACAGTCAACTTCCAATGAACACAAACGTTAGAAGTCTGTTAGAACTGATTTTTTAAAGATATAATGAAAGAAAAAGTCGCCAATAGCCACATGATAGTACTGAGTAAACAAATCTGCATTATCTAAGTTATGAAATAAAATAGCCATCGATGTGTTATACTTGCAAAAACAATTCGTACTTGCAAATAAAATAGCTCCATCACTTGGACTAGTCGCAATCTCTCTACAGCCACTCCTCTCTCTACCTTGCTAAAGATATTTTAAATCCAACACTTTGAGTCTTTGATCGAAGTTTATGTCTCTTGCTTGTATATCAAACTCTTGGTTTCCTCTGTTTAGCTAAGGTGAGGTCAAAACATTTTCTGTAAAGTTATTTATTTTGCAAATTCTATCTAACTGTTAAAAAGAGTTGGCGTTAATATAAAACTAGTAACTAGTGGACAAATAATACTGTAAAAAAAAAACTATCCAATGATGAGTGGTTTTATCGAAAGTTGGTAGCCATTTGACCGCTTCCAAGATTTGGCATTAATATATTTTTGTAACTTTATCTCTTGCGTGCGATACACGCGAGAGCCGATGAATGAGACTAAACCACACATAAAAAACCAAAATATCCAAACAGTGAGGTGAGTGATGGTTGTTAATAAAGGATTAAAGATTAAATAGTTAAAGACATGTGTCGAGAAAAAAGTCCGGTGTGATAAGGTCTACGTTTCGTGTGGAATCAGCTAACATGATTGGACAAAGGGAGTCACATTATCGATCATAGTCGTTCATTTCACAACCACTCTTATCCCCACACGGTTCGACTAATTAGTAATTACTCCTCATTAATAGTATTTTCTCCTTTTTTAACTCACAATCTTAACGGTTCGACTAATTAGTAATTACTCCTCATTAATAGTAATTTTTCCTTTTTTAACTCACAATCTAACAAACAAAAAAAATTCATCATTGTCTTCTTCGCTTCGTGATTATAAATTTTAACTATTGTCTATTGAGATGTCTAAAATATACAACAAATAAATTCGGTTTAAACCATCTACATATAACATTGTAGATAAATAAAACTCTTTCAGTAAATACTATTTGTGGTGACAATCCTGACGATATAAAAAGATTTGATAGACAAGGCATACTTTCGACAAAAAAAAAAAAAATAGACAAGGCATACTATCCTGATCGATATAATAAGATGTCAATAGTATTTAGAAAGACTTCTAAACAAATTATACAATTTTTATGATATAGTCTATTTAAAAAGAAAAAGAAAATGTGTGTATTCTGTTAAAATCTTATGGTATTTAATTATTCATAACATTTATTTTTAAAAAAAATTAACTTTAGATGGTATAATCTAAAAATTCTTACATCTACAATCTAAAATCTGAAAATTACATCTACATCCACAACAAATATAAAAAACATGATTCAATCCTCCATTTTTAAAAAATTTACAGTACGAAACAAATTATTCACAATTTTGTTTATGTGGTTAGCCCAATAGATCTTGATTTTCCACAACATGTAATGTGACCAGTAAATCTTGAACTCGGATATGTGTTGAAGTTTTGCACCTCGAGAATCAGATGACAGATTTTGAACGACCATCACCGATTATTAATTCACATCTACCTTAACAATCCTTGAAGTTTGCTTGAAGTTGGATTTGGACCTACTTATATTTAATGTCTCGGACCAAGATAAGAGTAGGGTGGCACGGTAGTACAGACTATAGAATCTTAATGAGAGACTTATGTTGTCTACTTAAGCGACAGAAACAAAATCAGTAATTAATTAATTTAGTAAATGACAATTGGGGTTGTAACAAAAGTCACATGTCTATCTTTTCTTGTTTTTGTTTGTTTATTTTAATATTTTCAAGTCTATATATGATCTACATTAACCAAACAAAAACTCTATGAATTTTTATATTGAAACACTATCAGACAAAAAGAGTAGTTTCAACAAGGTTCTGGTATCTAACTAACAATATTTCCAATTAAATAAACAATAAATTATACGGAGCATATGATCAAATTTATAATATATAGACATTAGCCTATAAACAGAGATGTATGTGATGAACATAGAGATTGTATTTGATTGCTGGTGATATGTCAACGATCACCATTTAATTGTATTTTTCGAGCACAAGACAAAAAAAAAACGTCATCTCTGAAAATAAACATAATCAACTATGGTGGATTTTTTTCCCAGCAATAATATCAACACTTTGAAAAGTTAAAACCAGTAAAAACCTAAGAATAGTATTTAATTTTGAAATTCGAATCTACGTTTTTACCATCTTCTTTTTGACATCACGTTTTTACCTTTTAAATTTGAGAGTTATAAAAACATTATGGGTTAAAAAGCATAAATACTTTATTATATTATAAAGTGGAGTAGAGAAAGAACATAGGAAGCTTTATGTCAGGTTTATGGATGAAAATGATGGATCGCAAAGGATGTTTTACAACGCTGCCAGAGTTGTTCCTTCGGCCACTTACATTTTATTTATTTGATTATTATTCATAATTCACACTATATAGCATATAAGATTAATTCTAATTCTCCTTAAACAATTCCACTGGATGGAAAACAAAATTACCAGAGAGATTTATCTAAATCGGGTAGATGAAATAAATAAGAAGCACTGAGTTATTTTTTTTTTTGGTTAAACTTTTTGATCACACTCACAACAAAAACCACAAAGATCTCATTGATTGTTCGAAAAAAAAAAAACTATACGAGTGTGTGGCATTAATTCATTGCCCAAAAGCATACGTCGATCACGACAAAGATCATTGTTATCACACTAAAGTCACACACACATGACACACTGTCACACACACACACATATACATATATATATATATATATGTATATATACATGGCCGACTATTAAATTGATATTTTTCATTAATGGAATAGCTCCTTTTCTTTCTATTATATATATAATGGATTCTAATTTTAATGAAATAAAGACAAGCATAATTATAATACATACACAAGCGACCACAAATGTTTTCCGATTGAGTTCCGGTTGTGTCATAATCATCATAACGTTCATAACACATTTTGTTGATTACATATACGTGTTTGTTAGTTAATGATTTAGAAACTTCTGTCTAAGCGTATTGATCAAAACCTTATTATAAATTTATAATATGATATCTGCCGCAACAAAATCGCAAAAGAAAAATAGAAAGAAAGAACCGTAGGCCTAAACCTCCATGATTTAAAAGGAATCTAAATGGTCATATCAAATAATAGAGAAAGCAAGGAAACGGTTGAAACGATCCAACCAAAAAAAGAGAAGATAGAAATGTGTTAAACTTCGAAGTAGACAAAATGGAGAAAAAGAAGAGTAATTTGGTCCCGCGTAAAAGAGAGAGAAAGAGAGGGGTTATCCACATTGTTGAAAAAGTCTTTGAGTTCTTCTTCTTACTCAAATTCTTTTTACTATTTCCCCATAATGTTAAAATATTTCATAATTTGATTTTCTGTAACCAAGTAGTGATGGGCCCTATGTTCTAGTAAACTAGTTATGTATGTTCTCTCACGATATTAAGTCTTATACGATTTAAAATACAAATTTTAAGTTTTAGTTATCTAAATGATATTTTAAATTAAACCTGTTGTTCTTTCATAATTTCATGTTAAAACAAGATAGGCGTAGTTGTCTTCATCTCTCATCAACCCACAAAGTTAGGCTTTGTTCACTTCCCAAATTGGACCACAGACGCACAAAAAAAAAAAGAAGAAGCATTTTTGAAATGAAATTAAATTCTGTAATGGACCACTTCTCCACTCTTCTGCGTTCATCTTCAATGCTTCTCTGTGTTGTCCATATCTCTCCACATTGTTTGCTTACTTTTAGTTATGCATTTGACATCTATTTGTGGAATCTTAGGCCAGTCTGAAATAGCATCTAGTCTATCTCTTTCTATTTTCTTGTTTCATTACCATCCGAATCCAATGCGACTCAACTTGTACTCAGAATGTTGTAAGTATGTAAAGAATATTTACGAGGCAACATTTTTATTTGGTGTACTATCTTGCTTCCCTGGATTCAGGAGGTAAAAAAACCAAATATATTGCAAGCTCAAACTTTTGAATCCTAAGCATTATAAGTTTTCATTGGTTAATATACCGACTCACATTTTTACTCATTTCGCCACCCAATTAAATAATGCACCAAATTTACTTAGTTATGATTTCAAATTAATATAAAAAACCGAAAAAGCTAAGGGATTAAGCACGACTTATGCTGATTGTGACAAAATAAAGGTAATTAATTTACCTTTATTTTGTAATTCCTAAATCGTTTGAATTAGTAAGGAGTGCAGAGGGTTTACTTTGATAAGAAAGTAGGATGTCTCTTTCGAAGGCATCAAGAAGTGAATACAACAGAATTAGAGAAAAAAAAGAGTAGAAACTATTGTGATGTATTAGGCTATTCATGGCCCATATATTAATCCTTTGGGCCGTTCTATTTGCCACGTCTAAGTTCCACAAAACACTCGAGGCTAGATCAGAAAAAGCAAACGAAACGGTCCTGTAAAAGCCACGTGGCGACGGTACAGCCGGTTTGGCTTAATCGCTACGTTTATAACCGGCCGTGTCTTTCATTGATGGACTTTAGTATCAGATGAACGGTGACTGTTACGATCTCAATCTAAATATTTCAATTCTAAACTGAAAGGTAATAAGTAAACCTAACACTTCACAATAATAATTGTTCTTGAATTTTCTTGTCATTCCTCATAATTCACACAATAAAGAGTTATTAACGTATTTGTAACGTTACGATGACCAGAATTTCAAGTATATGTCATTGACGACAACATTTAGCCTAATTAACGATAATCATGACTTGATATGAAATAAATTCGGTAAAAACTATCACACTAACTAGAAGAAGAGTCTCAACTACCAATTGTCGCAGATATAACCTTATTAATTTTGAGATGAAAAGAAGCTAATATAAGTTGTAAGAAAAAACAAGAGCAATAAAAAAGAAGGAATTATGATGATATTATCATATATCATCGGATGATCATAGGGTAGTTAGAACAATGGGAACCAAATGTTGCTACCTCGAGTAGAACCAGAGAGCATCTCTATCAGATCCATTTCTCTTCTTTCACTACCAGAGTTAGCCTGGGCCGCAAGAAACCCGTTTTCGCCGCCTTGCTCTGTGTTGTTGGTCGACAAAAAAGAAGATGAAGTAGACGACGCCGGACCGTTCAACAAATCAGATAAGTAGATATCAGACGCGAGGTGGGACGTATTTGCAGCATCTTTGACCATTGTTCCATTATCAGCTCCAACAGTATTGTTGTTCAAGTTAGGTTTAGGGTTAGGGCTATTGATCATGAACCCAGAGGAAGAAGACTGTGAAATCTGATCCAGACCTTGGCTCAAATCGATGTTCTCTAGAGAAATTGAGTGGGTTGCAAACATCTTTTTCAGGAAAAGAAGCTCTTCGTCATAAGGATCATCCAGAAGCGACGATGTAGAGTCTCCATCCACATCGGAATCAAAGTGAACAAGGTTCGAAGTAGCAAGAACATTATTACCACCAGTTGTGATGATGTTCTCACCATTGTCCTTTTCATTATTCTCGATGCTTCTGATATAGTCTTGGAGAACGCATGGCCTTTTAGCTGATGGAGAGAGATCATCCATATCGCATTCATCACCATCACCCGCGTTTTTTGAACGCTTGTATTTGCGTTTTGAGTTTTGGCGACGTTTGGTCGCATTCCAATGGTTCTTGATAGAGTTTTCGGTTCGTCCTTGAATAAGTTTAGCGATTTCTGCCCACTTATTCCCGATCCTGGTGTGTGCTTCCACAAGAACCCTTTCTTCTTCTTCGCTCCAACTATCTTTCTACAAAACAATTAAACATACATTAATTTATATATATCAAAAGGTTCTCATATAAACTTTAATGAAGATATATCAAAACCTTGATATCGGGACGGAGATGATTATGCCATCTCTCACGACATTGCTTGCCTGCTCTTCCCTCAAGATTCTCCGAGATCATTGTCCATTTCCTCTCCCCATGTTGCGTCACCAGTTTTATCAACTTCCTACACATATATTGTATGTGATGTATATATAAATGTTTGCAATCACAGAATTATAGGTATACATACACTCGCATATAGAAGCAGGAATAGAGATACCTGTCTTCTTCGGCTGTCCATTGCCCTTTAATGAGATACCTGTATGGTCGCTTCTTTGTTATTGCCTTGCAAGTAGTACTCTTTTGATAATCTCTAGTTGCACCTTTAACGATCATATCTCCAATAACGTTTCGGTTTCCGCAAGTAACGGCCACTTTTTTCTCCTTCGTTGGACCAGACATCAGGTTCTCTTTGTTGTCGTTTCTGATACCAATCTCCCTTGTCGTTTTCAAATTCGGTCGTTCTATAGAAAGCTCTTGTTTCTTAGAACACAAGTCATCCTTCTTTTGGCCGTACAAGAATCTCTCGACGGCTGTCAACGGCGGTGCAGCTCCGTGGACGTGGATCTTCTCTTGTATTCTCCGGTCTTCCATGGGAGAAGAAGAAAGAAAAATTAGTGTAGAATAGAGAGGAAAGCCTGGAGCACAAAGGAGGGAGAGAATTGAGCTGGTAATAAGGAGTATGAGAACTTAATGATAGGCTAAATAAATACACACTAGCTAATTACCAATTAAATTCGATTAACTAAATGGACTTTTTGATAACCCTTTTTCTAGTACAAATTTCAAAATAACCCTTCGAAGGGTTATAGAAATATATATATCAACTAAAAAAGATATATAAATCATGTATATATCGATATAAATGTCAAATGCAAACAGAGACAAAACCTTCAGATTGCGTTTGACAAAGTAAACGCAAAAACAAATGTAAAAATTCTGTTAATAAACCAAAACCTAGCTATTTGATCGGAGTACTGCTACAGTTATTCGAAATTTCTGAATTTCGAACCACGTCTCTTTCCACTAATCAAATTAAACTAGTACTCCATCCGTTTCACAAAAAGTGTCGTTTTAAGGTTTTATTTTTGTTTCACAAAGAGTGTCGTTTTATATTTTCAATGCAAAATTTAAACAATATTCCAGTTTTAACTCTATTAATTTAATGTATTTATTAGATAAAAACAAATTATTTAATGTATTAATAAGAGACAAAGTTATACTTTTAATATTTTTTGTAATATGTGTGAAAAATGTCAAAATGACATTTTTTATGAAACGGAGGAAGTAGTATAGTAAGAAAAAAAAATAGCGGAAATAATTTTTTTCTTCTTTTGTTAGAGTGGCGGGAATAATTAGTGAGTTACTCTCACAGGTTAATTGTTGAATGGGAAATGTTGTAAGTATGTAACCGACGAAGTTATATAAATGGAAAGACAATTAATGATAAGTTTACGTATGCAATAAATTAGTTAGTTGACTGCAATTATTTGGAAGGATAAAATTTGGGAGGAGTTTTAGTCCTAATAAATTAAAAATGTTATTTAAAAAATAATAATCTTTAAGTTGAAAACTATAAATCATATTTTGACCACTAAATATAGTTTACTGATTTGTGTTAGTAGTGTTGTTGTCACACCACTCAGATTAGAGTTCACGTAAAATATTTGATGAACAAAAATAACAATAACTTTACAACATAATTATAAAAGAAGAATTTCAATTTCTGTCAATCGATTAATCGATTCAAGTGTCCCAAGATTAAAAAAAAAAGTTAAAGCAGAATTCTAGTTTTCTTTTGAAACCAATATCATAAAAACATTAATTATCACTGTCATAAAAACATTAATTATCACTGAGTGAGATTTCTTTTTTCATTTCAGAATTGGATTTTAGTGGTGATAGAATAAGATAATCTCTTAGATTACTGCCGATTTGGTGTTGGTTTCAGATAATTTGCACTAAAAGTTTTTCATTTTATTTATAATTTTATATCAAGTATTTTCAAGAGCCTGAATAATCCGGAAAGTTTGTTTATGGAATCAGTTTTCTTAATTAACATACCAACTACAGAGTTTTGCTCAGAAATTGATATTGAGAGTCCCATTCTTATTGCTATCACTAAAAACTGGTCATACTGAGCAGAGGGTACAAAACAATTACTTGGAGAAGAGCGAGCTCAGCACTGAGGCCTTAAGATTCCAAAAAGCGTACAGTATATCAATATGGCATATGATGGTCGTAAAGTATTCCAAGATAAAACACAGACACACAAACACATATATATTGGACCCATTACTTTGAAACCAGAACTTAAACTTGATTCTCGTGAAATCAACAAACAGAGCAAAAAGCCCAAACCAACCTGATTTGGTTGGAAGAAACAGATCACAGTGCGCCTCCGGTGACACGGACATGAAAAGGCGGTCCGCGGCAAAAGATTGGTTCGTTTGGAGATGCAGTTCGTGCTCTTGCTCTAAGTACATTGTTCGCATCTTCAATTACTGCCGCTGCTACCATCGTGTACTCTCCGGGAACAAGGAAGTAGAGTGAGAAACGGTGTCTTGTTTCTTGCAGCGGTGCAACTTCCATTGAGATTCCACTAAGAGCACCTGACAAAATAAGTCACATATGCACATGTATTAGCCACTTCCTACATATATCATCTAATACAGTGGAAAAATATCTATATGTTACGCAAATTTCATTACTTAGCGTCATTAACGAGATTGACTACCCGAGGTTGCAAATTTCATGTTTTATGCAGCGAAACCAACAGAAAAAACAAAAATTTACCAGCCCATAGGACAGTGGCATCAGCTCCATCAGCGCAGTTCTGCCCAGCTACATCTCTGCAAGTAACACTTAGATTCAGCTTGATTGCTTCGCTTGTGTTATTGCGGACCAGAACCTCCATAGGAGTTACTTCATGAGACAGAACTGATCCCTTTGACGATGGGGACTGAGTCTTTGTCTCAGAGTCTGTCTCCAGACCGTTTCTGACCAGTCTGAAACCAAATGTTAGCGGATCTGGGAGCAAAACATCCATCACGGTCGTCTGGAGTGCTGTCTGAATTGCATCCTTTATGTCCAGTTCTCCTGAGCTGTTCCTTCCCGATTGCCACCGGACTTTTATCTTAGAAATGAGATTCTTTATCAATGCATTTATCTCAGCTTTCGTGTTCTTCTCTGAGAAGCTCGGATGTCTACTACTCGAAGGGCTACCAGGCGGAGGGTCCTTTGTGAAGAATGAACCGTCAAGAACCGGTAGCTTGAAATGCTCCAATGGAATTAATACCCTAGCAGAATAGTCTCGGTCGATTCTTGTTTTTGGGTACTCGTACTCAGGGGAATCCTGAACTGGTGAAGAATCAACTTCCTTGGCGGGATTTTCCAGCTGAACGAAGACGCTGATTTCAAAAACAACGTCTGTTGGGTTAGATAACTCGAGTTCAAGAAATCGAAGGCCCCAGCTTCCTCTAAAGGGATTGATCTTGACAAGTCTGTCTGTATTGCTCTCTGTTTCAATGTCGTCATCCCGAAGGTTGTCACTCACATGGGCAGGGATTTCCATAGAAAGCAAACGAGCTTTCACAAAAGATAAACCTTGTAAAACACAAATTTGTAAGGGAACAACAAGACGTCTTCCCGGTGGCACAACAGATTCTTTTTCCTGGGAATCCCCATTGTTCGACAACGGTCCTGCAAAAAACATGAATACAAAAATGCTTAGAATTTAGTCACCGTGAGGCAATATGAAACACTGCAAAAGTAAGATACATCACAAACACACGTCAATGAAGATATCTGTACCTGCATAGTGAATAAGCAATGAAGGGCTGGTTCCATCTTTTGGTCTTCCTGCGTTACCCACAGCGCTCCTGCCACTGCCAACAGCATTGTCCGAATCCGTTGGTCCCACATGCCAAGCTTTTAAAGTCACAGGCAGAGTCACTTGTGCCCCGGGTTTCAAGGGAAGAGCAGATTGTAAAGCTCCATCCAGTATAGAGATAACAGCATCCTGATTCTTTCCAGAGAGCGAGACATGTGCCTGTTCTATTGGAACTGTGCCAGCATTTGCAAAATTAATACACACCTCACGAATTTCACCTTCATACAGAATAATTGCACCATCACCACCAACAACATTAGCCACAAGGAGAGGCAATGGCGGTACAACTGAAATGTTAGGAACAAAAACATGACGTAGCTTTGCAGATCCACAGGATCTGAAAGGGTCAGAAAATACGAGTCCTTGTGCTGCTCCAAGAAGCAGATTGTCAACATCCCTGAAAATATGTTCAGTGATTACGCCAAAACAGTGAACTGTGCAGCCTGGTATTGTCACTGGTCCTACTGCTGTTGGAATACCAGATAACGTGATCACCTTTGCGGAGTTAGGGGGAATGTCCACACTGACAGGAAAAGCATCAAAGTTTCTTGAGTGAGCTGAGAGATAAATACTATCAACCCTTAAATCGAAGCAACAAGGATTTGCTAACTCCACTAAGACTTGAACTGGTTCACCGACCACCCAAATCAATTCCTGTTTGCTACTTTCATTTGCATCTCCTTTGCTGAAAGGAGTATAGATAAATGGCCCAGAAGGAGCAGATCCTGTCCACCAATCTTCTCTTGCTGGATTGCGTTTTACGATGTCCACCTGGGAGGAATGGAGTGGGAAAGAGAATAACCTGAAATTTCATTAAATTAAAAATCTCAGAGCGAACTAGAAAATAAAATTTGCCAAAACATACCAGTTTTGGAAGAGTCAGCTACGAAGCAAACATGGAACAAGATCTTGCAATACAAACACACATCGGACATATATGAAGCTAAGAGGTGGATGAACAGTGATTATTCGTCTGATCATTTTGCTTTACTTGGCGTGTGAAGAAATTTGAGGAACTTTGCGATGATCAAGTTGCGTTAGATCATAATGGTAAGAGAGTGCACAAGGCAAAACATCCCTGAAAGCAAAACGGTTGACTGCTGATAAATACCTTACAAATGGCAAGGCAGGGTCAGCACAGCGAGTTCCGGAAGGCAATCTATCCGCTGAATTTGCAAGGGAATTAGCAAGTCCATTTTGACCTGAAGGTGTAATTAGAGGATAATGCCACCTCAAAAGCCTTGCTGCAGCGCTCCATGCAGCAAGGGGATCTCCAGCGCGAACAGCAGATAGGAGTATCTCCCTAAGTACAACCATCTGCAAAGTGCTCCACTGGGACTCGAACATGGAGACAATGGAATGATGATGCATTTTACCAGCATCAGGTTGACGCAATCCAGTTTCCTTTACCAACATACAGAGGAGAAATATAATAAATAAACTAACCACCAAAGCATAAGACGCGGAGAAGCACCAAGATTATGAACGGTGATGATACCAAAAAAAATCCTTGGGCAAACCAAATTTATGAAGAAGGCTTAATCAACCACAAGAGAAGAAAAATAGTTGCTGTGCTGTCAAACTCACATTGTTAACAGAAACTTTGGACACGGATGCTCTACTTTGGATTCTATATGCATCAGTTGTCATAGAGAGAACTTGCATGGCACTGATAGCAGCCAATCGATTGTCTTGCTGCAAATACAATTGGGCGACCTGCCGACAGAAGAAGGCTGCTTTCCGTTGATAACCAAGTACTCCAAATAAACGTGCTACTTCAACGTATAATATAAGCCTATCACTGGCGTCAATTAAAGACTTGGCACCATCGGCAGCATTGGTTAATAGATCTACTACTTCCTTAGCAAGTTCTCTCCTGTGCAACCCATAAAAATGCCATTCTAAGAAATATTAAAATCAGATAAAAAAAGGAAATAAATTTAACCAGAAGGTAAAAAAAAAATTTACAAGCTGCCCACAACTAGAGATCATCATTTAATACTAAACGGACAACTCATGTATTTTAGCTTTTTCAAAACGTAATAAATTTTCATTTCACAGCTTACATAATCATCAACCACAAAAGGTTAGAGCGATCACTAATAACCCCACGATAATTAGCAACCTTAAACATAAGCAGCATACTAAAGGCAAAAAGGAAACTACACCACGATAATTCAAATAGAGAGCATACAATGATACCTGCAAAGGAATCTGGCCAGTTTAAGGGTAGCCTCGAGTTCAAAGCTTAGGGGAGAAACTCTGCAAGGAAAATAATTGATTGCTATTTTGCAGTAATAAATTTCTTGAAGAAGAGTGTTAAATAGGCAACGCGCTGAATTTACCTCTGAGCAATTTCTTGAATAAATGACTTTCTGTAGTGTAAGATAACATTAGTGTATCGATATCTAACTTCATCTTCTAAAGCCACATCCCGTTGGCCCATCCGATCAACCTAATAATAAGAAAATAGAAAACTGATGATTTTAAACTAAAAATAAAGAGAAACAGGAAAGCACATTTACTATCCAGTGTTTTGAGCTAAAATCCTGTGAAAAATGTAAGAACACTGCATAAGACTTTTATTTGCATAAAGCCTTACCAGCAAGGCACAAACACTGCCTTCCAAGGCACCCGCATACCAGAAGTAATCTCCTGTTAATCTGGCCAGTTCTAAAGCAGTAGAGTAGTGAGCATTAGCATCAACAGGTGAACCAGCCAACAAGGAATAATCTCCAATAGTTTTTTGAGCACGTCCCAGCCTACGCTTTTTGGCCTTGATAACCTACATTACACTAAAACTAATGAGCCTAGATGACTATGGTAATAAGTTATAAGGTTCCACAGGAAGAAATGAACCGTAGACTAATTTATAGGACACCTAGACATAAACCTCCTCTGAGTTGAGACTAGCTTGGGAATCCAAAGGCGTCTTCAAAATTGTGCCTGCAGATTCTGCCTGAAGAACCCACTTCTCAAATTCCATTAACAAAGAAGCAGCAATGTCTTGCATCATTGTTTGTAAATGAAACTCCTGAGTTTGCTTGTCAGATGGAGGAAACAGAATCAAATTTTCACCTTTCTTGTCTCCATCTTCAAGCTGCAAAAGTCAGTTCATTGATCACAGAATCGTCAATTAAACACATCCAAAAAAGGAACTTATCACCATATCAAGAACAGAAATTACTGATTTAGAAACCATACTAGGTAGTACATAAACATCACTATCAACTATAGTGCATCTACTTCCAAACGAAGAAAAATCAGAAAAGAAAAGACCACAAGCTAGCTAGCTCCATCCTCAACGAGCTAAGATGCGATAAGTAGCATCGAAATTCAGAAAACGAAGTGGAAACTGATATACTCACTTGCGAATCGCCAGGGCAGAACGCGAAGCAGCGCCGGACAAGAGCCGAGGAATAGCTCTTACAAGCGACATTGAAACTTTCGGTGACGGAAATGAGATCAGGCGACGAAGGGCAGTGGCAAAGGCCGATCACGGCGAGAATCTTCCGGTTAGACTGGAAATCCTCCCAGGGACTCGGTGGGGAACCACCAAGCACAAACTTGAACCGGAGAGAGCCGGAATCCCACGGCTGATTCGTGAACGGAGACTTCTGGTGCTCAGTGTAGAAGGAGCTGATAGCCGAGAGCGCGATCGTGTGGTGACGGAGCAGCATCGAGTGGTAGTCCTGGAGAAGCGCCGGCGGGATAGTGCCGATCGGGAGGACGGCGATCCGGATGATCGACAAGGTCTCGATGCTGACGTCCGGTTCCATGGCGGGATCAGAAGAGAGGTGAAGCCAAGGAGGATCTTTCGGTGAGTGTGAGTGCACCGGATCTGGGGGAGACGGGAACGAGAAAGGCGAGAGAACGTGGTAATGTTTGGATACGAGTTTTAACTTGTTCTTAAAATTAACTATACGATTAGTGGGGTCAGGCTATTCATATAACCAAACAACCTGGTAAAATTCGCGATTTACGACTAATATACTATTAGCGAAATAGAGACAAATTGAAAAAGTTTTGAAATCTCTTCCGACTTCAAAGCGGAGCTCGCGCAATTTGATCACTGCGAAAGCTAAGCAGCTTCGATCCAGTTATGGCGTCACCGACTATACAGAGCTTCGAGTATGAGGAGATGCCCACTGTTACGGCTTCCCCTTCACGTCGTGTACAAGAACTTTTAGCTTTGTGCTCCAGTGTAAGCTTCTCAACTTCTTCTCCTCGCTTCGGGTTGTGTACTTACTGTTAATTTTTTTTCTAAGTGCTTCGAGGCCGATGGAATACTTTTCAGCCTCGTGATTTTTGGAGTGCGATTGATATAATTTCCGCTACTCGGGCATGGTTTCGATTATCGAACTCGAGGTTTATGTATTGATTGGGGTTTATTTTGTTACTTTTCTACCACTTTCTGTTGAATGGATGCTTAAGGTTTCGAAAATAGTTTGAGAAATTTTTTGGTTCATAGATGGTTATAGTATATTAGTATTGTGCTTTGCAACTTCATGACTCTTGTTTCCTATTCACTTTGAATTTATTTTGAAGTTATTGTCGTTTGATTTTTTTTCTTTTTTTCAGTCAATTGAAATTGGAGGATCTCAAGACTTGGAGAGCTTGGTGACGGATCTTGTCAACTGTCTGAATTCTTTGTCCGAGAACGTAGCTTCGGATGCTAGCGATGAACTGGAGAATGATGTTATTCAAGTTCTAGCTGAAATTCTAAAGTTTGTATCATCTCCTCAATTGGATCAGGTACTTTTTCAGCTCTTAAACACTTTGACAGCCAAAAAGATTACTTCACAAGTTTGGATTCAACTTCCCCAACTCATTGTGTTACAGGATGTGATAGATGCACTGTCATTTGAATTGCCAAAAGTAATTTCCAAGTTTGCAGACGTATCAAGCAGATGCCTAGAATTAGTTGAGGAAATCGTCGATCGATTTGTGGAAGCATGCAGTCCACGGGACATGCTTTCAATTCTTTGTGAGGTATTAGATCTGGAATTGAATTCTGATCAGGCTAGTTATGGCAGTAATATACTAGTATTAAGTTGCTTTTCCGTACTTGGTATTTGGAATAAGAAGATTACAAGTTCTTGTAATGGTTGAGTGTTTTGTCAATTTGATGGCCTTGTGAATCTGAATGACCAGGCACTTGATGCTGCGCGGTGCTTTCTTTCACCCTCCAGTTGTTCTACTCCTTTATTACATGGGCTCTCTAAAGGTATAAACTGAAGATTTTTGGTTTTCGAAATATTTATATTTTCTTAAAATGTAAAAGTGAATTTATCTCCGCACCTGCAATTTTAGTAATGCTCTTTCTTCTTGTATAACTATTACACATTGGATGTCTCATAACCCTTCCTGGTACAAAAGTATGAAGTTTCCGAGATTCTTTTGATTTGAATTCCTAAGTATTAGTTATTTTTACTGAGATCATCCACCCAAACTTTAGCTTTGAAAAGTTACTTTCAAATTTCCTGGTTCAGTTTTTATTTCGGTTCAGAGGCGTCACTACGAACAACTAAAAGTAGCAGTGCCAGTTGTCCTGAACGCCTTGAAGGACATTTCATTGGAAACAGACGTGCAAGTTGAACATCTATTAGATGAAGCTCTACGCATTGCCATATCAATTCGAGATGTTTCTTCAAAACTGGTCTGTAGTGTGAAAAGTTGTCAATTGGGATTCCGATTCCCCAATAAGTTGCCTGTTTTGATCTCTTTTCTTTGTTTTACAGAAGAATGAAGAAGGCACAAAAGTCCGATGTTTACTTGGTCTCTATGTGATACAGATAACGGTTTGTCCTTAATTTGAGCTTTGTTTCTGTATCTCCTGGAACTTTGCTGATTTTGTTCGTCAGTACCTATGAATTGGTCTGATTTTGCAGGCTATTCTTTCAGTTAGCATCAGAGACAAAGTGGCCTCTTGTGTTCCATTGGTGGTGCAGTTAAAACCTTTCTTGATATACTGTGGTTTAACACATCTTGGTTTAATCACGGGGAACGACACTGAAAAGTTAATGAGCGCGGTTGCTGGAGGTTGATCTCATTGCTCAAATAATCACTACTTCCTAAATTCTCAACTCCATCAATCCTTAACATGTACCCTTTCTCGTTCAGAAAAATAATTAGTCTCACGGTTGTAATATGAACAGATGATGATGATGATTTCATCAGCTTTTTCCCTGACATCAAGTTGGGTGCGTCACTTTTATTCATCTGGGCGAAACTCTCACCGGAGGTTGCTGATGCGGCTTTAAGGAATGATGTAGATGAGCTTCGAAGCAATCCAGTGAAAAGGTGGCAAGCTTATGGGATGTTGAAATATATACTCTCTTCTGGAGATCTGCTATGGGAATTCAAAAGACACACTATCGAGTTTTTGCTTGACATAACAAAAGGACCTTCATCTCAAAGCAACGATGAGCAAATAGATTGCTCGCAGTACACACCGAGCATCTACGCTGCTTTACAGGCATAATATTCTTTTCCTAAATCTTTACACCGTTCATGTCTACCTGCATTCTAAGTGTCTCATTTCTTTCTTCCAGGCTGTTATATTAGTGATCGTGTATGCCCCAGACGCAGGTCTGAGGATGAAGACATTTGAGGCACTGAAGAGGGTAAATAAACCTTGACTTAATCATTTTGCGGAAAACTGATTTGACAGATGCAGAAATTGATACTATAAGACGCATGAATCCACCAAAAAACAACGCAAACCTTCAAATGGCCTATGTTTCCTTAAAGATCGTTTTTCGTATTTTGAACTGAATTTGTTTCTTTAGATCTAAAGTAGTCTTTGAAGTTTTTAAATAGAAACATAATTTGACAAAATTTTCAACTTGTGCTGAATATCCTTTAAGTAGAAGAGGTGTTAGCCAACTTTGACCCACAGTGACTACCTTCAGTCCATATGCCCATGCCCTCTTTTTCTTTCTTTCCATTTGCATTGTAAAAAAGTATTTTCTCGTTCAGAACTTTAGCTATCTATTCGGCTTGATTAAAAATTTAGGTATAGATGATTATATGCCTCGTCTTACAATTTTTTTGGTGCTGTTTGATTAGATTCTTTCTGATATCCCAGCTCCTCAGAGGTTTGACGTTTTAAGAGCCCTTGTCACAAATTCCCAGTCTCCCTCGATGGTTAGTATTTTCATATTCCTTTGAGCTTTATGATGAATAGTAAAGCATGTAACACTTCTCAGAGATGATGATTTTTTAGCATGTCTTCAGTAGTCTTACTGTGCAACTACTGTTTAAAGTACAAGTCGAGCTATTGTTTTTGGTGTAATAGCTACTGTATTTTCTTAAGAAAACGGTATCTCATTTCAACTAATATTGTTTTGCCAAATCAACCAGACAGCGATCCTTCTGGATCTAGTTAAATACAACATGAGCAGAAGCAGCTTGGAAGCTACAGATTGTGCGACTGCTGATACTCATGTTATTGAGCTAGTGGAGTTGGTCTTAAAGCCTCCACAGGGGGGTCCTCCACTCCTTCCGGACCAGAGTGATGCGGTGATTTGTTCATATCTAAATCACTTCTCTTTAATAAATTATTTTGGTTCTCTCTTGTATGCATCATATAAGCACTGTAGATGATAAGGGCTAAGATGATTGATGTTAAAACCACATTTGTGTAACAAAAAAGTCTTGTGTGATATTTGTCCAGGTTTCGGCAGCACTGAACCTCTACAGGTTTGCATTGATATATGAATCGAGAGGTAAAAGTCTTAACTCAAAAAATTTCTTCTTGAATTGTATTTTGCTGTATCTCATTTCATTTCAAGTAATTGGACGATACCCGATTCTTTAAACTGTTTCGATTTAGTATTTGAAAATTCTTTGATTGCTAAATTATTGATACCCGATTATTTAAACTGTTTCCTATTTCAAGTATCCACACATACAAATGACATTTTTGAAGCTCTTCTCTATATGAAGTTTGCCTGTAGAAGTCGTAGTGTGTATGTGTGTCTATATTTGCGCGTGTAATCTAATGTAAAGGATAAGACATCTCATCTCTGTTGGTCGTGTTGTTGTTTTCTGACTGGACAAAATCATAGCAGGTGAAGCAGGTAAAGAGAGAAGCAGAGAAGGCAGTGAGGTTTTGTCAAAGAAGAATCTGGAGAAAGCCTATAAGGAATGGCTTATGCCTCTTCGAAATGTTTTGAGCTGCAGCATCGCCAACCTCGAAGGGGATCACGGCGACGAATCTTCACTCGAGGTTGTATGCCATCTTAGCCGAATTGAATCGGTTCTATATCGATGCATCGAGCTCGTGGAAGAAAAGTTGAAAAGCCACTAATTCTGTCATTTGCCTGCAACTTTTGTTATAACAAATTTAATCTTGGCACTTTGCTTGTAATTTCATTTATTTCCATATTATTAAAGAAGGGGATGCAAAAAATCTTTGTCTTTCTAACTTTCATCTTGCAAAAGAGTTTAGTGTTGTGTATTTGTCAAGATCCAAGCCGAAGATTTACTATTCAGAGGCCAGTGATTGGTTTGACTTTAGGTTCAGCTTATTCTTACACTTGCATACAAAGTCTTTACATGTGGAGAAAAATAATGGTTAAGGTTATCATTTTGGGATGGCATCATATTCAGATCTGGAACTAGGAAACTGGTCTCAGAGTCTTGATAAGGATGAGGTTGGCCGTGAATCTGGTGCGTAACCTTTGTTCTCTTTAACTTCTCATCCTCCCTGAACGTGGATCCAAATCTAACCTCCTGTTTTGATCACATAAACGTAAGAAAAGTTAAGAACTTGGTATACATAAAAATAGAGTTCATGGGATTCTTCTTTCAAGTTAAAGTCCATGAAGCATAGTGTTCTGTCAGAAACGACATACACATGCTAAAGACCAAAACCCCCATAACCACACACCACCCTTCCAAGCAGATTCATATTTTTTAAATTTAAAATAGGTTCAATTTCCATTAATATTTTTACTAAATGGAACACGAAACGCCAAAAGTATCTCTTTCAAGCATTGAAGTTGAGATTTAGGCTTAGTAAACGGAAATTGAAGTAGGAGCCTCTCACAGGCGACACCAGTGACATGTAACGGCCTAACAACTAACAAAATCTATAAGACACACGGTTGAGGTTGATAACCAAATATTTTTTCCACAGACATATATTTTAATAACCACAGCAAGTGATTAGTTTACATGTGAGGGTTTGCTTAAGAACAAAGCAAGACTGTCTAGTGTTCGTTTATATAATTTATTATTCCTTTAAATAAAAAAACTAACGCAAAACTCCTTATGACACCAACAAACTTCACGTGAGCGTCCTCACGCGAGGTATAAGCCATTGCCGCCACATTTTCCAGACTTTATTAGAAAAAAAAGAAAGATTTTTACGTGCAGCATCAACTCACCTAAGCTAAATGTAGAGTCAGAACACAAATGAACCTAAATGCAAGGAAAGTCGTTTTCCATAATTTAACTAATTGCCCGGAGATCCCATAATAACCAGAATATAACATCCCAAAACTCTTAGCAATTAAAACAACTACATTATATGAAAATACGATTTCTAAAGAGTGCCAATTACCACAGAAAGTAGATTTGACTAGATTTAGATGAGTGTCAAATATATTGAGTTCATCGAATTAGGGAAACTTACACACACGAAAAAAAAAAAGAGAGATAAAAAAGTATACATCTAAAAAGAAAGAAAAAAATCTAAGCAAGCTTTAGGTCAACGTGTATCATTTACTTTCTTGCTCAAAGCGTCAAAACAAAAACAAAAAAGACTTTTGATCCCAAAAAAAAAGACTGATTGGAATTAAACAAAGCAGACAGAGAGAGGAAGCAAAGGTCGTTGCTGCCGTTGGAAAATAATGTCGGAGATTTGAAAGAAGAGGAGGATGTTAGAATTGAAACTTCAACGATTTTTTTTCAAAAGAAATTTGAAAACAGATCAAAACAGATTCCACGGATCATCAGGGAGAGAGGAGAAACGAACCATTGGTTTAGATCCAACGGCCAACGATCCGTTAATCTGGCGACTCGTGGCCTCGTAACCATCGGCGTAGGCGGAGGGAGAAGAAGGACCGCCGCCGGAGCCACCGGGACCGTCGCATCTCGTGAATCGAGACCGTGGCTGCCGAATTCCCCACCGGAGAGCCGACACCGCCGGTTTCGCGAGAAATACAGGCGTGACGTCGGCTTCCTTGAGACTCAGCAGTAGCTCCGCCACAACTCCTCCATCTCTCATAGCTGACTTGGTCCAGTTATCAGCCACCATTTCCACCACTTTTCTGCTTCTCTGATTGACACTTCTACACAGGATGACAAATATTGCAGTCGACACTGCTGCTTTTTTTTTAAGAGGAGAAAGAGAACGAAAATGATCAAAGGGCTAATATAATGATAATTATGAAATGTTGTTATGTACGTCTTTCCTTTTACTTATTGTTATATCCTTTTCTTTTTAATTATTTACATGACTCCATTCTTTTATTTAATAATCCCAATATATGTACCATCTTCTTCTTCTTCTTTTTTTTTTTTCTCTTTCTTTCTAGTGTAGCGGTTCGTAGATCATTTCTTCGTCTTTCACAATTGTATGGTTATGCGGGTTAGATTGTGGTGAACTAACTAACTAACTACCAGATTGGATGGGAATATTAATGTCTAAAAACAAACTCATCCTTCACCTAACATGTTAATAGTAGTTAATTTTTGAAATGGAATAACTACATAGCAACTAATTACGTAATATCATTATATTTCATACCCACCAAGGTCCAATTTTTAAGCCGAATATGTTTTATTGTTACCTGCCAAACCGCAAATCTACCGTATTTTTATATATTTTTGTTATTGTGACATCATCAATTATACCTTGTTTTATACTTAGCACTGTTCACTCGTAAAGTTAATATCATAAATCTAACACGAATTCGTTTGATTTGGAGAAGTTGCATTATGCTAAAGAAAAGTTCGAGTTTATTAGTCGGACCAGGAGTTTAACATGTTAATCATTCTCTCGTAAAGTTTAGTCCTCCAAAAGAGGTTTCTCACTAATAAGAATGGCTAACAGAAGAAAATAGGGAGTTGAATCAAGAATCAGGCTTAGTGATCATGTACATTTTCATATTGGCGCTCTCTGTAAGCTTATAAACCGATCAAAAAAATTCTGCTTAAACCACATTCCAACACCAAATAAGTTTAGGAGTATTCAATCATAAAATCATAATTAATTATTTCATTGGATGCTAAATAAAGGGTGTGTTCGTCATGTTTCATATCGAAATCTAATGTAGTGTAGATCTCGACAAACATACTCTCCAAATACAAAAACCCTTTATGTAGCACATAATACAGAGTGTATTACTGATATACGAGTGAGTATTATCTTTGAAAAAATTATTTCGATAGAGTATTAAATTTAACAGAGTACGTAATTTCGAATTCTACAAAATTATTATTATACTGTCTAACCTTGTAGATCGACGTTCAGTGCTCTCCACATGTGGATTCTATAAACAATTACATATAAACCTGCTTTTTCAGTTTCTTAGATTCTAACAAAAAGGTTATTATTTTTTTTTTTTTTGAAGAATGTAAAATTTATTCATCAAAAAAGTCATTTGTACAATGAATGTTGCTGTGTTTTTAGCTTTTGAGCAAAACAGAGTATTCTAAAAAAAACAGAGCATTAAATAAATGTCCCAATCAACTTCTACTTGCGAACCAGCACACAAGACCATCATCGTATCTGTTACTTCCAGACATTCTGATGGACGAGATGCGGTTGCGGATTCCTTTGTCAATGAATCGAGTGAGAGCAGATGAAGTCGACGGCTGGTCTCCGTGACAGCGCTTATTCCTTTCACGCCAAATGGTGTGCAGCGTCATTTGAAAAACATATCGGTAGAGAAACAATGGTGTTGAACCTTGCGAAGCATCCGTCAACAAAACAATGTTAGCTCCCCAATCGTATGTAAATCTATCTCCAAGCAGCTTATGCACCAGATTTCTCCAGATTTCCTTTGAATACCGACATGAAAAAAAGAGATGGTTCCTGGTTTCCAGAGGATCCTTGCAGAAGACACATTCTGTGTTTATAGCTGGGTTCCAGCTCGACATACGATCCTTTGTAGCTAAACGATTCTGAATAGCAAGCCAGACCATAAACGAATACTTGGGAGTTCCGTAAGAGAACCAAACTCCGTCACACCATTCAACTCGGGCCTGCAGTTGTCGAATATTATTCCAGGTCTCATTGGTAGAAAATTTTGACTTAAATTTATTGTTTCTCCCCTTCCTCAGCTTCCTATCCTCCATCTGCCTCTGATTTTGTCGAAGAACATCAATAGCAGCTTCGATGTCATTGTAGACGGAACTACGGTGATTTCTTCGCCTGTGGGTACTTAGCACTGACCCCACTGTCTCAAACTGCTTAATCCCCAGACCAATAAACCCACCATCACCAGCTTGGTCAATCAGTCTACCTAGTGGCGACCAATTATCGTACCAGAATGAAGATGAATGACCATTCCCGACTTCGACTCGGTAAAACGGAGCTGCGATTATTTAATTACTTTTAAAATTTTAATTTATGATGGAGAGCTTATTAAGTCCAGTCTAGAGTGTTTACTGTTCTTCACTTCTTCTAGACTTTTTCATTTTGAGAAATTTGAATATGTGAATTCATAGCATATGAAATTCTCTATAAATAAATTGTTAAGGGATGGATACCTTTTCATTTTACTTTTTTTTTTTTTGCTAAAGATACCTTTTCATGTTTACACGCTTTTTAAACTCAACTTTGATTTTCTATTTTTTTTTTTTGGCAAAGATCTAGAGTCATATACTTCACAATATCATTATTTTCTTTAAACCCAACACCACAATATTTACCTCACAGTATTGACTATTGACATAATGTATGTATAGGGATGGCATGTATATATCTTCCCGAAGAGTCCCATTATAAAATGATATATATATTTTGCCTTAATACCAAGATACATGTTTTCCCTATTCGGACGAAATTTCCGATATTTTTATGGTAACTGCTCCACCTCCAAAATTTCGTCCGAATCCTTTTGTCTCTTTCTTTTTACCATTTCTTGCAGAGAGCTTCAACAATGGTTAAATAGGAAAGTGAATATTTCTCAAGCCTCTCTCTCTCTTTCAAACTTTCAAACTTTCAAACACATTTCAACTTTCTTGAATTACTCTAATATTCTTCTATCTTCTCCAAAATTATGTCTCTACTCTAAGACCCAATTCAAAAAAATTCGGTCTGAATCTTCCCAGTTCTTGGTGTATGCTTGAAAGTAAACATTTTTAAAAATAAGGTAAAAAAAAGAAAGAAAGAAAGAAAGAAATGAGGCAATTTGTTATTACAGCTCTTGTTTTACTACAAGCTTCTGTTCTTCTTCATAAATCCACATGTGTTGTGTTCCTCACTACACGAGAATCTCTTTCTCCTCAACCTTCTGCTTTCACTCCCGAACTATCCCCTGGTAAATTTTCTCTTCTCTGGTTTCTTTTCTTTTCCTTCAATTTTAGGGTTTAGTAATTCACTTCCACATTCTAATTGAAATTCAAGAAAAATAGAAGAAAGAAACAAATTCGGGTAGCTCTTGTTCACTTGTTCGTCACTTGTGCATTTAATGATTACGATATCTTTTTGTTTGTACTTTCATCTCTTTAGTAGAAAGTAGAATTTTTTCAAAATTTCTTCGAAAAGATCTTAGCTTTGTGGGGTTTTTTTCTACCTCTGGGTCACAAGAAATTTTCTCTGTAGTCACCCTTTTCATGTCCTCCATAGAAACGCTTATCTCTAGCCGTAAATTTCGAACTTTTCACACGATTTCTCTTCTTGGTTTACAAAGTTCCCAAATTTTCTTGAATCTGAAGACTTTATGCAGTTTCCGTTTGGATAAGCAAAGCTGAAGGATGAAGAAAGAAAAACTAATCCTGATCCCTTTTGGTTGCTTGATCAGGACTTCAACAGGGAGAGAAGGAATTGCCTAAACAACATAGTAACAACATGAGATTGGTTATTTCGCTTGCAGCTGCTTTTTCCTTAGTTGGTATAATCTTAGTTTGCGCTCTGCTCTATTGGGCTTTCCATAGGAGAAGAAACCTCAAGAGCTCAGGTAATTCATCTTAGATCAATCTCTTGTTCATGTTCTTGTTGGTTTATGGCCTTAAACTTGAAATTCATGATGAACCTTATAGCTGAGAAAGTGATCTTTGAATGCACTGAATCTTGAATCATTGAATCGGTTTGTTTATATATGCGTCTGCGTTTTGACCTCAATGAATACTTGAAATTTACCTTACCTACATTGTTTGAGTATCGTCTTCAATGTGCCTTTTGAAGGCTGCGGGTGCAGTGGAATCACGTTCTCACGGTTCTTGAATCGCCATAGTCGCTCGAAAACATTTGAGAAGAGATCTACAAAGCAGGGAGTCGTGTCGTTGATTGATTACAATATGATAGAAAAGGGAACTAGTGGCTTCAAGGAGAGTAACATTTTAGGTCAAGGTGGATTTGGATGTGTATATTTGGCTACATTAGAGAACAACGTTCAAGCTGCTGTTAAGAAGCTAGACTGTGCCAGTGAAGAAGCGACGAAGGAATTTAAGGTGCAATACAAATCTTTTTTGTTTGAGCTGCTTTGATTTTTTGCAGCTATAAAGTTGACCTTTTTGTGCTTCCTCCATATCCAATAAGTTTACTTTATCCTTGGAGAATTGCAGTGTGAGGTTGAGATATTGAGTAAGATCCAGCACCCGAACATTATATCTCTCTTAGGTTATAGCACGAATGATACTGCACGATTCATCGTCTATGAGCTGATGCCAAATGTCTCTCTGGAATCTCACTTGCACGGTACAGAAAACGATTTACATAGTATTTTTGGCGAAGTTGTGAGCATGAAAAATTGAAACTTTTTTGTTCGTGTACTTGTTGTCAGGATCTTCTCGGGGTTCGGGGATCACAATCACATGGCCTATGAGGATGAAGATTGCGCTTGATATAGCGAGGTGAGCATGCTTTCTTGTGTTTACACAGCATTTTTCACAATCTAAGGTGGCTAAACAGACTATTGTTTTTGTTTGCATCTTCAATCAGGGGACTAGAATATTTGCATGAACATTGCCATCCAGCGATCATTCACAGGGACTTGAAATCGTCCAACATATTATTGGATTGTAATTTCAACGCTAAGGTAACAAATCAATGTTGAAGAATGATGATGTTTCAATATCATTTCCTCTGTTTTTGTATCTCAAGCTCTAGCCTTTTTTTTTATGAAGTGTAGATTTCAGATTTTGGTCTTGCGGTTGTTAATGGGCCAAAGAACAAGAACCTTAAACTTTCCGGAACAGTTGGCTACGTTGCACCA